TCTGACCAGAACAATTTCACCCAGTTCTCCTCTGAATCATTCAGATGTTCATTGGCAAACTTCAGACGGCCTTGTATATGTGCTTTCTTGAGCAGGGGGACCTTGCGGGAGCTGCAGGATTTCAGTCCTTCACGGCGTAGTGTGTTACCAATTGTTTTCTTGGTGACTATGGTCCCAGCTGCCTTGAGATCATTGACAAGATCCTCCTGTGTAGTTCTGGGCTGATTCCTCACCGTTCTCATGATCTTTGCAACTCCACAAGGTGAGATCTTGCATGGAGCCCCAGGCCGAGGGAGATTGACAGTTCTTTTGTGTTTCTTCCATTTGCGAATAATCACACGAACTGTTGTCACCTTCTCACCAAGCTGTTTGGCGATGGTCTTGTAGCCCATTCCAGCCTTGTGTAGGTCTATAATCTTGTCCCTGACATCCTTGGAGAGCTCTTTGGTCTTGGCCATGGTGGAGAGTTTGGAATCCGATTGATTGATTGCTTCTGTGGACAGGTGTCTTTTATACAGGTAACAAGCTGAGATTAGGACCACTCCCTTTAAGAGTGTGCTCCTAATCTCAGCTCGTTACCTGTATAAAAGACACCTGGGAGCCAGAAATCTTTCTGATTGAGAGGGGGTCAAATACTTATTTCCCTCATTAAAATGCAAATCAATGTATAACATTTTTGACATGCGTTTTTCTGGATTTTGTTGTTGTTATTCTGTCTCTCACTGTTCAAATAAACCTACCATTAACATTATAGACTGATCATTTCTTTGTCAGTGGGCAAACGTACAAAATCAGCAGGGGATCAAATACTTTTTTCCCTCACTGTAGGTGAGACAACCACATATCACAGTCGTAGTAAGTTAATTTGTTCCTCAATAAAGAAGTTATCAGCAAAGTTAGTGCTAGTAGGAAAAGTGAAGTGGGGGGGGGGGGGGAGAGAGATGGGCAGGGACTCTGCTGTCCTAGCATCAGGGGGAAGCTGGTTCCACCATTGGGGTGCCAGGACAGAGAAGAACTTTGACTGGGCTGAGCGGGAGCTGACCTCCCGTAGGGGTGGGAGGGCCAATAGACCAGAGGCGGCAGAACGGAGTATAGGGTTTGAGCATAGCCTGAAGGTAGGGAGGGGCAGTTCCCCTTGCTACTCCGTAGGCAAGCACCATGGTCTTGTAGTGTATGCGAGCTTCGACAGGAAGCCAGTGGAGTGTGCGGAGGATCGGGGTGATATGGGAGAACTTGGGAAGGTTGAACACCAGGTGGGCTGCGGCATTCTGGATAAGTTGCAGGGGTTTGATGGCACAAGCGAGGAGCCCAGCCAACAGAGAGTTGCAGCAGTCCAGACGGGAGATGACAAGTGCCTGGATTAGGACCGGCGCCGCTTCCTGTGTGAGGAAAGGGCGTACTCTACTGATGTTGTAGAGCATGAACCTGTAGGAGCGTGTCACTGCTTTGATGTTTTCAGAGAACGACAGGGTGTTGTCCAGGGTCACGCCAAGGTTCTTTGCACTCTGGGAGGGGGACACTGTGGAGTTGTTGACTGTGATGGAGAGGTCTTTGAGCGGGCAGGCCTTCCCCGGGAGGAAGAACAGCTCTGTCTTGTCGATGTTGAGCTTGAGGTGGTGGACAGACATTTAAAGAATGTTGTGTGGTGGCTTCTAATACCAAGCAAATAAAACACCACTGTGGATGGTTTCATTATAGAGTACAAAATGCACCACCATTTTGTAGGAAACAGGTGCATTCTCCAGAGTTACATCTGCAACCTTTTATAACACACAAACAATGAATTGAATAGGACCAATACCTTTAAATTCCAATTCACTTACAGTAATAGAGGCACCTCTATAGTCTCGAAAACCCAGACCTTGGAGCCATTGGTACATTGTGGGAGGCAATCCGTCTGGCTAGAGAGACTAGCATCTCTACACTGTTACACTAAATTCATGCTTTATTGTGATAGAAGCAGGGGCGGACTTGAAGAGTAACACAGTCATCTTGCATGACAAAAAAAGTTTTCAAGCTGAATTCCTGGTAATTTTACAGTGACATGTTCCCAGAATGATTTTCCTCTAAACCCACCCATTGATCCAAGGGAGGCTAAACATTAGTCTCTGTCACTAGCAGTATAATCTGCTGAAAAAAACAGCATAGACCAGCCTAAATTTCAAGATGGTTAGGCCGGCCGACCAGCTGGTCAAGCTGGTGATGCTAGTGACCAGTTTATGCTGGAATGCTGGTGACGCTGGTATGCTGGTGACCAGTTTATGCTGGAATGCTGGTGACGCTGGTATACTGGTGACCAGTTTATGCTGGAATGCTGGTGACGCTGGTATACTGGTGACCAGTTTATGCTGGAATGCTGATGACGCTGGTATACTGGTGACCAGTTTATGCTGGAATGCTGGTGACGCTGGTATGCTGGTGACCAGTTTATGCTGGAATGCTGGTGACGCTGGTATGCTGGTGACCAGTTTATGCTGGAATGCTGGTGATACTGGTATGCTGGTGACCAAGCTGGTCCAGCATTGTAGCTGGTCAAGGTAGTCTGGCAAAACCACGCCCATCATTATCATATTTCCCAGCATGCTCTATTGCAGTTAGATTTTTTTTAAATGATTTGTTTCAATATCTTTTTTGTTTGTTGTATTTTTGCATGTACATTGCTTGATTAATTAATCTTATGCTACACAAAGATAAATAAGATACATTTTTCTAAACTAATCCAATCTGTTAGTTGGACTTATTGCACCTGTAACTGAAATGGTTGTTCCAGTTTAGATGGATTAGGTAGTGTCATTCATTCTTCTTTCTAACCCTGGCAGTCATTCTGAATGCATATTGTGGGTGACTAAAAGTTCACATTTTTGGATATCCCCAGTCTGGCTGGATTCCGATAGGAATTAAACATCACTTTGCAAGCCAGCATAATGTGACTTGCAGGTCTGAGGGGAAAACTAGGCCCTCAAGTACTTTGATGCTGGTTTAACTGGTGACCAGTATACCATCATATGTTTGTCACCATTGTCCAAAACAGATGCTGGTCACCAGTGTCAAAAACACAGCGAAGGTTGGTCACCAGCAAAAACACAGCAAAGGCTGGTGACCTATGCTGGCCTAGACTGTTTTTGTCAACAGGGTAGGCTACTGAACAGCAGGATACTGAAGCAAGTGCACAGGAAACTCAGAGACAACTAGGGCCAAATATGTCAGACAGGTGGATAAATAACAAAACAATGCACCCTTGACCAGTTGTCAGGGCAAGGGGTGGAGGTAAGTACATTTATGGTCACTAAATTCCCAGTACCCTTTGAGATCTTACAGGGACTGGATAAATAATCCTAGAAAGAAATTCATAGACAGATATCTGTGATAAAATCCAGACAGGACACAGACAATGTAGTCCTTTTGCTGAGATTGCAAACCAGGCATGATTCCAGGATAGTTTCATGCCCGAAATGATTCCTTGTTAATCTTTGTGTTTTGATTGTTGTGTGGTGAAAGTGCCCATCTGTCACCACTCAGCTCTGCATCAGACTGCTAAAATGAAAGTTCCGCAAAATAATACTAAAAAAATGTTAGGTAACTTACAATAACACTGTAATTACATTGCTTTTCACCACGCATGTATCTCATGATAATATATGTACACTGAACAAAAATATAAAAGCAATATGCAACAATTTAAAAGATATGGTTAAAGTTCATATAAGGAAATCAGTCAATTGAAATAAACTCATTAGGCCCTAATCTATGGATTTCACATGACTGGGAATACAGATATGTATCTCTTGGTCACAGATACCTTTAAAAAAAAGTAGGGGCATGGATCAGAAAACCAGTCAGTATTTGGTGTGATCACCATTTGCCTCATGCAGTGCAACACATCTCCTTCGCATAAAGTTGATCAGGCTGTTGATTGTGTAATGTTGTCCCACTCCTCTTCAATGGCTGTGTGAAGTTGCTGGATTTTGGCGGGAACTGGAACATGCTGTCGTACACATCGATCCAGAGCATCGCAAATATGCTCAATGGGTGACATGTCTGGTGAGTATGCAGGGACATTTGCAGCTTCCAGGAATTGTGTACAAATCCTTGCATCATGGGGCGGTGAATTATCATGCTGAAACATGAGGCATGACAATGGGCCTCAGGATCTCGTCACGGTAGTTCTGTGTTTGTTGTCCGGATCTTATGCCTGCCCATACCATAACCCCACCACCACCATGTTGACATCAGCAAACCGCTCGCCCACACGACGCCATACCGGGTTTAGTGGGCAAATGCTCACCTTCGATGGCCAATGGCACGCTGGAGAAGTACTGCCATCTGCCCAGTACAGTTGAAACCGGGATTCATCCGTGAAGAGCACACTTCTCCAGCGTGCCATTGGCCATCGAAGGTGAGCATTTGCCCACTAAACCCGGTTACGACCCTGGTGAAGACAAAGAGCACGCAGATGAGCTTCCCTGAGATGGTTTGTGCAGAAATTCATCAGTTGTGCAAACCCACAGTTTCATCAGCTGTCCGGGTGACTGGTCTCAGACGATCCAGCAGGTGATGAAGCAGGATGTGGAGGTCCTGGGCTGGCGTGGTTACACTTGGTCTGCGGTTGTGAGGCCGGTTGGACGTACTGCCAAATTCTCTAAAACGACATTGGAGGCGGCTTATGGTAGAGAAATTACAATTTAATTTAATTTATATTTATATTTATCCCGTCAATAAATCTATCAGATTTATGCAGCAACAGAATGCTCGTTTTTTTAATTATCTCGGACAGTCACCAGTTGAAGTATCCTGGGGTAAGGAATGTTTTTTGGACTTTACATGTTGCGTTTATAGTTTTGTTTAGTGTAAAAAAAAAAAATCTGTACGATAGGGCTGTTATCAATTTTGTAGGCGGAGCCTCGAAGATTGGGCCCGCTTTCCGGAAGTATCCTCCTTTGCGCCTTATGGAAGTGACGTCAAGCTGTCAACATGTAAGATGGCGACTCTTCACAGGCAGAATGCTGCTGGGCGGAGAAAAGTCCAGGTAAATGTATCTATATTGTCATGCAGATTAAGGATTTTTCAAGTTGCATTCATGGCTGCGGAAATGTATCTTTTGCCTGCTTATCCATGGATGTCTTTAAACCCTCAACGTGTGGCGGGCAAGTGCAGCCGGTCACTCCCAGGCTCTGGCATCGCCAGAGAGAGAGCTAACGTTAGCTAGCTTAGCTTGCAGCTACTCAAAAGATTCTGCGGCCCGCTGCAAATTACTCAGTTCGGTTGACCGAGACTGTGTCTCGTGTTTAATGGGTTGTCAAGATATTTGTATGTGAAAGTGGGATTATAGGGTGTTATTGCGGCTAGAGATGGAAGAATTCCCCCCGCGCCCACTCTCACGTTACGAGATAGAAAATCACGTCCTTCTGTTAGCTAGCTAGCTTGGCTATCTAGTATGCAACCAGTTGGAAGGTGCAATTATCTTTGTCTGATTACAATTTTATAGGCTTGATCTTATTTTGCCCGACGTCATCAAACTGTAGTCACACATATGCAATACTAATGATGGCATGCAGTGTGTTCAGTGCTGCATTACAGTAGATGGTCAACAAGTGTCCTTGTCCCCTGTTGATGCAATATAATGTTTGTATGTAGATATCTGCAAATTTGTATTCTGCACCTGGAAAACCATTAGCATCGAATTTAACCAGATATGCATTGCAGAGCCACTTCAATTAGCATATAGTGCAATAAAAAACAATTACACTGTCTGTCAGCAGGCTATGGTCTCCCAGAACATACATTTAGGCTGTGTTTAATAGGACGGCTGTTATTTACACAACTCTCGAAAACTTTAGGCGGCATTGTGCCTTCTCCCTGCAGTTCTCAGCCATAGAGAGAAATGGTAATGGTCGTTTTTTTGTAGGCACTAACTCCGCCATGGTTCATTGGACAAAGCCTATGGGAAAAATGAATGGCGTTTTTGAATAAATGCCGAAAATAAGGTCTGTGGTAAACACATGCTTAGGAGATTTTATACGTTTTGTTCTATGAGATAATCTTCATCAGCTAACGTCACTTTTTCTGAATTTGTTATTTTTAAAAAAGCACAAAGCTCATAAAGGCTTCATAGCTCATAAAGGTCATGTTAACTGACTGCTATTATTAAATAGAACAAAACGTATAAAATCTCCTAAGCCTGTGTTAACCTCAGACCTTATTTTCCGCGTTTTATTCCGAAACCCAATTTTTCCCATAGGGATGGGTGAACGAACCAGAGGTAACTAATTTCCGGGTTTTAGGACTACAAGCTGGTGAGCTCTATTAGCTTTGCCCATGACTGCCTCATGTGAACTAAAATCCCAACGCTGTGTTTTAATGTTTAGAAACGTCAATAATCATCACTTGCGATACGGCTTTCGAAACATATGGCCCTTATCTTTCATCAGCGAGAAAGAATCCTTCAAATAAAAAAGATACACTTACTGTAGCAGTTACAGATCCATACAGCTATGAGTGCCTCCATCCGACGAAACTATACTTCTGCTACACTTCCCGAGTTACGCTTTACACACTGGTGTTCGGAGCATGCTAGATAGCTAATTATAAACTGGGTGGTTCAAGCCCTGAATGCTGATGTGCTGACAGCGTGGTATATCAGACCGTATACCATGGGTATGACAAAACATTTATTTTTACTGCTCTAATTACGTTGGTAACCAGTTTTATAATAGCAATAAGGCACCTCGGGGGTTGTGGTATATGGCCAATATACCACGGCTAAGGGCTGTATCCAGGCACTCTGATTTGCGTCGTGCCAGAGAACAGCCCTTAGCCATGGTATATTGACCATATACCACACCCGCTCGGGCCTTATTGCTTAATTAGCACAGGTGGTCGCCTCGACTTCTGTCTGTTTTCTGTAAACAAGTGCTGTAACACGGAGATATGGCTGTGTGGGAACACTAAACCTATCAAGGTGTGTATCAATTTAACTATTTTTGTATTATTATTTCTCGCAGATATGAAAGATAAGGTCCTTATGCTTCCAATACCGTACCGCAAGCGACGCGTGTTAATGTTCAGATTGAGTGTTGGAGTTGTTAACAAAACGCCCTCCTACAGAAGACACCTTCGTCCAATTACTCTTATGTGTAATGGAACTGAGAGTCATGATCATGGGCTAGTATTTACAGGACTCACCTGACACTCCTGCTGTAGCATCATTAGTTTACACAAGTACCATTTCAACATATATCCTTGACCAATATACATTACCGGTGTTTACAAGCCATTTATGACACTTGAAAGGTTTCAGCTACAGTGCCCACACCAGTGCCTCTATGTTATTATAGGACATGTCAATGTCAAGGATTCACCAGAAACAACGCCAATCTATCTTCATTTTATTGTAATACGGTTCAAATTGCACTCATCCAATTCTCTCTGCAGGTATCCTATGTGATTAGGGATGAGGTGGAGAAGTATAACCGCAATGGGGTGAACGCTCTGCAGCTCGACCCGGCCTTGAACCGCCTCTTCACGGCTGGCCGAGACTCCATCATTAGGATATGGAGCGTCAACCAGCACAAGGTAACCTGTCCGTCACCTACACACTCCACCTGGCAGAATGCCATAATATCATCATGACCCCTTTCCCTCAAGGTCACACTGTTGATGGCTCTAGCGCTCGTCTTTTCTTGATTCCTGACATCCTATCGTCTCCTTCTCAACTGTATTGGAGGAGAAGGTCCCTCCCCTGTTTCGAGAAGGAGGCAAGAGAGAGGATGTTAAGGGTGTTGAGGAAAGAATTATTGAGAAAGAGCTGATATTGTAGATGCATAGATGTACAGACCAATGCCTATGGTCAATGTTCAAATGAAAAGATCCAGACGTATTTGTTGTGCTGTTATTGTAATTGATTGTCATAGAATACTTGCATAAACCCACTGATATTGCAGCGTATGCCCACTTTATTGCAGCAGGACCCATACATTGCGTCGATGGAACACCACACAGATTGGGTCAATGACATTGTCCTCTGTTGCAATGGGAAGACATGTGAGTCAGTGTAATGTATTAATCCAGAGCTGAAAGGGTTAAACTGTCCGACAACAGTGTGGAACAGTGCCCTACACCTCAGAATGGAAAGCATACATTTTTATTAAATAATTATCACAGAAAAGCAATCAGATTTTATGACATTTCCATCACGTGCAAATTGGCAAAACCCTGTTTATGGATATTTGCTCCTATATATTTTTGTATGTTTTGCAGTCTGTCAAGTAACTGTCCAGGGAAAATCGCACTTTTAAAAGTTCATATTCTGTTAACTCATACCCAAATAATGTTGTTGACTCATCCTATACTCATATTTGTGACCAAAGCATAAATTGGAGAAAAAACTCTTTAAAAAATCCCCACCTCAAACTTGTACCTCAAACAGACCATTTCAAAAATACTTTATATTTTGTAATCCCCCTGAGCTGGCCAATCAGCGGTCTACTCGCATGAATATTATTAATGAACGGTATGCAGTATGCCCACACCATTCCAACACAGAAAAGCTGCTTTTTAACATTTAAAAAAATGTGGAAGGAAAACTATTTCACTCATAGTGTAATTAATTATAGGTAATATTTCATAGAAATCTGGAAACACTGGACAGTTACTTTAAGCCTGCAAGCCATTTGGTATAAATAGTTGTTGTTTTTTACTTTGAAAATGTATATTTTTAATGGCATATTGTCTGTTCCATATACTCTGTATTCCAGTGATATCTGCTTCCTCAGACACCACAGTGAAAGTCTGGAATGCGCATAAGGGATTCTGCATGTCCACATTGCGAACACATAAGGTATGTAATAGCATACTGTGTACTGAGCTCTAAAATCATCACAAAGACCAAACTTAAGATATGTACGCATAACGTTACTGCTACATTAGAGTTAACATGCACATCTCAAGGTATAGGCTGAAACACAATCAGAACCCAAATCTTACTCAAAAGCATGGACTTGGCATCAGATTTATGTGACCCCCTATGGTTTTGTCTGTACAGGACTATGTCAAAGCCTTAGCCTATGCCAAGGACAAGGAACTGGTGGCCTCAGCAGGGCTGGACAGACAGATCTTTCTATGGGACGTCAACACACTAACGGCACTGACCGCCTCCAATAATACTGTCACCAGTAAGTATGCGTTCTCATCTGGGTCCTGTTCAGACATTAGGCACCGAACTGAAGAAAAGGAACTGAAACAGGGAGGGACTATCTGGAAAGATAATTTTATTTTCCTGTTGCGTAAAGTGTTTTCCATTGCATGCCCTAATGAACATGGCCCTGCTATATCATGTCACAGGCACATCCCGGACTGAGTATCGTAAATGTTTACTGCACTACTTGGAATGAAAACATGAGATAGATGTGTATCTGGAGAACCATCATTGAAGACAATGTTCTTGTTTCTGTAGTACACATCAATTTGAAGGATGGACATGGATATCTTAAATATGTAAAATACACTCTGTGTCTCAGTGGGACTTTCCTGGTTGCTGACCAGTAGACTGTTGAGACAGACCTGAGTGTTGTGGTGACTATGCTGTTGTTGTCGTCTCCCAGCCTCCTCACTGAGTGGGAACAAAGACTCTATCTACAGTCTGGCTATGAATCAGATGGGCACCGTCATTGTGTCAGGGTCCACTGAAAAGGTGGGTTTTTTAAATCACATTTTTATTGATATATTCTTAATGTTTCTAGTGGTGTGATGAGATTGGTATAATACTTCCAGCTAACTGAACCTGAGTTACTTCACCTCCATTTTCTAAAGTAAGATGTGTGTAAGAACAAAAAGCTAAACCTGTGTTTTCATATACCTCATAGAGAGTGAATGTGTCCTGTTACAGGTGCTGAGAGTTTGGGATCCTCGAACCTGTGCCAAGCTGATGAAGTTAAAAGGTCACACAGACAACGTCAAATCATTACTGCTAAACAGGGATGGCACTCAGGTATGGATGGCCCTTAGAAATCTCATCTCATTCCTCACCCTTAAAAATGTCAGCCGCAATGTCTCTCTTGTTTAAGCCTTATATTTCATAGGAGGGAGAGGAATTTTTCAGTCATTTCTGGAATCAGCAGGAAATAAGCTGCGAGGGAAGTCTCCAACCTGGAATTTTACAACTTGGATTTCGAACAACCCGGACATTTTTGGGAAAGCTTTGAAAATGTTTTATTCCTAATGTTACATCTTGCTTTTTCCCACCAGTGTCTCTCGGGCAGCTCAGACGGGACCATCCGTCTGTGGTCGCTGGGGCAGCAGCGGTGCATCGCTACCTACCGGGTGCACGATGAGGGCGTGTGGGCCCTGCAGGTCAACGAAGCCTTCACGCATGTCTACTCCGGCGGACGCGACCGCAAGATCTACTGCACCGACCTGAGGAATCCAGACCTCCGCGTTCTCATCTGCGAGGAGAAGGCCCCCGTCCTCAAGGTGAGAGGGGTGGGGTTACTGCGATATGCCGAGCAGACGGCATGCTGGGGAACGTAGTTGAAAACGTTGTAACTTGTAGATATTAGGCCTAGATGTTTATTGGATTTACAGTGGGGAGAACAAGTATTTGATACACTGCCAATTTTGCAGGTTTTCCTATTTACAAAGCATGTAGAGGTCTGTAATTTTTATCATAGGTACACTTCAACTGTGAGAGACTGAATCTAAAACAAAATTCCAGAAAATCACATTGTATGATTTTTAAGTAATTAATTTGCATTTTATTGCATGACATAAGTATTTGATCACCTACCAACCAGTAAGAATTCCGGCTCTCACAGACCTGTTAGTTTTTCTTTAAGAAGCCCTCCTGTTCTCCACTCATTACCTGTATTAACTGCACCTGTTTGAACTCGTTACCTGTATAAAAGACACCTGTCCACACACTCAATCAAACAGACTCCAACCTCTCCACAATGGCCAAGACCAGAGAGCCGTGTAAGGACATCAGGGATAAAATAGTAGACCTGTACAAGGCTGGGATGGGCTACAGGACAATAGGCAAGCAGCTTGGCGCAATTATTAGAAAATGGAAGAAGTTCAAGATGACGGTCAATCACCCTCGGTCTCGGGCTCCATGCAAGATCTCACCTCGTGGGGCATCAATGATCATGAGGAGGGTGAGGGATCAGCCCAGAACTACACGGCAGGACCTGGTCAATGACCTGAAGAGAGCTGGGACCACAGTCTCAAAGAAAACCATTAGTAACACACTTGCCGTCATGGATTCAAATCCTGCAGTGCACGCAAGGTCCCCCTGCTCAAGCCAGCGCATATCCAGGCCCGTCTGAAGTTTGCCAATGACCATCTGGATGATCCAGAGGAGGAATGGGAGAAGGTCATGTGGTCTGATGAGACAAAAATAGAGCTTTTTGGTCTAAACTCCACTCGCCGTGTTTGGAGGAAGAAGAAGGATGAGTACAACCCCAAGAACACCATCCCAACCGTGAAGCATGGAGGTGGAAACATCATTCTTTTGGGGATGCTTTTCTGCAAAGGGGCAGGACGACTGCACTGTATTGAGGGGAGGATGGATGGGGCCATGTATCGCGAGATCTTGGCCAACAACCTCCTTCCCTCAGTAAGAGCATTGAAGATGGGTTGTGGCTGGGTCTTCCAGCATGACAACGACCCGAAACACACAGCCAGGGCAACTAAGGAGTGGCTTCGTAAGAAGCATCTCAAGGTCCTGGAGTGGCCTAGCCAGTCTCCAGACCTGAACCCAATAGAACATATTTGAAGGGAGCTGAAAGTCCGTATTGCCCAGCGACAGCCCCGAAACCTGAAGGATCTGGAGAAGGTCTGTATGGAGGAGTGGGCCAAAATCCCTGCTGCAGTGTGTGCAAACCTGGTCAAGACCTACAGGAAACGTATGATCTCTGTAATTGCAAACAAAGGTTTCTGTACCAAATATTAAGTTCTGCTTTTCTGATGTATCAAATACTTATGTCATGCAATAAAATTCAAATGAATTACTTAAAAATCATACAATGTGATTTTCTGGATTTTTGTTTTAGATTCCGTCTCTCACAGTTGAAGTGTACCTATGATTAAAATTACAGACCTCTACATGCTTTGTAAGTAGGAAAACCTGCAAATTCGGCAGTGTATCAAATACTTGTTCTCCCCACTGTAAGTATTTTGTAACATTAACTTAAATGTTTTTTTAAGACTGTTGTATATATGAAAGTAGGCTAGTATAATAATTAGTAGAGTCAGGATCGCATTAATGAGAAATCTTAAAGATAATCAGCAAGTAATATCAAGGTGAAGTGATCCTAAAGTGTTTCTATCAACAACAAATCTGCCCATCACAGTTCTCCTGTCTGAATGACCTCTTGTCCTGTCTGAATGACCTCTTGTCCTATCTGAATGACCCTATCTGTTGTCTGTGTCTCCCTGGTTCAGATGGAGCTGGACCGCTCGGCAGACCCCCCCACGGCCCTCTGGGTCTCCACCACCAAGTCCACCGTCAACAAATGGGTAAGCAGCATAGCTGAAGTAGAACAACAGGGGTTTTATATGAGTAATGGATATGTTAATATTAAGTAGACATAGAATTACACTGTAGATAATATAACAGAAAAAACAGGATTCAGTGAGGCCTGTGTGTTTCTGTATACTTTTAATGCAATGTTCACTCCCTGATTATGTTTCCCGTCATGACTCATTGCAGTCTCTGAAGGGCATTCATAATTTCCGAGCATCTGGCGATTACGACAACGACTGCACTGCTCCCCTGACGCCTCTCTGTACACAACCCGAGCAGGTCGTTACAGGTAAAAACACCACACACACTCTTCTTATTTTTGTATGATCAATTAATCATTAAATATGATTGATTGAATTCTTGTTTTTTATTGAATATATCTTCATACATTTCCCAATAAACTGCGTTGCAAATACAGAAGGTGTTTAAAATAGAATAGATATGTTCTAGGCCTAAATGAGTGTTCTGTGTATTTCTGTCCACTAGGCGGAGCCAGCATTATCCAGTGCCACATTCTGAACGACAAGAGACACATACTAACCAAAGACACCAACAACAATGTTGCATACTGGGATGTTTTAAAGGTGTGTGCCCTTTGCTCTCTCTTCTATCTATCATTTATCTTCCATCTCTCCATTGTTTGTCAAATTGTTTGATTGAATACCTCTTGTCCCCATCCAGGCGTGTAAAGGGGAAGACCTGGGAAAGATGGAGTTTGACGAAGAGATTAAAAAGAGGTTTAAAATGGTGTATGTGCCAAACTGGTTCTCAGTGGATCTTAAAACTGGGGTAAGATGATCCTGCCCAGTTTTACATTGTAAGCTTTGGACAGTCGGTAGAACAGTGATTTGTCCTCATTCTAATACACATATTCTGTTGGGTAGATGTTGACCATCACCCTGGATGAGAGCGACTGCTTTGCTGCGTGGGTGTCAGCCAAGGATGCAGGCTTCTCCAGTCCTGATGGGTCTGACCCGAAGTGTGAGTGCTTTTTTTTTTTTTTTTTTACTGCCCTGTAAGATAGGGTTGACTTTAATTTTTACCCAGACAGTGTTACCATACATGCAGTATCGTTCCTACAGAGTTCTGTTCTCTTCTAGTGAACCTTGGTGGACTGCTGCTGCAGGCCTTACTGGAGTATTGGCCCCGGACCCACATCAACCCCATGGACGAAGAAACAGAGATGAACCACAGTGAGCTGCTATACCCACATACATTATAATGCGGATGTTATTAAGTTGAATGAAATCTATCAGTGATGTTCTGATGGTGTGTATGTGTGTGTGTGTGTGTGTCTACAGTGAATGGAGAGCATGAGAGCAGGATACAGAAAGGGAACGGCTACTTCCTGGTTCCCCCTCACACGCCAGTCATCTTTGGAGAGACAGGGGGAAGGACCTTGTTCAGGTAGAATACACAATCCTATCTCTATGTATCACAGTGTAGCATTGCTTAGAGTACATGAAATGTGACCAGCTGCTATTGAAGTCTGTGCTAAGACGCCGTGTCATAGTCGGTCATGTGTTGAAATAGTATTTGTTTTCGTTCAAATACTTAAGCTGCACTCGATTGAGCTTTCCCGGTGCAATGGAACCAATGGAATAGTACTAAAAGTGCAAACCCCACCCACCTGGCCCTCCCGGCAGGCTTAATCAAGACTCTCTCTCTCTCCAGGTTGTTGTGTCGAGACTCAGGTGGTGAGACTGAGTCCATGTTGCTTAACGAGACCGTGCCACAGTGGGTCATCGACATCACCGTGGATGTGAGCTCTCGTCCTTTAATTTAATGATAAATATACATATCTTTCAACAGTAATGTATTATAGCTAATTGTATAGTGTTTATACACTATGATTCTCATGTATGATTTTCAGCTTTTTCTTCCCTGTCTTTTAGAAAAACATGCCCAAATTCAACAAAATCCCGTTCTACCTCCAGCCTCATTCTTCCTCTGGTGCAAAAACCTTAAAGAAGTAAGTGAAACACTAAAGCCACTTATAACGATTGAACCAGTTTCTCTCTTCCTATTAGTGTTGCATGTTCATTCTTCCCTGCAAACCACATTTTGCTAAAGGGATCATTCATTTCATTCATTTGGAACTATTTCGTTCGCCGTTCAATGTTCCAAGCTTGCGGTTATATTCCAACGTTGTGGTTCTTCCAATAGGGACCGCCTGTCGGCCAGTGACATGCTCCAGGTGAGGAAGGTGATGGAGCATGTATACGAGAAGATCATCAACCTGGACAACGAGTCTCAGACGGGGACCTCGGGGAACAACGAGAAGCCCAGCGAGCAGAAGGAGGAGGAGGACGTGGCCGTGCTGGCCGAGGAGAAGATTGAGCTGCTCTGTCAGGACCAGGTACTGTACGCTTATACGGTACGGTCCCCATGTTTTGCCTTTGTGTTACGTCTTGTATTAATATATGTTCCCACGATCGCTTTTCGTTGTCTGTAGGTATTGGATCCCAACATGGACCTGCGGACGGTCAAGCATTTTATCTGGAAGAGCGGCGGAGACCTAACCCTTCACTACCGGCAGAAGTCCACGTGAGGTCGGCGGTGTCGGCGATGAAGGCTCATCTTCTGCTAGCCTGCCCTCCTCTTCCTCCTCCTTTCTTCTTCCTCTGGCACCAAACCTGGACCATTCAACTCATCCCACCAGATCCATGTGTTAGTAACACAAACCTGTGCTCAACGACTCCTTATAAGATCTTATAAGAGGTCACAACACCTTAACAACCCCTCAAAAGGTCCGTAGCCTGAGCATCACACAAAGTCACCATTCTACACCCAGCCATGTAGAGAGGCATGAGAACGCAAGGAGAAAGACGAGAAAATATTGTTGCTGTGTACTGTGAATGGACTGAGGACAATTCCAGGGAATTTTAAAGTTTTTGTCATTTAGGTTAATTTTTATTCCATTTCTTTGCCTCCTTTAGTTTATTTTTGTAAGAAAGATGTTTTATTACCATGTCTATCTTCAGAGAGAGAAGGCGTGCCCGTCCATCTTGAGAACGTCGCTATGCTTGGGGGTTCACTTTGTGACGTGATTGGTAGACTGCACACATTAAATTATTTTATTTTTTCTCCCCCTATACATTCCAGGAACGCGCTTGGTTTCCAACCACCTATCACTACCCTTCATCCCCATCCATTTTTAGGAAACGGTTCATTGTGGAAGATTTTCTGGATTGTCAGGCGACCATTCAAACCAATCAAGGACTTGACAGAATGTAAAGACATGACTCTATAGTATGCATGTGTGATATCCCTCAGTTTGGTAACTGACTGATGTATTGAAGGCTGCTGGGTGAAGTTTTTCTCTCGCCAAATGGACACATACAAGGACACATTCCCCAACCTGTATCTCTTTAGCTAACGAACGCTGATATTAAATTACTGACCCAATCTTTCTTTTTGTAAATAGACTGTAATTATTTTGTAGGCAACTTTGGCACAAGTTGTACGCCTCATCAGGAACATTTTATTTCTTTTTTTTTGCAAACCCTAGGTTATTTTCAAAAGGGTGCTTTCTCATGTTAAAAAGAGAGGAAAGACAAATCAAGTGTGAAGAAGCAACAGATATGTACGATTTTAAAGGATCTCACCCACGGAATCAGGATGTTTATAGGCTACTGTACTGTATTTGAGAGGAAAGCTAAATTGTTGTCATAGTCCCGTGTAGCTCAGTTGGTAGAGCATGGCGTTTGCAACGCCAGGGTTGTGGGTTTGATTCCCACGGGGGGCCAGTATGAAAAAAAATGTATGCACTCACTAACTGTAAGTCGCTCTGGATAAGCGTGTCTGCTAAATGACTAAAATGTAAAAAAATTACATTACCCATTACAGCCTGCAGCTAAATCTTCTTCAGATACAATGACGAAAGTCTAGGGGGAGATATTCTTGAGGGAATCACAAAACATTTAAAATTTATTTATGCAAACAAAATGAAGACTGTGCTCTACAACTCTAAATGGAACACTCCAACAATGTGAATTACACAGTGCTATAGCAAATGTATTATAATAAATCATTTATTTGGTTTTAGTCGAAAGATAAGCTTTGTCTGGTTGTTGAAAAGCTCTACATGAAAATAGCTACTACAGAATTATGTTTCCATATCCACAACCCATGTGCTCCCACGTGTTGATGTAATTAAATGTAGTATATTTTGGGTAAATAAGTGCTTAATAAATTAACCAACATGACAATGAGAATAAAATGCTTTTGAGTTTCAGAGGAAGATGAATTGCATTGATCAGAGACTTGCGGTCACAAATCATATTGCATAATTCCAGGACACAACAAGCTACCAATTGCAATGTTAATGTGATATTTGTGTGATGATGATGAAGAGTGTTTCTTCTCCATCACCCTATTCTGTAGTGTAGTTGACCGAGTTGGAATACAAATGCTGCTGGAAGCAGGCCTGCAGTTGTCATGGTCTGAGCCCTGTCATCTATGGGTCTGTACAAGGCTGGTTCCAGGCATAAGCAACATAAACTCAGTCGGGGTCTCAATTTACTATTGAGGGTAAGAATGGTAGAATACACCAGGTGCAATTTCGAAATGTGATTGTGCGTCAGCAGTTTTTCTCATGTTATGTCAGTCACTGATAGTCACTCAATTAGCCATGTCAGCAAAAAAAAAAATGGGCGAATACCGACCGGGCACGCAGGGAATGTGCCCAGGGGCCCTGACCTCCAGGGGGCCCCCCATTGATTTAGTTATTCTCACTCCGATATCATAGTAACATGGCATAAGTCGTCACAAATGTGTAGAATTGCAGGAAATTAGCTTTAAAACTAAAATGTTTCTCTACACTAAAATGTTTTTCCACTAGGTTGAGGGCCCCCCAACCAAATCTCGTTTAGGGCCACCAAATGGCTAGAGCCGGCCCTGGGTCTGTACACCTGCATGTATGTGAAATGCAACATTATTTATCAGGAAAACCTCAAATGCTGAACTATAAAAAACTATATATATACACTACCGGTCAAAAGTTTTAGAACACCTACTCATTCAAGTGTTAAACAAATCAAAATATATTTTATATTTGAGATTCTTCAAATAGTCACCCTTTGCCTTGATGACAGCTTTGCACACTCTTGGCATTCTCTCAACCAGCTTCATGAGGTCACCTGGAATGCATTTCAATTAACAGGTGGAATTTCTTTCCTTCTTAATGCATTTGAGCCAATCAGTTGTTTTGTGACAAGGTGGGGGGGTATACAGAAGATAGCCATAAGTCCATATTATGGCAAGAACAGCTCAAATAAGCAAAGAGAAACGACAGTCCATCATTACTTTAAGACATGAAGGTCAGTCAATACAGAACATTTCAAGAACTTTGAAGGTTTCTTCAAGTGCAGTCGCAAAAACCATCAAGCGCTATGATGGTGGCGCAGTGGTCTAAGGCACTGCTTTGCAGTGCTAACTGTGCCACTAGAGATCCTGGTTCGAATCCAGGCTCTGTCGCAGCCGGCCGCGACCGGGAGACTCATGGGCGGCGCACAATTGGCCCAGCGTCGTCCAGGGTAGGGGAGGGAATGGCCGGCAGGGATGTAGCTCAGTTGATAGAGCATGGCGTTTGCAACGCCAGGGTTGTGGGTTCGATTCCCACGGGGGGCCAGTATAAAAAAAAAAAATGTATTCACTAACTGTAAGTCGCTCTGGATAAGAGCGTCTGCTAAATGACTTAAATGTAAATGTAAATGTATAATGAAACTGGCTCTCATGAGGACTGCCACAGGAATGGAAAACCCAGAGTTACCTCTGCTGCAGAGGATAAGTTCATTAGAGTTACCAGCCTCAGAAATTGCAGCCCAAATAAATGCTTCACAGAGTTCAAGTAACAGACACATCTCAATATCAACTGTTCAGAGGAGACTGTGTGAATCAGGCCTTCATGGTCGAATTGCTGCAAAGAAACCACTACTAAAGGACACCAATAAGAAGAGACTTGCTTGGGCCAAGAAACACAAGCAATGGACATTAGACTGGTGGAAATTTGTCCTTTGGTCTGATGAGTCCAAATTTGAGATTTTTGGTTCCAACCGCCGTGTCTTTGTGAGACGCGGTGTGGGTGAACGGATGATCTCGCATGTGTATTTCCCATCGTAAAACATGGAGGAGGTGTTATGGTGTGGGGGTGCTTTGCTGGTGACACTGTCTGATTTACAGTGGGGAAAATAAGTATTTAGTCAGCCACCAATTGTGCAAGTTCTCCCACTTAAAAAGATGAGAGAGGCCTGTAATTTTCATCATAGGTACACGTCAACTAAGGCAAAATGACAAAATGAGAGAAAAAAATTCCAGAAAATCACATTGTAGGATTTTTAATGAATTTATTTGCAAATTATGGTGTAAAATAAGTATTTGTGGGACGATCATGGGACGATCATTTGTTTTTCAACAGGACAATGACCCGACACACCTCCAGGCTGTGTAAGGGTTATTTTACCAAGAAGGAGAGTGATGGAGTGCTGCATCAGATGACCTGGCCTCCACAATCCCCCAACCATAACCCCAAATGTTTGGGGTCATTTAGCAGACGCTCTTATCCAGAGTGAGATGGGTCGGGATGAGTCGGACCACAGAGTGAAGGAAAAGCAGCCAACAAGTGCTCAGCATATGTGGGAACTCCTTCAAGACTGTTGGAAAAGCATTCCAGGTGAAGCTGGTTGAGAGAATGCCAAGAGTGTGCAAAGCTGTCATCAAGGCAAAGGGTGGCTATTTGAAGAATCTCAAATATAACATAAACAAATCAAAATTAAACACTTTTTGGGTTACTGCATGATTCCATATGTGTTATTCCATAGGTTTGATGTCTTCACTATTATTCTGCAATGTAGAAAATAGTAAAAATAAAGAAAAACCCTTGAATGAGTAGGTGTTCTAAAACTTCTGACCAGTAGTGTATATACAAACGATATAATTCTTGCAAGTGTATAGTCATCCCTGAGGCGATTTCTCTGTCTAGCTCTCGCTCTACAGATTAACCTCTCCAGGGACAATCCCGTAAAATCTGACCCTGGGAAGATACTGCAGGAATCCCCCCCAGCACACTGAGGCACCACCAGCTACACAGAGAAGACCCCCTCCTGTCTCAGGTTGGATACAATACAGTCCCCTCTGTCCCTCCCAGAACCACCACCTCTATCTGAAAGGAAACATACATATAATGGTGATGAGGGGGGATAGGACCCCCTAGTGTTTCCAGCCAGCAGCCACCTAAACCTCTGATCGCTATGTTTTGTGAAGATCTCGCGATAGACAGAGGACACGTTCCCTTTTTTTGCCACGTTTTGCTGTTATCAAATAGCCTGACAACTCACACAAAATTATTCCGCTGCTCTGTAGTTCGCTACATAGAATAAATGTACATCCGTGGGCGTAGCGTAGCGTTTGTCCGGATCAAGGGGTCGAGTGGCCAGGCAATTTATCAAAAACTACAGGGCGGTTTCTCTGGGCACTCCCAACGATAGTGGTTCACGCGGTGGAATTACTGCAAAAAAGAATCCGGTGAAAACTCCGCCCATGACCTCATTCCCTGTCGTGGACTGGCAGAATTTGAGATCACTCATTATTAAACTTTAGCTTGTCAGTATCAATGAGGACATTACTTTTTGTTGAAATAGTAAGCAGTAGGAAGCTACCACTAATAAGGAGGTATCAGAAATTAATTTAGGGAACAAGAAGGTTTACAGGCTAAATATTTGAACATTTCTAACCCTTTGAACTATCAGCATCCGTGCACTTAAAATGGCTCCAAGGAAGAATTCCAGAAACCAAGCCAAAAAAGGTCGGTACCTTTCCCTAATCCCTATGCTAACTAGATAACAGCATAGCTAGTGAACTATAGATTAATATGCAAGTATAGCTAGTTAAACAACCTGGTCTCAGAGTATTTGATGTTGCAACCAGTTAAATATTTTTTTGCCAGTTATGCAACTGCAGGAGCTGGAGGCAAAGTCTTTGATAATGTTATTTCCTCGAGCCAATTGTGCAGCGCCTATTTTGTAACGCTACAATGTAGCAACTAGCTACAGTTACAACAATGATACAATGTTGCCCCGCTGCTTCTAACGTTTACTGTTGTCAACTGTGTCAGCAGGTTAGCTATGTCTTCAATACATTTAGAAGGGAGCTTATAGCTATTTGTCTTCGGTGGTTGGTTTAGGCTTTTTGTTTCTCTATTCTCAAATTATGATGAATAATGTTGACGTGTGTGGCAATACGGGGAAATTTCTCTCATAGTTATCAAATTATTCCCTTCAGTGCACACCATGTCATTCATCCAGACCATCCCTGGACACGCAGATCTGGTAAAAAGCCTGTGTAACTCTGCACTGGATTTTGTGTGATTATAGCAGCCGGGATCATTAAAGGGTTACCTAACGTGTTTAACACACGAGTAATAGCCTACTCCTCTTCAAATATCGTTGAAGGAGAGTGTCATTGTAAGCACCGAGTCTAAACAAGTGGAAAGTGTTGTGAGTGGTTGATATGTTACAGTTCCTTGTAAGTCAATGCATGGATTTCAATTGTGTTGTTTTCATTGTACGGACTTGCTTGGCATATCCCAAGTATCATACAAAGTCAGCATGTACTGTGATTGTAATATCGGATAGAAAGGCATAGCCTACTAATGCTTGGCACTGTTTGCTGTGCTGGGAACTAAATGGGTTGTTTGTGCTGGTATTGCAAAAGAGACACTGCATCTACACTAGGGTGGCATCCGTTGGATCCAGTGGTCGTAGCCATGGCAACATCAACCAACTCCAGACATTTTGCAGGCTTGCGCATGCCTGACAGTTCTTCATTTTCATGGTCGCTGCCATGTAACATCCAGGTTGGACAGCTGGTAGCCCAAACCAAATAAACCTTTGGCCGCCTTTTATGTACCTACTACCATGATGCCCTACTTATTATAGAGGATATTATTATGTTAAACACAAACTAAGATTAGCCGATAGCCTTACAGGTTTATATATAGTGGTGGAGAGTCGGAGTCGACTCCAAAAATCCTGGAGTCATTAATATGCTCCTGACGTAGGCTATTAATTAGCATTTACTATTTTGGTTAGTAGAGATTTTCAGACTGCTCCTTGCATTGCTAATCAATCAGCCAGTTCATTAGTGTGCATGCACACACTCTGACATTGCAGCTGTAGCTAATTTTGGTCATTTTTGTCAGCAGGAGTCGGAGTTGACACCAAAAATACTACAGTTGTCCACCACCATTTAAAATGTAATGATGACTGTGATGGTTTCTGTATCAAGGTAACTAGCATATTGCGTGCCCGATTGATAGAAGCATACGAGAGAGTGCCATGTACAGTACAGCGTCCTCCCTTAAAGTATGGTATCAAAATTGTTAGACTAGGTTAAATCATTGGAAGTTGGTAAGCCAGTAAAGCATTTGGTAGTATTTTCTAAATATTTATGACGATCTCCATTAGCTGCTGCCAAGGGTCCAAACAGGATTAAAACAATTACAATACAACAAAAGGTAACAACAGCCTACATCATAAAACAATACATTATAAAATACATTATTACTCTATTATACCAGTAGTGCACAGTAAAGTAGCAGAAGGGGTGTGTCTGCCTATTCATGAGCTGCTTGTTCACACATTTAAGCAACTTTTTTTATTTTCTTGTTTACAGCAAGCTATAAATGCTGTAGTGTAATGACATGCTCAATTCTAGAGAAGTTCAAGTTCAACCTCTGCAGCAGCAACTGTCATGTTATTACATTGTCTGTGTTTGGACAAGTGCCAATTCTGCTGCAGTGTTTTTACATTTACATTTATGTCATTTAGCAGACGCTCTTATCCAGAGCGACTTACAAATTGGTGCATTCACCTTATAGCCAGTGGGATAACCACTTTACAAAATTTTTTTTTTGGGGGGGGGGGGGGGGGGGGGGGGGGGGTAGAAGGATTACTTTAGCCTATCCCCGGTTTTCCTTAAAGAGGTGGGGTTTCAAGTGTCTCCGGAAGGTGGTGAGTGACTCCGCTGTCCTGGCTTCGTGAGGGAGCTTGTTCCACCATTGGGGTGCCAGAGCAGCGAACAGTTTTGACTGGGCTGAGCGGGAACTGTGCTTCCGCAGAGGAAGGGGGGCCAGCAGACCAGAGGTGGATGAACGTAATGCCCTCGTTTGGGTGTAGGGACGGATCAGAGCCTGAAGGTACGGAGGTGCCGTTCCCCTCACAGCTCTGTAGGCAAGCACCATGGTCTTGTAGCAGATGCGAGCTTCAACTGGAAGCCAGTGGAGTGTGCGGAGGAGCGGGGTGACGTGAGAGAACATGGGAAGGTTGAACACCAGACGGGCTGCGGCATTCTGGATGAGTTGTAGGGGTTTAATGGCACAGGCAGGGAGCCCAGCCAACAGCGAGTTGCAGTAATCCAGACGGGAGATGACAAGTGCCTGGATTAGGACCTGTGCCGCTTCCTGTGTAAGGCAGGGTCGTACTCTCCGAATGTTGTAGAGCATGAACCTACAGGATCGGGTCACCGCCTTAATGTTAGCGGAGAACGACAGGGTGCTGTCCAGGGTCAAGCCAAGGCTCTTTGCACTCTGGTAGGAGGACACAACGGAGTTGTCAACCGTGATGGCGAGATCATGGAACGGGCAGTCCTTCCCCGGGAGGAAGAGCAGCTCCGTCTTGCCGAGGTTCAGTTTGAGGTGGTGATCCGTCATCCACACTGATATGTCTGCCAGACATGCAGAGATACGATTCGCCACCTGGTTATCAGAAGGGGGAAGGAGAAGATTAGTTGTGTGTCGTCTGCGTAGCAATGATAGGAGAGGAGAGGATAGAGTCAAGCGGGCAGGTTGTTGGGCGGCCGGCCGTCACAAGTTGCAAGATTTCATCTGGAGAGAGAGGGGAGAAAGAAGTCAAAGCATAGGGTAGGGCAGTGTGAGGAGGACCAGCAGTATCATTTGACTTAACAAACGAGGATCGGATGTCGTCAACCTTCTTTTCAAAATGGTTGACGAAGTCATCCACAGAGAGGGAGGAGGATTCAGCAGGGAGGAGAAGGTGGCAAAGAGCTTCCTAGGGTTAGAGGCAGATGCTTGGAATTTAGAGTGGTAGAAAGTGGCTTTAGCAGCAGAAACAGAGGCACCTCATTCTGCACAGTCCCCCCTCCGTCCTATTTGGCTAAGGCAGAGTAGTGACACACACTCGGAATGCCCTCCCCATATTTGTTCGACAGCTCTAAAAATAGTCCCTCGGACCAGTTTGGCCGTATCAAGTTCCAGCTGACATCTACAACTGATTCAGGCAGGGGGGATTTGTCAGAAACTGGGAAAAATCGAGGAGTTCTCTCATCGTGGATCCCACTTCATTAGACCTGATGGAGGAAACTGTGATGGAGGAACCTATCTGTGAAGAAGCCATATTGGCTGAAGAAATCCTAGGTAGGGTCAAGGGGATTTGTAAACAATAGGCTAATGGTTCTGCTTAACTGCTTCATTCAGAAATGTGGAATGGTAACAAACAGTGTGTTGAGGATTGAGTTGTCATTTTGGGTAACGGAGCAGTGTTTGGTAGGAAGAGCGTCTGCAGTAACATAGGGCTATTACAAAAGGTAGTAGACAGAGCAACCTTGGCCAGCAACCTATTCTAAATGGGTAGCTATTTAAAAGCACAAAATATTTATAAAAGTGCTAAAGGTTAAAAGGACTAAAGAATATAGAACATGGTGACTTGTCAAGGCACGGGTACTGTTGCAAAAGTAGGCTAGGGTGTTGTTCGTCACTTAGGCTAGTGTATTTCTGTATATTGCTTGGAACTGTAGTGTTACCTCGTATACAGCAATGCTTTTGAACTTGTACAGTTACAGTAGGGTAGCTGTGTGTTCGTTCCAAACCTGTGTCTTTGGAGCCTTTAGTAGTTGAATAACCACCTGTTCACACTTTCGATCTTCCTCGCTCTAGTTCTCCCTACCCTTCTGTCGGGTCATGTTGTCACCATCACTCTCTCGCTCTATTCGTGGTTTTATCTTATCAATTTACAGTATGAATACTGTCCCTATTCATGTTGTGGATACACATTTATTTCTTTACACATCCAGAACAAGAGCCTATGTTGAGTTATACCATCAGACATCTCCTCTCTGCGAACCTATCGAGTTTCCTCGTGTGAATAGCCTATGTCACTAGGAAGTATGCCAACTTGAGACTACTCCTCTACTGTTAGTTGGAATACCCCTCCTAGGGTCTCACTGAAAACATGTCTAGGTAATGGGGGGGGGGGGAGAGAACCAGATCTCTCTTGGTTTTTCATATACCTTGTTCCTCATATAGATATAGGTTAGTTAACCAATATCACGTTTCATACTGGGACGTCTTGCATTTCAAAGGCACAACAACTTTTGGCCTACTTGTCATAGTAAAGCTTGTCTTGCGTGGTCCTACTATGGGAGACCTTTAGTTGAGCCTGTCGGACTAGTCAGGGGCTGGGGCATTTAAGTCTTCTGCCTGCCTCTGTCATTCAGTAATCTGATCCAGGCAGGGTTATTTTCTAACCGGACTTCAGCATTCCCCTCAGTCCTCCTCTACTCAGATCTGCTCACACTAACTCATAGCTTCTGAGGAAGGCCACTGGGAAAAGAATGGCTCACGTTTCTTTCAGTCCTGTCAATCACAATGACTGAAAAATGTCCAGTAAAAATTATATTACAATTTTACACATTTAGCAGATGCTCTTATCAAGAACGACTTACACTGGTGCATTAATCTTAAAATATCTAGGTGAGACAACAACATATCACAGTCGTAGCAAGTACATCTTCCAAAATGACTGCGATATGTCCCAGTACCCTATGCCCCAGTCAGAATAATTGACATATGCTCATTGCGTCCTTTCTTTTCCAGAGGTGAAGCCCGCAGCAGTGGTGAATAAGAATGGTGTGAAAGCGGAGGCTGCTGCAGCTAGTGGGGGTGGTGGTGCTGCTAGTGGGGGTAGTGGTGGTGCTGGTGGTGGTTTTAGCGGCACTAAGATCTTCACCTGGTTCATGGTTCTGGCTCTCCTGGGGGTGTGGAGCTCCGTGGCTGTGGTGTGGTTGGACCTGGTGGACTACGACAACGTCATCGGTGAGTCACCTGAGCTCCCCTCATTCTTATGATAAACAGTAATGCTTTATTTTACAGCCCGGTTTAAGCTGGTACCTGGTATTTACATGTTACTAAGAAGGCACAATGTGGTAACAATAATTACCTCAATGAATTCAGCACAATTGGTAACTACCTGGTATGTCAATGAATCCCAAAGAAACCAAAGTGTAATTACCATGCTATTATTATTTTATTAGGTTACTATTTTAACAAGTAACTACTGTATCGGCAAGCTGTAAGTAAACCGTTATCTGATAAACTATTGCCTCTTTTTATCTCTTTCAAGATAAGAATGCACAACGTTACAAAATGTTTGTATTGCAATATATTGTGTAGAGCAGGTAATGGTTTTCTATCATGTAGAATATAGGGCATTGGGTGTTAGTATGCTACATGTTTAGCCTAAATTGAGTATAGCCCCCTACTCCAGTATTTCCCAACTCCAGTCCTCCAGTACCCCCAACAGCACATGTTTATGTTGTAGCCCTGGACAAACTCACCTGATTCAACTTGCCAACTTATCATCAAGCCCTGGATGAGTTGAATCAGGTGAGTTTGTCTGGGGTTACAACAGAAATGTGTGCAGTTGGGGGCAGTGGCGGCTCCTGAAAAAATTCTCAGGGGGGGCAATTTTTCTGATGATTTAGGTGACCTACACACATTTAAAAAAAGATATGTCCAGCAACAACATGAAGACAGGGGCAGCATATAAGTCAATACTGATATACACATTACTTGCTTCAAAAAGGCCTCATGGTTGAATTGGAAATATGTGCACCTGAGCATAATTCACAACAAGCAAGCAGGAGCTTTTGATAGAGGCTACTGAAAACATTGATGCAAGTTATTGGTAATAAGAAATTTTTATAGACTTCCATATTCTTCCCTCTTGTATAGATTTGTGAAAATGAACAGTGATAGACATTTTGCTTGAAAACAGAAGTTGAAAATAATTTCTAGAAAAGGTAAACACAGCTATCTGTATGGCTTTGTAAAAATGAACAACCATATTCTGGCCAATTGTATAGATTTGTAAATATGATGATGTCTCCTTTCATGCATACATTTTCAAATAAAGCTCTGCTTTGAGAAAGATCGAATGATATTGTTTAATCTTACCTTATGGCCTGCACACTCCTTGTGAAGCTGTCGAGGGCACGTTTGATGAAGACAGCATCGATGTCCTTCTTCTGTAGCTTCTGGTACAGAATGTCGACGTGGGGCATGATTTTGTGAAAAAGCCCCAGGAAAAAAATAAAATCTTCTTGCTATCTATGTACCTCAGCACAAGCACCAGCTGTGTCTGTGTAGAAACGTCCGTGGTCTCGTCAGCTTGGATAGCTACGAAGTTCGCCGACTTCACCTCCTCCACAATATGTTCCCTCATGACCGCTAGCATACACTCCAGTAGCTCGTTTTGAATGGTCTTTGATGTGCCCTTGAAAACTTTAGCATTTTTAAGATGGTCATCAAACACCTCATCTAATTGTGCCACAAAGTTGACAAGTCCAAGAAAAATACCAGGGTTGGTGGAGCCCTCCGTTTCATCTTTGCCTCGCAAAGCTAACTCAAACACTCCGCAAAACTTCACACACTGGATTAGCCGGCTGAGGATGTGGCGGTTCTTGCTAACCTCATCGTTGTGGCGGCGGACAGCTAGCCTGTATCCCTCATCCAGTTGAGTGGCAATGTTCACTCTCCCCAAAGCAGACAATCTCAAACAGCTATCCATGTGGGTCTTTGACAGCCCAATTTTTGGAAAATCCTCGGGTGTAGGACTTTCCCCCTTTAGTAGAAACCTGTTGAATTATTAAATATGGTCTGGGAGGTCCTAATTGTTTCGTTGCCAATTTATCTTGATTTGTTCGCCGACAAAAACGAACTTCTTTCAAAGAGACAATCGAGTTGCACTGAACGCTAGCCATCTTGATTGACGCTGCTACCCGCTCTTTTCTTAGTTATGTTACGTATGACGAAAGCGCGTAAGTGCAAGCCCTCCCGGAACCCATAGAGATTGTATTAAAAGCTCTGATATTTGAAAAAAAAAAGATTTTACATGAGAGGCTATGAGACACTTCTGGGCGATTTTCAACCTGACTGAAATCGCCCCAAAACGGGCGGGGCCATTTGAAGCACGACTTTAGCCTGATTGGACATTTAGTGGCAGATCAGACGTCTAGATTAGAACACTAATAACTACTGTTGCCGTGATATAATTGATTAGAAAAAAAATCCCTTCCTTTTCCCGTTTGGCAGTGCGTCGCCCATATCGCCCTAATGAACACACCGCCCCTGGTTGGGGGTACTGGAGGACTGGAGTTGGTAAACACTGGTCTAGATTATGTTCTGACCTCAGCTTACTGTAGATGCGTAGGAACAGCACTTCATGCCTTCTCTGACTCAAACAGGAACCGAAATGTTGTATGTGGTTTGGACAGGAACACATCTCAGACAGGAAGCCATGACCTACTTGTCAAACTTTTCAAGAAGATAATTAATTGGAAAGATGAATTTGTACTGATATTAGTAAGAGGTTTTGTAAAAAATTATAATTTAGTAACCAATTTAATGTGTAGCGTGAAGTAGGCCCAATACTGTCGCTGTTTAATGAACTTTTGATCTTGATGATACCCCTAAAAACAAAATACTCCTGTGTGTCTTAATCTTGCATGCAGCGAGAGCAAAGGAATTCCGTTTTAACTTTTCAGAGGTTTTACAAGGTATTTATGGTCTTTGCTTGCATGCATCACCAAACAATTCAAACCCATCTGTCATACTTCACAAAAATATCTTCAATTCTATCTGTTATTAGTTTTGAATAGTTTACATTATAATATGCCTCAAAATAATGATTTAACAATATGCAGTAACAACATATTTGTCTTGGCTTGCCGATGTTGCATACTGTAAATCCACCTTTGACTCATACTGAAAGTTCTTAGTTCTCATGTCTGATTTTGAAGAAGCAAATTCTTTGAATTGAAGGTATAGCATTATTTCATCAAGGCCCTGCGACAGACTAGTGTCCTATCCAGGGGGTGTACTTGTACATCAAGCTGCCTCACGCTACAGAAACGTGAGCCTATGGGTCGCTTCGGCTCGGACAAGGCTTACTTACTTAGGCTTACTTATAGCTTAATTTCCCTATCCCCTCACCTCCCAACCTTTTGACCAGCAAATTCACTTAATTTCCCAAACAGTTTGAGTTTTACTGTGATTATGAACTCCCTGATTAATCAAAGGATCAGTTCTCCATACTGAATGAATCTGACCAGTCACCATACGCACAGTGTGACCTCACTCAGGCAGTGTGTGTAACTACAGGAAGTCAGTCTGTGGTACAGCTATGTCTGCAGTCTGCAGTCAGTCGAGTGGCTGCTGCTACGTCTGCTGTATGTCTATACTGCTGCAGTTCAGCAGAATCACCTTGACCACAATCCCCCACATCCCCCTCAGAAATGTAGAAATAATTCAGAGCTGAGACATAGGCTGTAAATATGATACGGTTCCACTTTGAACACCATAATATGACTTCATTGGCAAGTAGTGATGTAAAACTAAAACCCGGAGAATCACATTAAAGAAAGCAAATTATCTGTTAACTGTTTCTAATTATAGAGGATGTGAATGTCCTGTATTGTATGTCGTGTCGTCGTACCCCCCCCCCCAAATGATTTTGATGGATAGGCCAACATTAGGCTTATTTGTGGAAAGGACTGTACTCTGAATGTTTTTTATGACGACCTTAACTATGACCTTTTCGCAGGTAAACTTTCAGCGTATGATGCAGATGGCGACGGTGACTTCGATGTGGAGGACGCCAAAGTACTACTCGGCAAGTGCATTTTTAATAATTACCTTTTTGTGACCTCTACAGTAAAGGTTACTTGTGCATGACTGACTTGGTTTTCTTTAGTTTGAGTACCAGTGCCATAAACTAAACAGCTTACTTAGATGGGAAAAACTAAAGTTTGTGGCTTTAAAACCAGACATTTTTGTTGAAGCTGTTACTGAATCTTCACATAAAAAAATTGTTCAATTTAAGAACTCCTGGACACAGTTGTTCAGAAGTAAATATTTTGTTTAGTGTGCAGCTCAAAAGAGCTTGAAGTCCTCTGGAAGCCTCTTCACAGCGTTATTTAACTCCTACAACAGCTACAACAACACTCTACATTTCTGTGTGAGATTTAGCTCAAAACCAACAAACCATATTGCTTATGGTTGTAATATTGGCCACCTGCCGCGTGTACAGTGCCTTCGGAAAGTATTCAGACCCGTTGACTTTTTCCACATTTTGTTAGGTTACAGCCTTATTAAAAAATGTATTAAATTGTTTTTTCCCCTCATCAATCTACACACAATACCCCTAAATGACAACGCAAAAACAGGTTTTATAAAAATGTTGCACAAAAAAAATAAACTACGGAAATATTGCATTTACATAAGTATTCAGACCCTTTACTCAGTACTTTGTTGAAGCACCTTTGGCAGCGATTACAGCCTTGAGTCTTCTTGGGTATGACACTACAAGCTTGGCACACCTGTATTTGGGGAGTTTCTCCCATTCTCTGCAGATCCTCTCAAGCTCTGTCAGGTTGGATGGGGAGCATTGCTGCACAGCTATTTTCAGGTCTCTCCAGAGATGTTCGATCGGGTTCAAGTCCGGGCTCTGGCTGGGCCACTCAAGGACATTCAGAGACTTGTCCCGAAGCCACTACTGCGTTGTCTTGGCTGTGTGCTTAGGGTCGGGTCCTGTTGGAAGGTGAACCTTAGCCCCAGTCTGAGGTCCTGAGTGCTCTGGAGCAGGTTTTCATCAAGGATCTCTCTGTACTTTGCTCCGTTCATCTTTGCCTCGATCCTGACTAGTCTCCTAGTCCCTGTCGCTGAAAAACATCCCCACAGCATGATGCTGCCACCACCATGCTTCACCGTAGTGATGGTGCCAGGTTTCCTCCAGACGTGACGCTTGGCATTCAGGCCAAAGAGTTCAATCTTGGTTTCATCAGACCAGAGAATCTTGTTTCTTATGGTCTGAGAGTCCTTTAGGTGCCTTTTGCAAACTGCAAGTGAGCTGTCATGTGCCTTTTACTGAGGAGTGGCTTCTGTCTGGCCACTCTGCCATAAAGGCATGATTGGTGGAGTGCTGCTGAGATGGTTGTCCTTCTGGAAGGTTCTCCCATCTCCACAGAGGAGCTCTGTAAGAGTGACCATCAGGTTCTTGGTCACCTCCCTGACTAAGGCCCTTCTCTCCCGATTGCTCAGTTTGGCCGGGCGGCCAGCTCTAGGAAGAGTCTTGGTGGTTCCAAACTTCTTCCATTTAAGAATGTTGGAGGCCACTGTGTTCTTGGGGACCTTCAATGATGCAGAAATGTTTTGGTACCCTTCCCCAGATCTGTGCCTCGACACAATCCTGTCTCGGAGCTCTGCGGACAATTCCTTCGACCTTATGGCTTGGTTTTTGCTCCGACATGCACTGTCAACTGTGGGACCTTATATAGACAGGTGTGCCTTTTTACAAATCATGTAAAATCAATAGAATTTACCACAGGTGGACTCCAATCAAGTTGTAGAAACATCTCAAGGATGACCAATGGAAACAGGATGCACCTGAGCTCAATTTCGAGTGTCATACTTATGTAAATAAGGTATTTCTAAAAACCTGTTTTCGCTTTGTCATTATGGGGTATTGTGTGTAGATTGCTGAGGATTTATTTTTATTTAATCCATTTTAGAATAAGGCTGTAACGTAACAAAATGTGTAAAAAGTCAAGGGGTCTGAATACTTTTTGAAGGCACTGTATCTACAATACTGGCTCATCACTGACACTTTCCATTTCCCATAATGTGTAGCCTAATAGCTCTTGTCCTGTGTGGCCTAATAAAGGGACTAATAAAGACTTTACCAATCAAAGAGAAGGACTAATGACTGTCCCTGACTGACTAAAAACACTGCGCAGAGTTGGTTACAGTACCTCTGTCCATAGCTGGTAGCGACATTTCAACATTCTACACTTTCAGACAGCTACACTCTCAACTTTTAAAGGCGGTATTTTCTTGTCGCTCTTCTATTCTTCAACTTATACGCCTCTCTCTTTTCTGCATTACCATCCACTCTCTTCATTTCGCTTCCCTTCCCTCTCTCCATCCTCTCTCCTCTTCTCTTCCCCCTTGTTTTTCTCCTCTCTCTCGTCAGGCTTGACCAAAGAGGGCGGTGAAATTACTAATGAAAACGCAGATTCCCTAGAGGAAATCTTCGGTATTTTAGCCGAGGGGGGCTCTGATTGGTTTCAAGGCTTCTTCACGTTTCTCTATGACGTGATCACTCCTCCCGTAGAGAAGGTGGAGGATCCAGAGAGTCAGACAGCAGAGGAGGAGGGTGATGCTGGTACGTCCCAGAATGGTGGTGGGGTTCAGGGCATTATATTAGACCTACAGGATCAGTAGTCAAAAGCTCCTGAGCGTTCCACTCCTAGCTTGCCATCCATGAGGAGCAGAATGAGACCAGTCTACTGGGTGAGGTCAAAGGTCACCTCAACTCTAACTGGAGGAAATAGAAAATTGCGCTGGTCGTGTCTCTGTGAAAAGAATGTCTGAGAAGAGGATATTATGTTTTTGTCCTCCTCGACTTTGGCCTTGCTGCGATGGTGCTTGCCATTGGGAATATTGGCCTGGACTTTGAAGACTTTTATGCTTTGCACTTTTTCTAAGCTTTTGCACTACTCATTATCGTTGTGATGCACATATTCTTTGCACATCTTTGTTCTGGCTGAATTAATCATTTATGTGCTATTTAAATCTTAATTTTGCCAGTTAAACTGAATTTCTCATTTCTGCATTTAGACCATTGGTAAAAAGAAACATGTTTTGATTTGAATGTAATCAGTTAATCTATACTCTTAAAAGCCTTACAGTAAATCCTTTTACTCTAATCAGAAATGTCAATGAATTATTTTATCTTTACAACCATCCACATAACATGGTTCAGGCTTCTGATAACGTTGTATGTCACAGTTTATGTGACTCATAGTTTAATTCACAAAAAAGTATGTAATGTATATTTTTAGCAATGCAACATTGGATACTGCAGTACATAACGTGTTTATGCTCAAAAGCTTATGTCAGCAATGTTCACCTTTTGTTTGATCAAAACATGCTGTATCTATTTGCACTGTCTATTCTAAGTCTAGCAGTCGTCTCTCTTTTCCCAGCAGTAGTATGTTAATTCAGTTTAGCACTAGGTCAAGGATGACTACTTTGTCTAAATTCCTATGACTCAATGGTATTAGACCTACATCTGGAAAGGACTGACACTGAGTGTGATGTTGGCGAGATGCTTGAATGATACACAAATGCAATGTGAATGACCAAATGACCACTGAATTTGGGACTCTGCAACGTTTTGCACTTCTATTTGAAGCAAGTGTGTGTGTGTGTGTGTATAGGCCTACTTAACCATTTTAAGTAGGCCTATTGCAATATGCAGGCCTAGTCTATTAATATCTGGACATAAAATATCGGAACACTGCATTTTGTTTATTATGTTGTGAGATAAAAGTTTGAGCGTCTGTCTAAGGAATAAATATGACTATCACAGTGTTGATGGAATTATTTTATGTGTAGTATCTACAAACATGGGCACTATCAACGATTATGGGCATCGATGAATTGTTGTATGCATTTTGTACAGGACTGGATCATGACCAGAATAAGTGACTTCTTTCTGTTTGATATCCTTTGAGCGATTGTGTAAAACTTGCGGGATGATGCAGTGTGCACTCTTTTGAAATGGCACGTACAGTCCCCTCCGACATGGTCCATGCTGTGTCTAATATCTTTTTTGGTTTTGTTTATATGTTAGACGAAAAAGAGGCCAAAGTTCCTGCTCCCAAAAAGGAAACGCTGAAAAAAGGTACTTCCTCCTGGTTGATTGCTCCCTGTGTGTGTTGACTTTGGCCTACATTTTGAGTTTTTTGCTGAACTCCCTCATGACCCTGCATATTGCCTAGCAAATGGACCAGTCCTCAAAAAAAAAAAAAACATACTGTGTCACTGTAGCTAATGGTTCTTCTTTCCTTTTACATAATTAGAGGACAAGAAAAAAGTATCTTCCCTGAGAATTTATTCTCCAGAATGATTTTATTCTCTTTGGGAATAAAAGTGTCATTTTTGTCTGTGTGTACGTGCGTACGTGTGTTTTTTAAGTTGGACAATTGATTTCGGGTGGGCATGACATGGTCACACTTTGTGAGAATCAACTTTATCTGGACTGTGGCTCTGTGGCCATGGATTTTAAACCAGCCCTTTGACAGACAGTGCAGTCAGGGATCAGAGGTAGAAGACTTCATGCGTGGAAATATTGTATCACTCACGTGGTGTTTTGACCAAGAGGCAAATCATAGGCCACAACTTCATGCAACACCTTGGTCAAAACTGTGATTGAAATTAGCTTTTGTTGCTTTTCATTTTTTAGAGAGAGAGAGAGACAAGTTTTGTCTTGTGTGTAGCCAACCAAGGCCTGAGTTGAAACTTGTTTTTTTGTGGAAGTTGTTCAATTGAGTATAGAGTTTAGATGATTGTTTACCGTCAATTTTATATTGCACTGTTTGTCTGTTTTCTCCGTCCAGAGGTGGCGGATCTGCGCCTCTATAATCCTGCCCAATTTAAGCTTTGAGCATAAATCCTCTTTTATTTTTTAAGATAATTGGGTGGGTGCTTACATTTGTCCTATTTCACACATGTGCAAATTTGAGTTTTTTTTTGCATATCCCACTCCCCCTGAGTGTGTGGTAAGAGCCAGGGATCAGCCATTATTGACGGTGACCCTGGATCAATTAGGGTTATGTGCCTTGCTCAAGGGCACATCAATAGATTTTTTTTACCTAGTCGGCTCAGAGATTTGAAGCAGCAACCTTTCGGTTACTGGCCCAATGCTCCTAACCGCTAGGCTACCTGTCATTAGACTGAGGATAAGACAAACTGCAGCTCCTACAGGCTTTTGTAAGGCAAAATGACATCTCAGTAGTGGATTCAAGTTGTTCCCTGTTCAGAATAGATCTAATTCTTTTTAAAAAATATATATATATATATATAGTTTGGTTACTTTTGGGTCTTATTGGACTTTTTCTAACAAGCCTACATTTTAAAGGATAAAATAAGACCTAAAATGTAGGGGGGGGGAAACGGTTCTAGTTTAATGAAGGGGCATAGACGGGAGTGTTTTGCCTGTGTTATGGAAGACTATGAACTAGGCAGCGGCACAACGTATTTGATGAACTTAAATGTGTTTTCAGACACTTCTTCATTTGACACACGTTTACTTTTGTTTCTGTTTGTCCTCTGAAAAAATGTCAGCGGAGAAGATTGTAGAGGTTCCTATTCCAAAAACAGAAAAGCCAAAAGGTAGCCCACTTATTTAATGGTGGTGAGTCTGTTGTATGAGTCAATTCTTGTTGACCATTGATGAAGCTAAAAAGCTCTTCCTTTCTTATAAAAATAAATAAAAAAACAAGCCTGTGGATGCTATGAAAAAAGTAAAACCTGAAGGTACTTTGACTGATATTTAGTTTAAGTCCAGTTTCATTGAGTTTTACTCTGTCGGGATGAAAATGGTAATGTGTGCTTGCATATGCGTGTGGTTTATCATGAATTCATTAATAAAATCATCAGTCATACTTTTGAAGACATTGAGTTTTGAATCTGTAGTGGTTGTTATAAGGACACCTGTATCAGACTAACTTTCTGTGGGGCATGGACAAGGGTCAGAGGTACATTGGCTTAATGCTAATGATGTCTGTTGAGAAATCAAGTATATTTAATTAAACTAAAACCTATGACTGTTGACACCTATATAATGGAGACAACCTTCTGCTCCAGGTCACCTTAAAGCAAATTTGTTTGCATCCAGGACGACTTCACATTGTGGGCTCCCGAGTGGCGCAGCGGTCTAAGGCACTGCATCTCAGTGCTTGAGGCGTCACTACAGACCCCCTGGTTCGATTCCAGGCTGTATCACAACCGGCCGTGATTGGGAGTCCCATAGGGTGGCGCACAATTGGCCCAGCGTCGTCCGGGTTTGGCCGGTGTAGGCCGTCATTGTAAATAAGAATTAGTTCTTAACTGACTTGCCTAGTTAAATAAAGGTTACATTTTTTTTTTTTTTTTTTACATTCGTTCTAAATATTCTTATAAGATTTTGAGTTAGCGGATGAAGTGGGTGGCTATTGTAAAGCTACTTGTTTGAGTAGTTGTTCAACGGTAGAGCTCACCATTGTCTTACTTGTGAGTAGTTTATAGGATATGTGGTCATTTGTAGCCCAGTTGGTAGAGCATGGCGCTTGTAACGCCAGGGTAGTGGGTTCGATTTTCGGGACCACCCATACGCAAAATGCATGCACGCATGACTGTAAGTTGCTTTGGATAAAAGCGTCTGCTAAATGGCATATATTATGAAAACATTCGCTCACATAATTGACATTCACATATGCCTAACTGCATAGATGTGTTCTACCATTTTCACACACACATTGTATTGCTAATTACTGTGTTATATCTTTAATCCATTCCTAAACCAAAGGGGACTGGGGGCTACACTAAGTATCCCTGCAAGTTTAAAGATGCACTATGCAGAAATCGCTCCGCCATTTCCTGGTTGCTAACATAATAATAGTTAGCCTAATTTCAGTTTGTGACAAAACAAGGAAGTGTAGCAATATTTTTTAGGTGTTCGAAGCTGGTGAACCAAACCCAAAAGTAAGACGCAAAAACAAAACTTAACCACGGGAAGCAGAGAAATAGCGCACATAGAACAGATCTACCGCTTCTTAGACTTGCTTTAAATGAGTGTCAGATCTATAACTCACATTTCTATGTCAATTTGATGGGTTGCCCGAAAGGTTAGGTATTGCAGCTTTAATGGTGCCTGAATCCTACGGGTCTTACAGGCTAACTATCAACCATGGCTGCAATTTATTGTGAAGTAGCTCTAATGGCCTTGGTGTTTTATTACTGTTCTTCCTCTCCCAAATCAGATGAGAGTCCTGGAGAGGTGGCTTCTAAAAAGAACAGAACAAAAGGTATCAGCATGTTGCATTTTTGGTTGTTAGACGAAAGTGAACTTTGTTGGTGTGTGGTTGTTTTACCTGACGTGCACTGACAACTGATTTTTGTCTTTGCTTGCATCCCTCTTGGTTATAAAACATGACAAAACGCTGTATTGATAATGGAATTGAAGATTGATTGATTATCCTAATACGTAATGTGTGTCATAATCTGAATAACCTTGTTTTTCTAATTTGATTTGTTTGATTTAGTGGTGTTGAAACGACTGGAGTGAGTTGTTAGGATGAATGAACTCTATGAAGAGTTGTGGAATCATCCGCCATGAGATCTGCAGCATGTTGATTCACATGTTGAACTCTAGTCCGGTCGGTGTGTGTTTTTAGCACTTCTTACCATAGATGTGATGTAGTAAGAAAATAACCCGGAGTGTGCTAACGTAGTACCAGCAAACACAAGGTGAGAACTGTAGAAGTAGATCTCAACCTCACTAGCCTATTGCTATTGTCCTAAGGCAGGGTTCTTCAATTCCGGTCCTGGAGGGCCGAAACACTTCTGTTTTTTATTTCTACCTGGTAGTTAATTGCACTCACCTGGTGTCCCAGGTCTGAATTAGCCCCTGATTAGAAGGAGAGGATGAAAAACAGAGGTGTTTCGGGCCCTCCGGGACCGGAATTGAAGAACCCTGTCCTAAGGCTATTTGATCAACTCTAATATGTGATATATATTGAAATAGCAGGACGAGCACGTCATCTAGTCTGGATGCAGAAGTATCAATGCTGCAGAGGGAAGTCCTCAAACTCCAGAAAACTGCAGCTTGAAATTGAGAAATGAATACTCAATCAGGAGAAAATAAAGAGAGCATGGAAATTAGAGTTTTAGTCGAGAATGAACATTTTAAGCCCGACCCAACCAGAGCCTGAGGAGAGACAGGTGGTCAATGCTCTGCAGCTCGAAGCATGAGGCAGCCCAGAAAGCCCAGGGAATGTTACAGGCTGAACTCAGGGAGGAGAAAGTGAGGGAGGAAATTGAACAAGAAGACAAAAGACAGGCTGAGAGTATTCTTGCTAAAGAGGAGGAGGAGAGACAATTGTCCGGAGTGCTGGAGCTCAAGAGGCAAGAGGTGGCCCAAAAGCCCATGAAATGCTAGAGGCTCAACTCGAAGAGGAAAGAGGGGCTGAGAGGAGAGCGCAGGAGCAAGCAGAGAAAGAAAGGCTAGAGAAAGAGAGCGTTTTTAAGTAGTTGAAGGAGGTAGAAGAAAAAGATAGGCTGAATAACTGTAGACTATACAGTCGCCTCAGTTTCATTTCCTAGACTGGTTTGGTTGTTACAATAAAGCACTGCCAAACTATAGCCTGCATGTTGGAGTTTTTCTTCAATTTCGTTAGCAATGTTGTGAACATCCATTAGTGATCAATGGCTTCTCTCGTGCAGGTTTGATGTTTTCAAATGATCAGATAGCCGATTGGTAAAGTGCATGCATGCGAAAGAGTCATGGCAGAACCACAATACCCAATCACAGCATGATTTGGATAGCTGATTTTGCGATCAACGCTATAGTCCTTGCATCAAGAGTGATGTCTATGAATTTGAGAGGGGTACATTTCCCTAGCTTCATCGCTCCACTCTATACCAAAACAAGTGTCAGGAACCCATTTTGTTGTTTTTCGAATTGCAGAATGTAGCTTTAATGTGGAACGTAAGATGTAAATCAACTAGACAGCATTTCAGAGTTGCTTAGTAACTGGCAAAGCTGGAACTTTGATAATTTCTCCTAAAAATCACATTTTCAAACTAACCATAACCCTAACTATACTGCTAACCTTACACCTAACCCAATTTAATTAAGGAACGTTTATTCTGGATGTTTTGAAAATAAACGTGGCGTGAAATGTTGTATTTTCAAATCAAACTATATTGGGACACATAACATAATAATAAACCTCCTGGCATGTGCCATTGGCAGTGGGAAATAGAAGGGGTGTTGACATACTGCCCTTTTAAAACCCCCAGAGCACCCAACAAGAGAACTTGGTAGGAAATTAAAGGCAGCATTAAAGGAACAGTTGAGAATGATCCATGAGAAGATTGAAGCCCAAAAAATTGCCGAAATGGCTTTGGCTGAAGTGAGGAGTATCCTGGCCAAAGAGGAGGAAGAGAGACAATTGGTCAATGCTCTGGAACTCAAGAGGCAAGAGGCAGCCCAAAAAGCCCAGGAAATGTTAGAGGCTCAACTGGCTCAACAGGAAAGAGAGGGGGAGGAAAGAGAACAAGAAGAGAGAAGAGCACTGGAGCAAGCAGGGAAAGAGAGGCTGAAGAAAGAGCAAATGGAGCAGTTGGAGAGAGAAGAGAAAGAGAGGCTGGAGAAACAGAGGGAAGCTGAGGAGAAGGCAGAAAAAGAACGATTGGAGAAGGAAAAGGTAGAGAAAGAGAGGATAGAAAAGGAGAAGGCAGAGCTGGAAAGGATGGAGAATGAGATACTGGAAAAGGAGCGGGCCGCCAAAGAGAAAGCAGAAAAGGAGAGGATTGAGAAGGAACGGGCAGAAAAGGAGGCTGAGGGGTAGCAAGGAACAGAAAGAGAGGTTGAGAAAAGGCAGAAAGGAGGGCTGAGAAAGAGCGGGTAGCTAAAGAGAAAGCAGAAAAGGAGAGGATTGAGAAGGAACGGCAGAAAAGGAGAGGGCTGAGAAAGAGCGGGTAGCTAAAGAGAAAGCAGAAAAGGAGAGGATTGAGAAGGAACGGGCAGAAAAGGAGAGGGCTGAGAAAGAGCGGGTAGCTAAAGAGAAAGCAGAAAAGGAGAGGATTGAGAAGGAACGGGCAGAAAAGGAGAGGGCTGAGAAAGAGCGGGTAGCTAAAGAGAAAGCAGAAAAGGAGAGGATTGAGAAGGAACGGGCAGAAAAGGAGAGGGCTGAGAAAGAGCGGGTAGCTAAAGAGAAAGCAGAAAAGGAGAGGATTGAGAAGGAACGGGCAGAAAAGGAGAGGGCTGAGAAAGAGCGGGTAGCTAAAGAGAAAGCAGAAAAGGAGAGGATTGAGAAGGAACGGGCAGAAAAGGAGAGGGCTGAGAAAGAGCGGGTAGCTAAAAAGAAAGCAGAAAAGGAGAGGATTGAGAAGGAACGGGCAGAAAAGGAGAGGGCTGAGAAAGAGCGGGTAGCTAAAGAGAAAGCAGAAAAGGAGAGGATTGAGAAGGAACGGGCAGAAAAGGAGAGGGCTGAGAAAGAGCGGGTAGCTAAAGAGAAAGCAGAAAAGGAGAGGATTGAGAAGGAACGGGCAGAAAAGGAGAGAGTTGGGAAAGAACGATTAGCCAAAGAAAAGGAGAGAGTTGAGAAAGAGCGATTAGCCAAAGAAAAGGAGAGAGTTGAGAAAGAGCGATTAGCCAAAGAAAAGGAGAGAGTTGAGAAAGAGCGATTAGCCAAAGAAAAGGAGATAGTTGAGAAAGAGCGATTAGCCAAAGAAAAGGAGAGAGTTGAGAAAGAGCGATTAGCCAAGGAAAGGGCAGAGAAAGAAAAGGAAGAGAGAGAAAGGGCGGAGAAAGAGCGTGTCACCAAAGAAAGAGCAGAGAAAGAACGGGTAGCAAAGGAAAAAACAGAAAAGGAGAGGGTGGAGAGAGAACGGGTAGCGAAAGAAGAGCGGATGGAGAGAGAACGGGTAGCCAAGGAAAAGGAGAGGATGGAGAGAGAACGGGTAGCCAAGGAAAAGGGGAGGATGGAGAGAGAACGGGTAGCCAAGGAAAAGGAGTGGATGGAGAGAGAACGGGTAGCCAAGGAAAAGGGGAGGATGGAGAGAGAACGGGTAGTCAAAGAGAGAGCAGAGAAGGAGAGAGCAGAGAAAGAGCAACAAGCCAAAGAGTTAGCTGCTAAAGAAAAGGAGAGAGTGGCGGTAAAAGAACACTTAGTAAAAGAAAAGACTGCAAAGGCCAAGGTTGAGACAGAACAGTTACCCAAGGAGAAGGCAGCGAAGGAGAGAGCAGAAAAAGAGCGTGTACTCAAAGAAAAGGCAGAAAGGGAGAGAGTTGTGAAAGAGGAGAAAAGAGCCAAACAGGCAAAAGAGGAGATGCCTGAGAAAAATGCGAATAACTTCACAACTACGAGCAAGAAGGAAAAAATCTTGGCTGTAAAAGACCTTCTGAAGCCTAAAGCCACCAAGGTGAACAAGAAATGAAACTGCACAGGCTGATGATCCTTCAATTACAAAACAGACAACTATACCCTCCTCCCTAAAGGCACTTCTGTAGATCTGAAGGAATTGATTTATAATTTAGCCAATATAATTGATGGTGCTGAATAAATATGTTATGGCTGGTCTGTGGTGATCTGTGATAATCAACTTTGGTTTTGGTCTTTTGTTAGAGCCTTGTCCTCCCCCTTTTGGTAAATTTGTATGGCTTATTATTGATTTATTGGGAAAAATATGCACGGAGTACAACCGAGGGGATAACACGTTATAGCGATTCCACTTGTGTCCAACGTGTTCCCTGATACATACATACATACTGTATAATAATTAAAGAAAGATGTGTACCTGCACACTGAAAAATGCTCCCATAGATACACCTGCGGACGCATTCAATCAAATTGTGGAAGCGTTCATTAGTGTGTGGGTATCTGTCTTTCTTTCATTAGTGTACGTTCTGTACCCTTCACCTGCAAGTCACTGAATACACAACTTTTGAAATGAGTTATATACAGACTAAATACAAAGTATGCTCATTTGCTTGAAGTGATTGTTTTTTCGATTTCAAAATTAAGCAGAATATTTTTGTTAGTATAAGGCACACGTGTCAAACTCATTCCACAGAGGGCTGACTGTCTGCGGGTTTTCGCTCCTCCCTTGTACTTGATTGATGAAATAAGGTCACTAATTAGTAAGGAACTCCCCTCACCTGGTTGTCTAGGTCTTAATTGAAAGGAAAAAACTAAAACCAGCAGACACTAGGCCCTCCATGGAATGAGTTTGACACCCCTGGTATAAGGTGTTTCTCAGTGAGTTGAAATGGCTATCATAAATTTGCATTGCCATACAGATTTACAAACAATGAGTGCTATAAACTGGGTGGTTCAAGCCCTGAACGCTGATTGACTGACAGTCATGGTATATCAGACCGTATACCACGGGCATGACAAAACATTTATTTTGACTGCTCTAATAGTAATAAGGAACCTTGGGGGTTTGTGGTACAGTGGGGGAAAAAATTATTTAGTCAGCCACCAATTGTGCAAGTTCTCCCACTTAAAAAGATGAGAGAGGCCTGTAATTTTCATCATAGGTACACGTCAACTATGACAGACAAATTGAGATTTTTTTTCCCAGAAAATCACATTGTAGGATTTTTAATTAATTTATTTGCAAATTATGGTGGAAAATAAGTATTTGGTCAATAACTAAAGTTTCTCAATACTTTGTTATATACCCTTTGTTGGCAATGACACAGGTCAAACGTTTTCTGTAAGTCTTCACAAGGTTTTCACACACTGTTGCTGGTATTTTGGCCCATTCCTCCATGCAGATCTCCTCTAGAGCAGTGATGTTTTGGGGCTGTCGCTGGGCAACACGGACTTTCAACTCCCTCCAAAGATTTTCTATGGGGTAAAGATCTGGAGAATGGCTAGGCCACTCCAGGACCTTGAAATGCTTCTTACGAAGCCACTCCTACGTTGCCCGGGCGGTGAGTTTGGGATCATTGTCATGCTGAAAGACCCAGCCACGTTTCATCTTCAATGCCCTTGCTGATGGAAGGAGGTTTTCACTCAAAATCTCACGATACATGGCCCCATTCATTCTTTCCTTTACACGGATCAGTCGTCCTGGTCCCTTTGCAGAAAAACAGCCCCAAAGCATGATGTTTCCACCCCCATGCTTCACAGTAGGTATGGTGTTCTTTGGATGCAACTCAGCATTCTTTGTCCTCCAAACACGACGAGTTGAGTTTTTACCAAAAAGTTATATTTTGGTTTCATCTGACCATATGACATTCTCCCAATCCTCTTCTGGATCATCCAAATGCACTCTAGCAAACTTCAGACGGGCCTGGACATGTACTGGCTTAAGCAGGGGGACACGTCTGGCACTGCAGGATTTGAGTCCCTGGCGGCGTAGTGTGTTACTGATGGTAGGCTTTGTTACTTTGGTCCCAGCTCTCTGCAGGTCATTCACTAGGTCGCCCCGTGTGGTTCTGGGATTTTTGCTCACCGTTCTTGTGATCATTTTTACCCCACGGGGTGAGAACTTGCGTGGAGCCCCAGATCGAGGGAGATTATCAGTGGTCTTGTATGTCTTCCATTTCCTAATAATTGCTCCCACAGTTGATTTCTTCAAACCAAGCTGCTTACCTATTGCAGATTCAGTCTTCCCAGCCTGGTGCAGGTCTACAATTTTGTTTCTGGTGTCCTTTGACAGCTCTTTGGTCTTGGCCATAGTGGAGTTTGGAGTGTGACTGTTTGAGGTTGTGGACAGGTGTCTTTTATACTGATAACAAGTTCAAACAGGTGCCTTTAATACAGGTAACGAGTGGAGGACAGAGGAGCCTCTTAAAGAAGAAGTTACAGGTCTGTGAGAGCCAGAAATCTTGCTTGTTTGTAGGTGACCAAATACTTAATTTCCACCATAATTTGCAAATAAATTCATTAAAAATCCTACAATGTGATTTTCTGGATATTTTTTTCTCAATTTGTCTGTCATAGTTGACGTGTACCTATGATGAAAATTACAGGCCTCTCTCATCTTTTTAAGTGGGAGAACTTGCACAATTGGTGGCTGACTAAATACTTTTTTCCCCACTGTATATGGCCAATATACCACGGCTAAGGCCTGTACCCAGGCACTCCATGTTGCGTCGTGCGTAAGAACAGCCCTTAGCCGTGGTATATTGGCCATATACCACACCCCCTCAGGCCTTAATGCTTAATTGTAAACTATCAAATGTGTGCTATCAGTGCTCTTTCTTTCATTTGTTTTGAATGTAATCAAATTAGTGCTTTTCTACTCTTTGCTTGCTTTTCAGCTATATGCTCGTTAAATCATGTTTTGTGTTAACTTGATAGGTATTTTTGTATGATGACAAGAAGATTACTTTTGCTTTCTGAAAAATATTCAGTATGGCCTGGGCACTTCTTTACATATTACTTGAAACATCTCATGAAGCAAGGCCATAGCTACATTTTTATTTTCGTAGAGACTTGATGATTCCTTTTTAGTGCAAGTGTGAAACTCTCTGTGTGGAACAACCTACCAACTCTTCTTGGAGTACTCTGTCATTTACCAGTTGTAAATGGTACCTGTGCTATATTTTACTGCTGTAAAGTTAATATTTAGAAATTGCATGACAGAAAAAAGACTACCTTTTTTAAAAATCGTTGTTTTTATGTCTGTGTCTGTTGTGTTTGAAACAGCCGAGGTGTATTTTTGTAAAACGATGTAGGCCTTTTCTTGCTTTGGTGAAACTAAAATCTCACAAGGTACTGGCAGTATGGCTGAAGTTGGTGTATTTTGTTAAATCATATCATTGCTGACTTAGTTTTTGGTCCAAAAATGCAATGATGCCAGATAAGTTAAGCTTTTGTCCTCAAGCCTCTTTGATTATTAAAGATCTTTTCTCAAATTGGCGTGTGTGCTTTTTCAATAGCAATAATAACTATCTATAGCAACTTTCATACAATATATTGTAGCCCAAGCCCAACGTGTTTCATATGTATGTATTGTATGTTCTTTACTTGAGTGGTAGTAGTGACCTATTCTCTCAGATTGCCAACAGCCGTGATATGTGATTTAATAAACTTGTCAACGTTGACATTACTTAGGGCAGGCCAGGACTGTCAAAGAATCTCCTTAAAAGAACCATCCAATAATCCAAACAAAATGAGAGGGGGTTAATAGTTCAGAATGTTAGAGTTGAAGATGCCATAGATTCTGCTATGTGACTGAAGGCCCATGGAAGTATTTCCATACCTGTTAGATCAGGCACTGTTACAACAAACTGTAAACCCAAGTCAGTTGTGCATTGTTGATATGACTTCTTTCATTTCCTTTTCATGTTCCTCTGTCATTTATTTATTTCATTTATGGGCCTTTCTATTTCCTCAGGTCATTCTAACTTCTTGGAAAATGTACCATTTTATGTATGTTCTCAAGTCAATCATACTCCTGACAGTTGAAATTGATACTCTTGTGAAATGCAGTTATTTCTAGAGCTGTGTGGTGGTGAGAAATGGCATATTTTTTTTGTACGTAATGTTTCACGTGCACACATGAACATTTCCAAACAAACAGGTGTGAAGGAGAGGCCGGTTTCTCTGGTGCAGAGGGAAGCCAAGGCGGAATCTGCTATGGAAGAACCAGGTAAGACCACACCTTCTTGAGACTGATTGGTCCCTTCACATTGCATATAGCAAGGTATTATCTTCTGTATAGCACATACCCAGACATGCTCTTCTTACTCCAAAAACACAAAGGCATAATGTGAGAGACAATGAGGATGTGATACCACTTTGAAAATATTACCGTAATGTCAAAGATGCATGTGGACATATCCTCACCAGTATTGTTTCTTTTGGGGGGGTTTAGGAGACAGGTTAGAGTGGGTGTAACTGTCACTCAAATGACACCCTCTTGGCTTATGGGCTTATTTGTTATCAGAAAAGGCATTTGTCCTGTCCTACAGCTAACCAGCCATTGACCAGATATTCTCAGTTGACCATAAAAACATATTAAAATGCCACCAAGGCAAGAATAGGTGTGCTCAGATTAGCTCATCCAATGTACTGGGTGGTCGGGGTTGACCCACAACCTGTACACACATTCTCCACCCGGTTACTCAACCCTGCACCTTAGAGGCTGCTGCCCTATATACATAGAAATGGAATCACTGGTCACTTTAATAATGGAACACTAGTCACTTTAATAATGTTTACATACTGCTTTACTCATTTCATATGTATATACTGTATTCTATTCTACTGTATTTTAGTCAATGGCACTCCGACATTGCTCGTCCTAATATTTAGTGTGCATTCGGAAACTATTCAGACCCCTTGACTTTTTCCATATTTTGTTACATTACTGCCTTATTCTAAAATGGATGAAATATTTTTTTTACCTAATCAATCTACACACAATACCCCATAATGACAAAGCAAAAACAGGTTATCACATTTACATAAGTATTCAGACCCTTTACTCAGTACTTTGTTGAAGAGCCTTTGGCAGCGATTAAAGCCTTGAGTGTTCTTGGATATGACACTACAAGCTTGGCACACCTGTATTTGGGGAGTTTCTCCCATTCTTCTCTGCAGATGCTCTCAAGCTCTGTCAGGTTGGATGGGGAGCGTCGCTGCACAGCTATTTTCAGGTCTCTCCAGAGATGTTTGATCGGGTACAAGTCCAGGCTCTGGCTGGGCCACTCAAGGACATTCAGAGACTTGTCCCAAAGCCACTCCTGCGTTGTGTTGGCTGTGTGCTTAGGGTCGTTGTCCTGTTAGGAGGTGAACCTTCGCCCCAGTCTGAGGTCCTGAGCGCTCTGGAGCAGGTTTTCATCAAGTATCTCTCTGTACTTTTCTCCGTTCATCTTTCCCTCGATCCTGACTAGTCTCCCAGTCCCTGCCGCTGAAAAACATCCCCACAGCATGATGCTGCCACCACCACGCTTCATCGTAGGGATGGTGCCAGGTTTCCTCCAGACGTGACGCTTGGCATTCAGGCCAAAGAGTTCAATCTTGGTTTCATCAGACCAGAGAATCTTGTTTCTGATGGTCTGAGAGTCCTTTAGGTGCCTTTTGCAAACTGCAAGTGAGCTGTCATGTGACTTTTACTGAGGAGTGGCTTCTGTCTGGCCACTCTGCCATAAAGGCATGATTGGTGGAGTGCTGCAGAGATGGTTGTCCTTCTGGAAGGTTCTCCCATCTCCACAGAGGAACTCTGGAGCTCTGTCAGAGTGACCATCAGGTTATTGGTCACCTCCCTGACTAAGGCCCTTCTCTCCCGATTGCTCAGTTTGGCCGGGCGGCCAGCTCTAGGAAGAGTCTTGGTGGTTCCAAACTTCTTCCATTTAAGAATGTTGGAGGCCACTGTGTTCTTGGGGATGCTGCAGAAATGTTTTTGTACCCTTCCCCAGATCTGTGCCTTGACACAATCCTGTCTCGGAGCTCTGCGAACAATTCCTTCCACCTCATGGCTTGGTTTTTGCTCTGACATGCACTGTCAACTGTGGGACCTTATATAGACAGGTGTGTGCCTTTTACAAATCATGTAAAATCAATTGAATTTACCACAGGTGGACTCCAATCACGTTGTAGAAACATCTCAAGGATGACCAATGGAAACAGGATGCACCTGAGCTCAATTTTGAGTCTCATAGCAAAGGGTCTGAATACTTATGTAAATAAGGTGTTTTTGTTTTTCAATTTTTTATAAATGTGTAAACATTTATAAAAACCTGTTTTCGCTTTGTCATTATGGGTTACTGTGTGTAGATTGATGAGGGAAAAAATGAATTTAATCAATTTTAGAATAAGGCTGTAACGTAACAATGTGGAAAAAGTCAAGGGGTCTGAATACCTTCCGAATGCACTGTATATGTTTCTTAATTCCATTATTTTACTTTTAGATTTGTGTGTATTGTTGTGAATTGTTAGATACATTTTTACATTTTAGTCATTTAGCAGACGCTCTTATCCAGAGCGACTTACAGTTAGTGAGTGCATACATTTTTTTTCATACTGGTCCCCCGTGGGAAACGAACCCACAACCCTGGCATTGCAAACGCCATGCTCTACCAACTGAGCTACACAGGACTACTGCCCTGTTGGAGGTAGGAACACAAGCATTTCGCTACACCCGCAATAACATCTGCTAAATATGTGATGAGTGTGATAGGAGTCAGGTGCAGGAGGGTATATCACCGAATACAGAGTTTATTCCATCGTACACAATTGCGCTGGATAGCGACAACAGAAAACAGTCACAGGGGAAACCATCTACCCTGGCAATACAAGGTACGGGTAGCTTCAACAATATACAGGCACAGGGGAAAAATCTACCCCGGCAATACAAAGTGAGAGTAGCTCCACCGAGCTACACTACTCTCACAAATAACAATCCCCCACAAGGACAAGGGGGGCAGAGGGAACACTTATACACGGACTAATGAGGGGATAAGAACCAGGTGTGTGTAATTAACAAGACAAGACAAGACAAATGGAATGATGATATATGGAGCGGCATTGGCTAGTAAGCCGGTGACGACGAACGCCGAAGCCTGCCCGAACAAGGAGGGGAGGCAGCCTCTGCGGAAGGCGTGACAAAATATGTGTATGTGACCAATAACATTTGATTTGATTTGGTGGTGTTTGGTCAAAGACCGTCACGGTAGGAAGATATTTTAATGTAAAGCGTATGCATGACCTCCGGCCGGCAGAATCCCATAGAGCTGAAATGACAAACTACAATAGGGTTGTGCTACACTGCCTGGACATACAGCACAGTAAACTAATCTAAAATGAATGTCGAAAAGCGAAGTAACCTGTGGTTTGTATCTTTTAAGATAAGTAAAACTTCCGCTTAAGACCGATGCGTTTCGACAAACATGTCTTCATAAGGATATAGTCCCTGGCCTAAACGAATGTCCTTGGATTGTAAAATGCAACTTTTAGCCGAGCACATTGTGGAGGAAGTCGTCCAGACAACAGAGGGGACTGAGGAAGAAGAGCAGCGTCCACCGACCCCATCACAGGAGCAGCAGGCCCCTGAAGGGGAGAGTCCGGACACAGAGGGAGCGCCAGCCATATCGGAAGATACCACTGAGGAAGCTTTTGAGGGGAAACTGGCGGTTGAGGCAGGATCATTTGAGGCTCTCGCTGAGTTTGCTGTCCAGGTAGAGGAAGGTGAGGACCCCTCTTGATAAAACATTGTTCATCCTTCTCCCACCAAGAACATCAAGCGTGCCAGTATCACCTGGTAAATATTGTCACGGCGCATACCAACTGCTGTTCAATTTCCTCCATGTGTAGCTATGCACTATCCCACCAATGTGTCCTTCTGTTGGCAAACAGTTTGAGGGGAGATTCGTACTGTGTCCCTTCATAAAAATCCATTCCGCTCATTCTGTTGCTGTGCTTCATTGCAGAATTATCCATGATGTTTCGTGTGACTCATTCTGATCATCCTGTGTGGAATTCAATCAAAAGCTGCTATTCAGGACATAAATCTTATCATAACAACATTGTTTTCTTGTATAGAGATTGCTCTGCTGTACAATGTCATGATAATACCTTCAGAAAGATAAGGCAATGGCTAGCCTACATTCCCTTAACACCATACCTCTACACTGACTTTGATGGCTCATCTTTCTGAAAGGACTGGAGAGGTCAAAGCAATGGCAGGACCATAAACCTGCTTGACCCAGTGCCCCCTCTCATATTCCAATTAGAGATGTTGGTTGAATAGGCCCTGGATGTTGATTTGGGGCCTTGAAAACCACCTGGAAAAAGAAATTGCAATTGGCTGTGTCAAAAAGAAAAGCAGGAACCACCCGAAAAGGCAGCAGGAGTGTTTCTAAAGCTGAATGGCAACTGCACAAACTGATGCGACAACCTTAAAGGGGCAATCTGTATTTCAATAACAAAGGGTTTTATTACATTTTTTACATTTTAGTCATTTAGCAGACGCTCTTATCCAGAGCGACTTACAGTTAGTGAGTGCATACATTTCCATACTGGCCCCCCGTGGGAAACGAACCCACAACCCTGGCGTTGCAAGCGCCATGCTCTACCAACTGAGCTACAAAGGTTAAGACCACGGTTTTGGTAAACAGCTGAGGGATGGGGCTAGAGAAGGCACATAACTGCATAGCGGCTTAGTTTGAATTCCAATCAACTCGGTTTAACACAGTTTAAAGCATTGATTCTCTCTTCCTCAAGCTTCATGTCAATGTCATTTCAGCTGCTGTCCCACTCCCGCCGATATCAGATGATTTTGTCCCAGGTACGTTTTGCATCTTCCCTTAATGAAAAGTGACGACAATTATAAATGGCATAATATCAATGGCTATCACAATATTTTATAATTAATCCCAAAATGGACTAACTCATACTATAACTACTTATCATACCTGTAGCCTCATTAGCTGCTGTATGTTTAGTATGAAAGCAACAACAAATAATATTCCGTTTGACATCTCCTTAGATGACAGTAGAGGTTTGACATCTCCTTAGATGACAGGAGAGGTTTGACATCTCCTTAGATGACAGTAGAGGTTTGACATCTCCTTAGATGACAGTAGAGGTTTGACATCTCCTTAGATGACAGTAGAGGTTTGACATCTCCTTAGATGACAGTAGAGGTTTGACATCTCCTTAGATGACAGTAGAGGTTTGACATCTCCTTAGATGACAGTAGAGGTTTGACATCTCCTTAGATGACAGTAGAGGTTTGACATCTCCTTAGATGACAGTAGAGGTTTGACATCTCCTTAGATGACAGTAGAGGTTTGACATCTCCTTAGATGACAGTAGAGGTTTGACATCTCCTTAGATGACAGTAGAGGTTTGACATCTCCTTAGATGACAGTAGAGGTTTGACATCTCCTTAGATGACAGTAGAGATATCCTTATGGTTAGTGTGTCTTAGATTTTTTATGTTCTTTTTATTTTTTTACAATGTGTGTTTGTGACTCATTCATACTTTCATGAGTCTGTTTTGCATTACATTTTTTAGAGGATGAAAGCGATGCCATTGACATGAAAGGAGGTGAGATATTCAGAATGTTTTGATTATTCATTGGCCAAATAGAGTTTTCTACTCTCCTTCCCTGCCTCCTTGGTTAACTGGTCTTAACTGTGAACTTGCACTGACCACTAAGCATAGCTTCTTGCACTAAATAAACTATGGGTGTATATTTTCAGAATTGGTTAAGGAGGCACAGCCACAGCAGACAATAGGTAAGCTACAGTACTGATTCTACATTTAAACGTTTCAGTATGAGCATTGGTGATAGTGTGTTTATTAGACATGGTGAAGGGTCTGTGAATAGTTAGTGTTTATTAGACATGGTGAAGGGTCTGTGAATAGTTAGTGTGTTTATTAGACATGGTGAAGGGTCTGTGAATAGTTAGTGTGTTTATTAGACATGGTGAAGGGTCTGTGAATAGTTAGTGTGTTTATTAGACATGGTGAAGGGTCTGTGAATAGTTAGTGTTTATTAGACATGGTGAAGGGTCTGTGAATAGTTAGTGTGTTTATTAGACATGGTGAAGGGTCTGTGAATAGTTAGTGTGTTTATTAGACATGGCGAAGGGTCTGTGAATAGTTAGTGTGTTTATTAGACATGGTAAAGGGTCTGTGAATAGTTAGTGTATTTATTAGACATGGTGAAGGGTCTGTGAATAGTTAGTGTGTTTATTAGACATGGTGAAGGGTCTGTGAATAGTTAGTGTTTATTAGACATGGTGAAGGGTCTGTGAATAGTTAGTGTGTTTATTAGACATGGTGAAGGGTCTGTGAATAGTTAGTGTGTTTATTAGACATGGTGAAGGGTCTGTGAATAGTTAGTGTGTTTATTAGACATGGTGAAGGGTCTGTGAATAGTTAGTGTGTTTATTAGACATGGTGAAGGGTCTGTGAATAGTTAGTGTATTTATTAGACATGGTGAAGGGTCTGTGAATAGTTAGTGTGTTTATTAGACATGGTGAAGGGTCTGTGAATAGTTAGTGTGTTTATTAGACATGGTGAAGGGTCTGTGAATAGTTAGTGTATTTATTAGACATGGTGAAGGGTCTGTGAATAGTTAGTGTATTTATTAAATGTTTATTTGCTTGCAGAAGAGTCAAAGCAATACAATGACCAGCCAGGCTTCCAGGAGACACAGGAAGCAGGTGGGCTACACATACACACACACACACACACACACACACACACACACACACCAATGTGTTATCTTAGATTAGTCCTCCTTCACCATGTACCATATAAACATGCTTATATGGCACTGAAATCTCATCTTTAGTACGATTACAATTGCAATACAATGCAGAGGATGAATCAGTCCCAGAACCGGAGGCTGACGTGGAACCAGAGTTGGAATCTGTTCCGGAACTGGAAGCTGAAGCTGTCCCAGAACTGAAAGGTTAGAAGTATACCAAATCTTGTACCATAGTCTTAAACCATTGCTTTTTAAATGAACATTCTCACTTAGAGCTCCTGTGTCCATCTGAAATGAGGCAGTATTGAATAATATTGATTTCCTAACTGCGCTGTACCTACTTGCCTGTGGGTTTGGGTTCTTGCAGAGGAGCCAGTGGCGGTAGAGAAGAAAACACCACAGGAAGAGTCAGAAGGTGGGTTTACCAACACACACATTTAAGCTTTATTCACAGTAAACATTTGAACACACATAATCACATCGTATGTCAACAGTTAAATCCGTTAGGGTTGGCAGTCAAATAACATGTGACTATAAGTACTTTAATGGTACTCTAATGCAGACCAGGCTATTTTGTAGGGTAGCCTTATATACCTCAGATCAGCCGTCTACAGCTGCTGTTGATGACGTGGCAGCGGCTCAATGCAGTTGTCACATAGCGTTTCCCAGTGCTTCCAGTCATTCAAGGCCACCTCAAAGGCACTTTGTGACTGTCATTTCTATGGAGGGGGCGGCAGGTAGCTTAGTGGGTAAGAGCGTTGTGCCAGTAACCGAAAGGTCGCTGGTTCTAATCCCCAAGCTGACTAGGTGAAAAATCTGTCGATGTAACCCTAATTGCTCCTGTAAATTGCTCTGGATAAGAGCGTCTGCTAAATGACAAAATTTATAAAAAAATAAAATAAAAAAAACCTTTTTGGGTGGTTCCTGCTTTGATTTGTGACTCACGCACTTGGAAACTGTGGTATTGGCTGAGAGTGTATTTTTGTCACTGGTTGACACATTAGTTGGCTCTTAACAGTGGAGTTTGATGTTCAATAGACATGGTGTGTAACACTACATGACTAGGTATCAAAGTCACTCAGTTCCTCCTAATAAGTCTTGACTGATATACGACCCATCAGCACCCTCTTGTGATTATTAACTGCAAGGGCAATGTTGTGGTGGGATCAACCCTGCCTATACAGACAGCAGTAGGGAAAACACTGTTCTGAAGTTGGAGAGTGAGGTGCAGTTTGAAAAGCCCCCCAGATCCCTGGCCTATGGTATTTATCCAATATGCCTGGTAAATTGTGACATAACCACTCTTTTCACATCACTGCTCTGAAATGTAAGCTCAGGTCAGAACCTAAAATGAGTTCTTTCTTCAGTTTATTACTGGTTGCGTGAGACGTCAGTTTTATTTTAATCTGTGAGATTTGTAAAATATGAGCAGTCCATACAATAATGAAAAAAGCAGACCTCTACGATTTCAAGTGTCTAGTATTGCAGTGTTTGCTGCTGTTGACGTCATGATTTTTTTTTACTGAATTGGCGAACACCAGTTTATTCTCTATACAATCTCTTATATAAACCTTTAGTTTTTCCAAGAAAGTCATTATGCTTTTTAAGCCAGATCAGTTTTTTTCTGTTTCTTAAATGTGTCTTCCTTTATCGTGTAATGTTTTTTTTTTTTGTTACATTGATCTGAATTAATATTTGTTATTTGCGCTGCTACTGTGTGTTGCTAGCGTTCTTCTAGCTGTCATTTTCTTCCCTTTGGGTCATTCCAACTCAAAAAGCACAAGAAAGAGGATTTCGACACCCAACATTTGCGATTGTTCTGAAATCGTTTCTGTAGTTAGAAACAGATGAGATTAGCATTCCTGCAACATTATTTTGTGGAAATATAATTTGATCTCTGAGAAATTAAGCTAATTGATTGCACCCAAATTTGACATTTTAAATTATAGGACTCACATAATATGCAATAAATAAAGTACCCGATATCTGATTTGGACCCCAAAAAATTCTAACAATGAATAAGATGAGGATTCCAAAGAACTTGTCAAAATCCACCCACGGACCCCCGACACCCCACACCAATCCCACCACAACAACGACTATATAGTATCAGTTCTCTATGTCGTAGTATGGAGCTGCGGCTCAGAGTATTGTTTCTTCATCCTATATAATGCATTCTCAGTGAATTTGGGGATGTTTTTTTTTATTCTGTTCAGATAAATTAGTCATTAGGTTTATGTCCCGTCCTACATCCTAATATTACCAGGTTCTGACCACTAGATGGTGCTGTTTCTGCTATTAGGTGATTGAAAGAAAATATCACCCAAATGACAAAATGACATATTGGTTTCATGACCCTGTAAGCAGTCTATGGACAAGGTACGAGCGCAACCCATGCTTTGGTTTTGTTTACCTGGCCACTGTTTCAAATGCTAACTTTTTAGCATTTGTGGCACAAATCCAATGCAAGTAAATGGTACCTATATTAGCATTTTCACGCTTCATGTTCAAACGTATGCCATGTTAATGATATCTGAGTGAGAGTGACTAACAAAATCAATGAGGGCCCCCTGGAAGTCAGGGCCCCTTGGCCCTGCGTGCTCAGTCGGTATTCAGTCATGATTACTAAACATTGTTAGCTGACATGGCTAATTGAGTGACTGACATAACAAGTGAAAAATTACTGATGGACAACCAAATTTCGAAATTGCACCTTGTCTACTATTCTAACTCTAACCAGTAAGTTGAGACCCTGACTGAGTTCGTAAAAAATAAATATATATGTGTATATAATATTTTGTTTTTGCTCTGATATGTCGCAACCCATCATTAACATAAGTGGTTCATGACCCATAATTTAAGAAATACTTACCTAATAGCAGGAACAGCACCATCTAGTGGTCAGAACCTGGTAATATCAGGATGTAGGATGGGACATAAACCTAACAACTTCAATGACTAATTTCTTTGCGGGGGGAAAAAAACATCACCAAATTCACTGAGAATGCATTACATAGGATGAAGAAACAATACTCTGAGCCGCAGCTCCATACTACTTGTCAGACATAGAGAACTGATACTGTATACTTGTTGTTGAGGTGAGATTGGCGGGGATTTGTGGGTGGCTTTTGACAATTTCTTTGGAATCCTCATGTCTTACCCATTGTTAAAAAAAATTGGGGTCCAAATCGGGTGTCATGTACTATTTTTATTGAATATTACATGAATCGTAAAATTTTAAATGGCCAATTTGGGTTCAATCAATTAGCTTGATTCCTCAGAGATCAAATTATATTTCAACAAAGTAATGTTGCAGGAATGCTAATCTTATCTGTTTCTAAGTACAGAAACTATTTGGCTTGCTGAAATGACATGGAATGACCCCTTTGTATGTCTTTCAGGAAATGCAGAGGACCAACCCGAGGATATGCTCACATACAAAGGTAAGTGTTCTTTTGATCTGTATTTGTATGGCTAACATGAGCTTTCTAGAAGCAGAATAGCAAGGGGTGGCCAACCCTCCTGGAGAGCTAGCCTGCCACAGGGTTTTGTTCCAGCCCTACTCTGACACACCTACCGGTACTTATTCTACTAATTGGCCGCTCCTCTTCCGGGACTTGATTCACTGAATCAAGTGTTTACGTGTAGTGATGGAGCAAAAGCCTGCACATTCAGAAGCTCTCCAGGATGGTTGGCCACCCCAGCACCGTAGTATTGTAGTTATTCTCCTCAGTTGGCATTAGTGTCCTCCCACCTAGCCCTGCCAGAGAAACTTTGTCTAGCTTTTCATTCCGAATACAGTCATTTAAATGTCTACCCACTGAGTCACAATGAGTGACGCATCTGGAAGTCAAATCAAATCAAATCAAATTTTATTGGTCACATGCGCCGAATACAACAGGTGCAGACATTACAGTGAAATGCTTACTTACAGCCCTTAACCAACAGTGCATTTATTTTTAACAAAAAAAGTAAAAATAAAACAACAACAAAAAAAGTGTTGAGAAAAAAAGTAAAGTAAAATAAAATAACAGTAGGGAGGCTATATATACAGGGGGGTACCGGTGCAGAGTCAATGTGCGGGGGCACCGGCTAGTTGAGGTAGTTGAAGTAATATGTACATGTGGGTAGAGTTAAAGTGACTATGCATAAATAATTAACAGAGTAGCAGCAGCGTAAAAAGGATGGGGTGGGGGGGCAGTGCAAATAGTCCGGGTAGCCATGATTAGCTGTTCAGGAGTCTTATGGCTTGGGGGTAGAAGCTGTTGAGAAGTCTTTTGGACCTAGACTTGGCACTCCGGTACCGCTTGCCGTGCGGTAGCAGAGAGAACAGTCTATGACTAGGGTGGCTGGAGTCTTTGACAATTTTGAGGGCCTTCCTCTGACACCGCCTGGTATAGAGGTCCTGGATGGCAGGAAGCTTGGCCCCAGTGATGTACTGGGCCGTACGCACTACCCTCTGTAGTGCCTTGCGGTCGGAGGCCAAGCAGTTGCCGTCTAGAGTTGAAAATAAGAGGGACTACAGTGTGGTCTGCAATTTCATTGAGAAACTACATCGTAATTTTCTGAGGTTGCACCCACCCACACACACATTGAGTGATCCACCCAATACCTCACTTTTATTACGTTCTGTTCTACGTTTCAGCCAAAATGAAGAAGCCTAAACTCCTGAATACATTTGAGAAAACTATCAAGACGGAGATTGACGCGGCTGAGAAGTTACGTAAAAAGGTAGTCTTAGTTATAACACTGTGTGAGGTTTTTAATGAACATGCTCTTATCTTGAAAGTAAATGGATGAATCAATGCTGATCTGTTGTTTTCCATGTCTTGTTTCACCACCCAGGGGAAAGTGGAGGAGGCGGTCCGGGCTTTTGACACTCTAGTTCAGCAGTACCCCCAGAGTCCAAGGTGTCGCTATGGGAAAGCCCTGGTGAGAACCACAGTCTAAATACTGTTCCATACCATTCTACTGGTTTATTTTGTACTGATTAAACAAATGTTAACCCTTTAACAAGTTTAACACATAACACTTAGTGTTTATCACTAACTAAACACTTAAATACTGTTTACTATGAGCCTAAACAGAGGGTGAAAATTGCACCCATGTAAAAATAGGGAAAAGGCCTGAAATGTTCTGGGGCTCATTATGTGTGTCCAGGCTGAGGATGACCTGGCAGAGAAAATGCGCAGCAACGACATGCTGCAGAAGGCCCTCAGCACGTACAAGGAGGCATCAGAGCTGCCCAACGCCACGCCTGACCTCATCAAAGCCACACTGAAGAAACGAGCCGAGCGTCAGCAGTTCCTAGGTAACCTACAGGGCCAAGCATGCTGGAGTGACAACACACACAAATTATACCATACATTTTTCTTGTGTACTTAGTTTGAAGACCATTGCGTGACTCCGATTCATGTAATTTGGGAAAGGGGTTGTTGTAGTGTTTGTCTTTAGGTTTAATTGAGTATTTAATATAATTCATTCAGTATTTTGGAATAATTTATCAAATTGATATTACTGGGGAGTGTGGTTGTGTGCATAGAGTGTGTTGTGACTCCCTCTCTCTCTCTGGTGTAGGTCGTATGAGGGGTGCCTTGGCCACGTTGGAGAAGCTGGTTCAGATCTTCCCTGGGGACGTGGCCCTGAAGAACGATCTGGGCGTGGCTCACCTGCTCATCGGAGACAACAAGAGTGCCAAGAGGGTCTACGAGGAGGTGAGCCGTGGTCCAAGTCATCACCACTCTTGATTGCTTTGGGGTTTCCAAGCATTCTTTTTTTGCGGTGAAACAATGTGTTGAAAATGTAGTGATTTTGCTTTGCAACACATTTTCACCAGGTCTGCTTCAGTAAACATTTGTAACAGAATTGTAATTTGCAAGATTACAAGTAAATGGAATGCATCTAGTGTGACATTTTGAGTTGGGAAATGTCAATGAGTGTCATGATTGAATGTTTGATTAACAATTTACGATTTCGAATGATGTATCCCCTGGTAGGTGTTGACCATTGCACCAAGTGACGGCTTTGCTAAAGTCCATTATGGCTTCATCCTCAAATCAGAAAACAAGATAGCAGAGAGCATCCCATTCCTCAGGGTAAGTACTGTGTGTATAATAAACCAATCATGTTCCCACAGATTCAAACCACCCTTTTGATCCTGAAACCTCTCTCTCTGCACTGCAGGATGGTTTGGAATCAGGAGACCCTGGCACAGACGACGGCAGATTTTACTTCCACCTCGGAGACGCCTTGCAAAGAATGGGAGACGACAGTGTGAGTTAAGATCAAACTTACAGACACCAAGCTTACACCAATACTGACTCCACAGCAGAAGTATTTACTAGATAGTAACTTTACGGAGTATGGTAACAGTATGACTTATCGTGATAGTCTTTTTCCTCTGACAATAAAACAGAGCATTTGAATATACTGTATTATGTGAGTTCAAATGTGTTGGTTTTGGAATACTACAAGCACAACTGTTTTCTCCTCTTCCAGGCCTACAAGTGGTATGAGATAGGGCACAAAAGAGGTCACTTTGCCTCCGTATGGCAGCGATCTCTCTACAATGTGGACGGTCTCAAAGCCCAACCGTGGTGGACGCCCAAGGACACTGGCTATTTGGATCTAGTCAAGGTAAGGTATATGATGACAACTTGTCTCATCTGGTTGTCTTTTCTCCCTGATAGTTAGTTGATTGATTGATCAATGTCACGGAGTTCAATAATGTCTAGAGGGAGCAGGTCCTCTCTTTTCCTTTGATCTGTCTCTCCCATCTTAAAACAGTCAATTCATCTTCTTTTGAGTTTTGACCTGGCGTAAAGCTGTCTCTGACTGTCTTCTCTTTGCTTGGACTGACCATAGAGATATAATAATAATATGAATAATGTGTCCTAATTCTATGTCTTTGGCCCAGACCCTGGAGAGAAACTGGAGGACCATCAGGGACGAGGCCCTGTCAGTGATGGATAAAACCACCGGCCTCTTTGTTCCAGAGGAGGAGAACCTCAGAGAAAAAGGGGAGTGGGGTCAGTTCACCCTCTGGCAGCAAGGTAAACAAATCAAACACCTGGCAAGTCCCTATGTTAGAAATACACTAAATGTAATTGAATGAAAATAATCCCCACAAGCAGTGCTGGAAAAAGTACTTTTGGGTGTCAGAGAAAATGTTTGGAGTAAAAAGTACATCATTTTCTTTAGAAGTGTAGTGGAGTAAAAGTTGGCAAAAATATAAATAGTAAAGTAAAGTACAGATACCCCAAAAAACGACTTAAGTAGTACTTTAAAGTATTTTTACTTAACTACTTTACACCACTGCCCATAAGTGTCTAAGTATAGGTTTAGTGGTGTCTGAACCTGGCCTCTAATTCCTTGTTTATCTTCTGCTGTTCCTTGCAGGCAAGAAGGCAGGGGAGTCCTGCCGCAGTGTTCCAAAGACCTGTGGCCTGTTGGAGCGCTATCCAGAGGCTACGGGCTGCAAGAGAGGACAGGTAGGTCACCCCGCCACAGATGTGACTGACATGCCAACTATCAGGCATCACACCACACATGCAGCCAGCCAGCACTGCTGTAGAGCAGGGGAGGATAGATGGAGAGACAGCCTGGCCCTGCAGGCTCCTACTGGAGATAGATGGAGTTACAAAGGCACTATGTTACACTCACTGATATCTCCCCGTCCCTCCCCATTTCTCCCTGGGTTCCAGATCAAGTTCTCTGTGATGCAGCCTGGTACTCATATCTGGCCCCACACGGGGCCCACCAATTGTCGCCTGCGCATGCACCTGGGCCTGGTCATCCCAAAGACAGGCTGCACGATCAGGTGCACCAACAACACCAGGTAACATCTTCCACAGCCATCAACGTCATCCCCTTATTACATCTAACAACCTCACCCACTTGTTAGTTCTTGGTACAGTGTAAGACTGACCATTTGAGTGCTCTGTACTTGATTGTCACTCAAGACCAAGTGTAGCTGCAAAATATGTTTTAACTGTTAACATGTCGATCTTGTGGACTGTCAGTCCTTGCATCCATAGCTCCGTCTATGAATTTGAGTGGTTACATTTCCCCAGCCCCATCCCTCTCAGGTTTATACCAAACTAACTGGAGGAGCTGCCATTAACTAAAAACTCATGCATGTGGCTTCATTAAAGCTAGAATTCTTAGTTGTTACATCCACTTTTGGACTCATAAATTAAGGATATACAGTGGGGGAAAATAGTATTTAGTCAGCCACCAATTGTGCAAGTTCTCCCACTTAAAAAGATGAGAGAGGCCTGTACTTTTCATCATAGGTACACGTCAACTATGACAGACAAATTGAGACATTTTTTTCCAGAAAATCACATTGTAGGATTTTTAATGAATTTATTTGCAAATTATGGTGGGGTCAAAATGATCACAAGAACGGTGAGCAAAAATCCCAGAACCACACGGGGGGACCTAGTGAATGACCTGCAGAGAGCTGGGACCAGAGTAACAAAGCCTACCATCAGTAACACACTACGCCGCCAGGGACTCAAATCCTGCAGTGCCAGACGTGTCCCCCTGCTTAAGCCAGTACATGTCCAGGCCCGCCTGAAGTTTGCTAGAGTGCATTTGGATGATCCAGAAGAGGATTGGGAGAATGTCATATGGTCAGATGAAACCAAAATATAACTTTTTGGTAAAAACTCAATTCGTCGTGTTTGGAGGACAAAGAATGCTGAGTTGCATCCAAAGAACACCATACCTACTGTGAAGCATGGGGGTGGAAACATCATGCTTTGGGGCTGTTTTTCTGCAAAGGGACCAGGACGACTGATCCGTGTAAAGGAAAGAATGAATGGGGCCATGTATCGTGAGATTTTGAGTGAAAACCTCCTTCCATCAGCAAGGGCATTGAAGATGAAACGTGGCTGGGTCTTTCAGCATGACAAGGATCCCAAACACACCGCCTGGGCAACGAAGGAGTGGCTTCGTAAGAAACATTTCAAGGTCCTGGAGTGGCCTAGCCAGTCTCCAGATCTCAACCCCATAGAAAATCTTTGGAGGGAGTTGAAAGTCTGTGTTGCCCAGCGACAGCCCCAAAACATCACTGCTCTAGAGGAGAGCTGCATGGAGGAATGGGCCAAAATACCAGCAACAGTGTGTGAAAACCTTGTGAAGACTTACAGAAAACGTTTGACCTGTGTCATTGCCAACAAAGGATATATAACAAAGTATTGAGAAACTTTTGTTATTGACCAAATACTTATTTTCCACCATAATTTGCAAATAAATTCATTACAAATCCTACAATGTGATTTTCTGGATTTTTTTTCTCATTTTGTCTGTCATAGTTGACGTGTACCTATGATGAAAATTACAGGCCTCTCTCATCTTTTTAAGTGGTAGAACTTGCACAATTGGTGGCTGACTAAATACGTTTTTCCCCCACTGTATACCCATAGATTTTTGAAGAATGGAACTTATAAATACCTCATGAGCTTAGTTCAACTGTCGTACCCCATCAGAACCCAAAATATAAGTTTGTTTTACTCCAATGTTTGTAAACAATGCAAGTGTAAACAAACGCTCTATAGCTTCAAAACATGGTTAAAACAATAATTTTGATATCATGGATGGTCAGTCCTTGAATCCATAGCTCTGTCTATAAACTTGGGAGTGGTTACATTTATCCAGGCCCATACCTCAGCTTTTTACCAAAACAGAGGCGGGGTGGCACTTTGTTATTGTTTCAATTAAGGACTCTAGCTTTAACACAAAGGCTATGGTCTTTGCTGTTCTCTTCCAGAGCTTGGGAGGAGGGGAAAGTGCTCATCTTTGATGACTCCTTTGAGCACGAGGTGTGGCAGGACGCCAACAGCTACCGGCTCATCTTCATCGTGGACGTGTGGCACCCCGAGCTTACCCAGTACCAACGGCAGACTCTCTCCCCCATTTAAAGACTGTACGACAGACTGACTGTCACCTACTGGCGTGCTGGGGTTAACACTCTTAACCCATAAGAACGGAAGGGTCCATAGTATCTGGTCTCTGTCTGTCCACCCATTCCTTCACAGTCGGCCATTTTAGGTCAAACGTGTCAAATGTGACACTTGCCCTTGCTCAGTCAAGGGCTCCATTTTGGAACCATCTAGAACATTACTGAAGGCCCTGTCAGATTTGGAAAAGCCTTACAACGACACTTTGAACACTGACTGTTAACTGTGGTACTAGCCAAGTCGGTTTTTAGGCCTAAATGTGGACTTACGGTAAGGTGTGGGTTGAATATCACATAGGTTGTGTTGTAAATGTATCACAAGTGCATTGTTGTTTTTCATTAGTCAACCAAAGTATGTCTGAAACATACCTAACATATCAACGGTAACTGAACAAAACTTTGGTATTGCAGCTAGCAGGTTTTCTGTTGTATAGGTACTGATATCATTTCTTAAAGGGATTGTTTTCCTGGTTTTTATCCCAATCTTAATCGTTTTCTTTCCTCAAGAAAAGTTATTTGATGACTTTCATGTTCAAGTCTTCAAAAGCTTGAGGTAAAAACACTATTAAGATTAGAGTAACAACACGGAAAACTATCCCTGTAAATTGTTGCTAAGCTAGCTAAACCTCTGCTAGCTGAAAAGTGTGAATCTGAATCTGTTGTTTCTCTAACACTTGATTTGTTGTTACACAGCTCTTATTGCATATAATGGTCATACATTACCTTCATGTTACTTTCATAACTTTACAGTAATCTGCCTCTTACTGTATTTTGGGGTTCCACTATTATTAAGTCATTCCATTTCACTCGTATGATTTTCGAATGTCAATTTAGATTAATGGCTGGGACAAGAATGTTTATATTGCAGAATTAATATTGTGAACAAAGAAAATGGACTGAAACATCTTATATTTGTACGCTGACAATATATTTTCAACTGTGCCTTGACCTGTGAGAACACACAAACCATTATGCTCAACAGGCTTGTCCTTGTCATTTAAAATCCTCCCAAATGTGTGTATTTACATTCTTAAATGTATCAAATATGAACATTTGACTGAAGGCTTATATTTTGTACATGCATAAAATTTTAATGTTTTATAAAATGCTAATTCTCCTGTGTAAAACTTTGGCAGGAGCATGTTGAATGTACACCAGTCTTGTCACACTGCATTCTTACCTGGGTCAAATACATGTCAAATACTTACCAATACTTCAGCTGCGCTTAATTTAGTTTGCCTTGTACAATGGAACCAATGGAATAGTCCCTAAAAGGAGAACCCCAAGCTAAATCAAATGCACATCATAGGCTATACTAGAGTATTATAAAGTATTTCACCCAGGTCTGCTGCATTCCATGTATAGCAAAGCTGACTAGAAGGAGTCTTTGCTTGACCAATGATGTTGATATTCAAAAGAAAAAATAAGTGCCAAAGCATATTCTTCTAGATTTGTTGTTATTTAATCACTCTCTATGTGCGTTGGTAGTCTGCTTCATTGCAGCAACAAAATCATGTCCGAATCAGTCCGGTGCTATTATGCTGCGTTCATGTGCTATCAGAATTATTGGAAACTCGGGACTGAGAAATTTCTAGCAAGCCCACGGACTCATCATACCTACCTGTTTCAGATGTCAAAAACCGTTCATATTGAAAAATACGAGTGGGAAACTTGGGTAACACCATTGTACCCCAAGTTTCCTACTTTAGAGGAGCATGTGAACACATCATAATGCCACGGATCGGAGTCATTCCTTAGGACCACTGGATGTCATCCTGTCTGCCCAAAAAAGGATTGCCTTTCAACTTTTCACCAAGTGTGGCTATCTGTCATGGACATAGGTGTCTTGGGGTATTTGGGGTTATCCGTTTGGGTTGTGATGATGACGACATTCAAGTTATCCTCCTTGCTTCAAAATAGTTTCTTAGTAACAAATCAAGAACGTTCACAAAGCCACATACTCTGTTATGAATTTATATCACTCTTTGTAGATTTGAAGTTAATACTTTTGTGGTGTTGAAATCACTGAGCTGTTCCAACTGTTGTAACTGGCCTGCAAGAAAAAGTAAGTAATGCATCTTTCAATTCTATTTTGTATGTTGTAATTAGTTGCACTGAATAATTGTAAACTGAATAGCTTATTTTCAGTAAATGAAAAATGTGGTCAAAATGGTGTCAAGTGATCTAAACATACAGTGAGGGAAAAAAGTATTTGATCCCCTGCTGATTTTGATACAATCTTGTCCCTGGCATCCTTGGAGAGCTCTTTGGTCTTGCCATGGTGGAGAGTTTGGAATCTGATTGATTGATTGATTGCTTCTGTGGACAGGTGTCTTTTATACAGGTAACAAACTGAGATTATGAGCAGTCCCTTTAAGAGTGTGCTCCTAATCTCAGCTCGTTACCTGTATAAAAGACACCTGGGAGCCAAAAATCTTTATGATTGAGAGGGGGTCAAATACTTATTTCCCTCATTAAAATGCAAATCAATTTATAACATTTTTGACATGATTTTTTCTGGATTTTGTTGTTGTTATTCTGTCTCTCACTGTTCAAATAAACCTACCATTAAAATTATAGACTGATAATTTCTTTGTCAGTGGGCAAACGTACAAAATCAGCAGGGGATCAAATACTTTTTTCCCTCACTGTATAAACAGGAAGTTGTGTTGTTTATTTACATAGGTAGCTTAATTTGTATAGTGTAACACTAATGTGTTTAATCTAATTTGAAATTCTACTCCGTTGTGTGATTTTCAATGACAAAACCTGAACAAACACACACCATGACACACACACACGTAATGAACGCATAACACAGAACTTAAAATGCATTTCCTATACATTCTTTTAAAGTTGACATAAATACATTTCAGTTCGATGGAGGTCACACTGATAGTGCAGTAGCCCTGATAAATATACAATCTTGAAATATATTGACTTTCATAGTAACGACAGCCCCTAAAACAGTAAGATACAGTAGTTTGGCATTCTGTTCGCGGGGCCAGTCAGTCTTTCCTAGTGGTACTGTTAAATCAAACATTAGTTTAATCATTCTACTCCTATCGGCATTGATTTGGATGGCTGGTGACCGATAGGTTTGCCAGTGAAAGTGGATGGCACAGCTTTTGAAGGTTCTGAACTGAAACTGGCACTGGCTCAAAGTCAAGAGATGAGAGGTTTTCAGTACAGCAGCTCCATGTGAATAAGGGTTTAGAGTCTCCATTTTGGGTCAGTGCCTGCGTTTTTGACTTTCTGAAAGTTCAGTTTGGGGTTTTGGAGTCCGTGGGGTTGGAATCAAAATTAAAGTGGCTTGGATACAGTGTGGATGGATAGGAGAGATCAGTCCAGAGCCAGGAGCGGCTGTGCCGTGTTGTACCTGTCTGCTTGCCGTAGGGTACCCGGCTCCACGGCTGACTGGGACCTGAGTTAAACCACAACAGTAAGAGATGGTAATTTCCTGTGAAACACAGACTACTATCAGCAGCATAATGGAGAAAGTTAAGGAAGGGACCAGGGTAATATACAGTGAGGGAAAAAAGTATTTGATCCCCTGCTGATTTTGTACGTTTGCCCACTGACAAAGAAATGATCAGTCTATAATTTTAATGGTAGGTTTATTTGAACAGTGAGAGACAGAATAACAACAACAAAATCCAGAAAAACGCATGTCAAAAATGTTATAAATTGATTTGCATTTTAATGAGGGAAATAAGTATTTGACCCCCTCTCAATCAGAAATGTCTGGCTCCCAGGTGTCTTTTATACAGGTAACGAGTTGAGATTAGGAGCACACTCTTAAAGGGAGTGCTCCTAATCTCAGCTTGTTACCTGTATAAAAGACACCTGTCCACAGAAGCAATCAATCAATCAGATTCCAAACTCTCCACCATGGCCAAGACCAAAGAGCTCTCCAAGGATGTCAGGGACAAGATTGTAGACCTACACAAGGCTGGAATGGGCTACAAGACCATCGCCAAGCAGCTTGGTGAGAAGGTGACAACAGTTGGTGCGATTATTCGCAAATGGAAGAAACACAAAATAACTGTCAATCTCCCTCGGCCTGGGGCTCCATACAAGATCTCACCTCGTGGAGTTGCAATGATCATAAGAACGGTGAGGAATCAGCCCAGAACTACACGGGAGGATCTTGTCAATGATCTCAAGGCAGCTGGGACCATAGTCACCAAGAAAACAATTGGTAACACACTACGCCGTGAAGGCCTGAAATCCTGCAGCGCCCGCAAGGTCCCCCTGCTCAAGAAAGCACATATACATGCCTGTCTGAAGTTTGCCAATGAACATCTGAATGATTCAGAGGAGAACTGGGTGAAAGTGTTGTGGTCAGATGAGACCAAAATGGAGCTCTTTGGCATCAACTCAACTCGCCTGTTTGGAGGAGGAGGAATGCTGCCTATGACCCCAAGAACACCATCAAACATGGAGGTGGAAACATTATGCTTTGGGGGTGTTTTTCTGCTAAGGGGACAGGACAACTTCACCGCATCAAAGGGACGATGGACGGGGCCATGTACCGTCAAATCTTGGGTGAGAACCTCCTTCCCTCAGCCAGGGCATTGAAAATGGGTCGTGGATGGGTATTCCAGCATGACAATGACCCAAAACACACGGCCAAGGCAACAAAGGAGTGGCTCAAGAAGAAGCACATTAAGGTCCTGGAGTGGCCTAGCCAGTCTCCAGACCTTAATCCCATAGAAAATCTGTGGAGGGAGTTGAAGGTTCGAGTTGCCAAACGTCAGCCTCGAAACCTTAATTACTTGAAGAATATCTGCAAAGAGGAGTGGGACAAAATCCCTCATGAGATGTGTGCAAACCTGGTGGCCAACTACAAGAAACGTCTGACCTCTGTGAATGCCAACAAGGGTTTTGCCACCAAGTACTAAGTCATGTTTTGCAGAGGGGTCAAATACTTATTTCCCTCATTAAAATGCAAATCCATTTATAACATTTTGACATGCGTTTTTCTGGATTTTTTTTGTTGTTATTCTGTCTCTCACTGTTCAAATAAACCTACCATTAAAATTATAGACTGATCATTTCTTTGTCAGTGGGCAAACGTACAAAATCAGCAGGGGATCAAATACTTGTAGATCAAAGAGAAAACTGTAGACATACAGTATCTATGGTCATGATGTGTTATGATGCAGTTATAATACATAAAAGACTAAGCATGGATCACCCCCCTTTATTATGTCTAAACACAAACTGAGAACCAACCATTTGGGGAGGGTTCCAGATTAGGAAAATAGCACATTGTTTTATATCCTAAAAACACATTTGACTGCCAATGGTAAAATACATGACATAATACTCCTCTCAACTCTCATATCCATGCGTCATCACAAAGCCTCCCTGTGTTATTGTCTCATTTAGCTACCAGGAAGTACTTATAACATGCTAGGTTATGACTGGTCCATTAAACATGAGCTCAACGACCCAGCTGAGGAGGGCAATCCAATGGGGTTAAGGCTAGACCAGGGGTGTCAAACGTCCGGCCCGTGGGCCGGATCAGGCCCGCAAACGGGTTTAATCCAGCCCGCGAGATGATAAAAAATAAAAAATAATAATAATAATAATAATTTTAATAATAATAATTTTGTAAAGTATAAAAATGCGCTGCAATTTTTCAATAAAATAAACTGCTGTTCCAATTGCGTCCACTGGATGGCGCAATAGCAATTGTGTTAAGCAAGCAAACTGTTTATACCGGGGCAGAGCAAGTAGGTCAAGCACGTGCAGCCAATGAGCTACTTTGTTTTGCCCGCGATATTTATTACGGCTTCTACTTTTAACATTATGTGCTTTGGCACCCTCATTGCCCCAATATGTATCTGTCAAAAAAGAGAAAAGTGGACGCAGAGTGCAGAGTGTTCCAAGAAAAATGGTCATCCTATTTATTCACGGAATTGAATGGGAAAGCTGTATGTTTGGTGTGTTCAGAGCATGTTGCAGTGCAGAAAGAATATAACCTTCGTCGCCACTATGTGAGTCTTCATGCCGACAAATATGACAACTTTCAAGGACAGCGGAGATGAGAGAAGGTGAATGAACTGTTGGCGGGTCTGAAGAAACAGCAGTCTGTGTTTACTCACAGCCGAGACATCAGTGACGCTGCAGTGAAAGCTAGCTACCTCATTGCTAATGAAATCGCAGTGGCTTCAAAACCATTTAGTGAGGGTGAATTTGTAAAAACATGCATGATGAAGGCAGCGGAGATTGTGTGCCCTGAAAAGCGGCAGGCTTTTGCAAATGTCAGCCTGACAAGAAACACAGTTGCAGACAGGATTTCCGATCTTTCAGTGGATTTGGACAGCCAGTTGAAGCAAAAAGTAAAGTCATTTATTGCGTTTTTGGTTGCAATTGATGAAAGCACGGACATTACAGATGTTGCACAACTGGCCATTTTCATCCGCGGAGTTGATGACACATTGACCGTCACCGAGGAGTTCGTGGAGTTGGTGCCGATGACAGATACAACGACAGCAGCTGATATTTTTACCGCACTCGTTGGCGCGCTGGACAGGGTCGGAGTGGACTGGTCCCGCGCTGTCAGCCTGGCTACAGATGGTGCGCCCTCAATGATCGGGAAAAAAGCAGGCGTTGTGACAAAGTTCAGAGAGAAAGTGCAATCTGCAAATGGAGGACGTGATTTTTTGACTTTTCACTGTATTTTGCACCAGGAGGCTTTGTGTTGCAAGTCATTAAAGATGGATAACGTCATGAAGGTGGTCATCCAAACTGTTAATTTCATCCGATCCAGAAGCCTGAATCACCGTCAGTTTGACAGACTTCTCAGAGAGAAAGACCACATCTATGGCCTGCCATACCACACTGAGGTAAGATGGTTAAGCCGAGGTGCTGTGCTGAGGCGTTTCTTTGATTTACGAGAAGAAATTGAACAGTTCATGGAAGAAAAGGGCAAACCAGTGTTAGAATTTCATTCCGCAGAATGGATGCAGGACCTTGCATTTATGGTGGATGTTACAGAGCACCTGAATAACTTGAACAAACAGCTGCAAGGGCGCAACAAAGTTGTCACGCAGTATTATGACAGCATACGTTCTTTCAAGTTGAAGCTGTCATTGTGGGAGACGCAACTTGCCGGTGGTGATGCAGCTCACTTCCCCTGTCTGAAAAATGTGTGCGCGACCCAACATGTGGCAGACATGAAGCGGTTCAAAGATAAAATAACGGGACTGTTACGGGAGTTAGAGCAACGCTTTCAGATTTATGTTTATATGTTTTTATATTGATGTGCTATTGTTTTTAATTGTTTTTATTTTATTTGTATATTTAACCTATTCTTGACTCTGTGGTTCTTGCACTTGTTTGGGGAACAGGATTTCATTATTTGTATCTACATTTCTGCCTGAGAAATGACACCCTGATATAGTTCTGTGATCTGTGATATACTTCTGTGAATCACTGAGGCATTGTGTGTTTGTGTGTTCTTTGTCCTCAGAACTTTCAAATAACTTGAGGTGATTTATGATTAATAGTGATGTTGTGCTTTAGGACACTGTCCTCAGGCTCCAGCTTTATGTTTATATGTTTTTATGTTGATGTGCTATTGTTTTTAATTGATTTTATTTTATTTGTATATTTAAACTATTCTTGACTCTGTGGTTCTTGCACTTGTTTCGGGAACAGGATTTCATTATTTTTATCTACATTTCTGCCTGAGAAATGACACCCTGATATAGTTCTGTGATCTGTAAAACAGTTATGTTAATCACTGAGGCATGGTGTGTTTGTGTGTTCTTTGTCCTCAGAACTTTCAAATAACTTGAGGTGTTTTATGATTAATAGTGATGTTGTGCTTTTGGACACTGTCCTCAGGCTCCAGCTTTACGTTTATATGTTTTTATGTTGATGTGCTATTGTTTTTAATTGATTTTATTTTATTTGTATATTTAACCTATTCTTGACTCTGTGGTTCTTGCACTTGTTTGGGGAACAGGATTTCATTATTTTTATCTACATTTCTGCCTGAGAAATGACACCCTGATATAGTTCTGTGATCTGTGAAACAGTTCTGTTAATCACTGAGGCATTGTGTGTTTGTGTGTTCTTTTTCTTTAGAATTTTCAAATAAACTTGACGTGTTTTATGATTAATAGTGATGTTGTGCTTGTACTATTTTGGACACACTGTCCTCAGGCTCCAGCTTTATGTTGCATGTTGATCGTATTAAAACAAAGAAAACAATCTGAAGTTGTTGTTATATATACCATGATTTTTCCGGTCCGGCCCACTTGGGAATAGATTTTCCTCCATGTGGCCCCTGAGCTAAAATGAGTTTGACACCCCTGGGCTAGACTAAATCCCTGTTTCCCTGCTCTGTGCTGTGCTGTTCTAGAACGCTTTAACACCAGTGGGAGAGATTAGCGCTCCGCTCCCCTCCACACCCTCCTCTCATCTCCCCTTGTAAGCCCACTGATTAAAATCACCAGCAGCTGAAAATGGAGTCTACCCAGAGCTCTCTCTTCTAAGGAAAGAGACAGTGGCCCAAACATGTCCTTCTGTCTTCTGAGATTTAGAGATTGCAAATGTAGCTTGGTTGAATATCTTTCAGATTTGATGTGATGATGAGTATAACATTGCATTGAATGATTTCCCCTTCAAATCTTGCTTCAAATATATACACTGAGTATACAAAACATTAAGAACACATGCTCTTTCCATGACATACTGACCAGGTGAATTCAGGTGAAAGCTATTATCCCTTATTGATGGCACTTGTTAAATCCACTTCAATCAGTGTAGATGAAGGGGAAGAGACATGTTAAAGAAGGATTTTAAGCCTTGACAGGTGTTCCTAATGTTTAGTATACTTAGTGTACATGTATGCAACTCTCAAAATGAAATGCTTATATGCCAATGAAAGTTAGCATTGCTCCTTTGCCAAGATAATCCTTCCACCTAACAGGTGTGGCATATCAAGAAGCTGATTAAACAGCATTATCATTACACAGGTGCACCTTGTGCTGGGGACAATAAAAGGCCACTCTAAAATGTGCAGTTTTGTCACACAACACAATGCCACAGATGTCTCAAGTTTTGAGGGAGCGTGCAATTGGCATGCTGACTGCAGGAATGTCCACCAGAGCTGTTGCCATATAATTAATTGTTAATTTCTCTACATAATGCCGTTTTAGAGAATTTGGCAGAGCGTCCAACCGGCCTCACAACCGCAGACCACTTGTAACCACGCCAGCCCAGGACCTCCACATCTGGCTTCTTCACCTGCGGGATTGTCTGAGACCAGCCACCCGGACAGCTGATGAAACAGGAGTATTTCTGTCTGTAATAAAGCCTTTTTGTGGGGAAAAACGTATTCTGATTGGCTGGGCCTGGCTCCCCAGTGGGTGGGCCTATGCCCTCCCTGGCTGCACCCCTGCCCAATCATGTAAAATCCATAGATTAGGGCCTAATGAATTTATTTCAATTGACTGATTTCCTTATATGAACTGTAACTCAGTAAAATCGTTAAAATTGTTGCATGTTGCGTTTGTATTTTTGTTCAGTATAGATGCTTCACAGATCATGTATATGCAACTGTCATCCTATACTACATACAGTGCCTAGTGAAAGTCTACACATTTTGCTGCCTTAAAATTAAATCTAAGGGATTAAATTAGATTTTTTTTCCTACCAATCTACACAACCTACTCCACATTTTCAAAATGAAAGAACATTTTTATAACATTTTCCTAATTAATAAAAAAATCTAAGATGTCTTGATTGCGTATGTCTTCACACCTTTCAATTTAATTTTCCAGATATTTTACATTAATAAAACGATTAAGGTCAAATATTTTGACAAATATATTGAAATGAGATAAATTACTTGTATTAAGCCTTTTTTTTTTAAGTTAAAATAAGTAGAATTATGTGCCAATGATGTTAGATCATTTAGCTTGATAATATATATATATATTTTTTTACTCTTACTATTGAAAAGTGATATTGGAAGTATAAATACAGTAGAGTAAAGACAACTGCAAACTTCTAGGAGTAGGGCATTCAAGGGAATCTGTGATGTCATCGGCCTCCAACTTGCTTGAGGAGCAATAGAGAACAAAAGAGGAAAGCCCCCCCACTTGTGCTATGTCATGACTTATCTGGACCATCTATTGAGATGTGCCTTGTGTTAAGTAAATCAGGTGTTACAGTAAATGAGGTGAAAAGGAGACTGGAGTGCCACTAAGGAAACAAAATGTGAAGACTTTGCAAGGGGTGTGTAGACTTTCACTAGGCACTGTATGTGGTCCTCTGTAGCTCAGCTGGTAGAGCACGGCGCTTGTAACGCCAAGGTAGTGGGTTCGATCCCCGGGACCACCCATACACAAAAATTTATGCACGCATGACTGTAAGTCGCTTTGGATAAAAGCGTCTGCTAAATGGCATATTAATTATTAATTTATTAATTAATATTAATTAATGATATATCAGGCATTTACATCTGGAGCTTTGCTAATGTAATTCTTTTTTAGTCAATACAGTCAGAGAGGTGATATTATTCCGCCATCTTGTTTTTGGGATGATGTCCTTCACTGGTCATTGGCAGCCTTACCCTCCAGATGTCAGGCCCTTCTGCTGAACAGCCTTGTAGGACTATAGCCTACTTACAGTTTACACAGCAAACAGACTCCACACTGAAACGAAACAGCAGCAATCAAAGGCTAACACAACCTCCTTGATCTGATACAACACTAAACACTAAGAATATTCAACCAACCCACAATCGACCCAATCGTCAATAATCTGCCTTAGCCATCCGATCACGGCCATCAGTAGGTTCATGACATGTCAACAATCATGGCTGGTATTTCTTCACTGGATGCTCTGAAGATGATCTCAGATGACCAATAACACACAAGCATTCCCAGTATCCCTTATCGATGGTTGTCACTATCGCCAGTACGACAATATATCAATAAAAAAATCAGATTTGAAAATGAACTCTTAGCTCAACCATACTCCTGACCGTGTGCCTAACTCCAACTTTTAACTAAGACCTGAAGATAATTTCTGTGTTCATACACTTTCACAATATAGTACATTTTGACTTTAAAGCTTGGCCATGTAGAGGGAGTCCTCATCTATCCTATCCATGATGAGAGGGAGGTTCATGCTCTCTGCACCAACCCCCCATCCAGGCACATCCCCTCCAGATGCTCTCCCCTGGGTTACGCTCCTAATTAGTGGGAGCGTGGCAAGCAAATGAGACTGGGGATCCCTGGGATTGGAGCAGACACTGGCCGGAGTCAGGGAGAGGGTCTCTTAAGTGCTTTTTAAATTATATAAATTCCAAGAAGCCCGCTCTCCTGAGACCTGATCCTACATGACTTTCTGTTGATTGCAGAGGGAGAGAGTCGTGCATGCAGCCTGCTACCGTGGAGGAGGTTTTCTATTTTAATGATTCCTCCCTCTCTCCCCCTCTCTCTCTCTCTCAGACATTTCCCTTTGCTTTAGGACAGAGAATCCATCTACAGTACTGTATTCTGTTTTCATGTTCAGTCTCTTATAGATAAACCTTTAACTTGTAAAAGGGTACGGTGTCGAATAGCTCTGAACCTAAAAGGAATGTAACCCAGAGCCATATGCAGTACCTCTATACATAGCTCTTCTGTAACCTTTTGTGTTTCAGAGAGGATACTTTTTTTTAGCTGCGGGGTTGGGAATGAATGTCAAACTGCAGTGGGTCTCTGAGTGAGTGAGCTGTTTGGGAGACAGTAGTGGGCAAGACTCAAGCCTAATGATCACCTTGGACTTAAACTGGTATTTCTGAGGGTTCACACTAGCCACTGGTGAGTGGTCAGCCCCATAGAGGTCATTATCTGAAAGTCTGTGGACTGTGTAATTGCTCTGGCAGACTTCAAACAATCGGTCGATACTAATGAAGAAGAATGACAGCGAGACACTGGATTGATCCTGTTGTGTTCTCAACTTTCTGTTTCGCTTTTTGTTAACTTCGTGCATTACTATACTGTAGCTAGGGTTGCAAAAGAGGGGAATATTCACCAAATTCCTGTAAATCCCCCCAAATCCCATATATTCCCATGGATATTTTCCAGCTGAAAAATTCCTCGAATTTTGCAACCTTTTCTGTAGCTCACCTTTTCAGAAGTTTGTCGGCACATTCCTTGTCTCCGCCACCATAGCACTCTTTGACATGGAGGGCGTCGTAGGTGAGTGTGTACTCCGTCTCGTCGTTGTAGTTGGGCCCTAAGAGGGTCCGTGCCCAGATGCCCATGTCATAGGGCGGCAGCGTGCCACCGAACTCAGATGGCAGACAATCGGGTAGGATAAGCTGGTGTAAACTGTTGAGGTTGTTCCCGTGGAGGAAAATCTGTTGGGAAGAATTGAAAAAATCCGATGTATTTATTTATTTTATTTACATTTGTATTCACATTTGTTTATTTCATTTATTTATTTATCTGGTGTTCAAATTTTTTCAAGGGAGCCCTGGCTAATATGTTTCATAACTATCCAAAATGTTTGATCTCTTACTTCCCCTTCTTATTTTTAACCTCTACGGGATAGGTGTCCCGTATACAGGACGGTTGAGCTAACGTTCGCTAATGTGATTAACATGACTGTTGTAAGTAACAGCAAACTTTCCAGGACATAGACATGTCTTATATGGGCAGAAAGCTTACATTCTTGTTAATCTAACTGCACAGTAGCTATTACAGTGAAAAATACCATGCTATTATTTGAGGAGAGTGCACAACAACAAAGAACTTATCACGGCAACTGGTTTGATACATTCACTTCTGAAGGTAAATAATGTACTTACATTCAGTAATCTTGTCTGATTTGTCATCCTAAGGGTCCCAGAGATAAAATGTAGCATAGTTTTGTTTGATAAAATCCATTTTTATATTCAAATGTTGAAACCCATCATGTATGACATTCCTGGGAGTGTGTAAACTTACATTTTGATTTACCATATCATTTTTGTATGTTCTCTATAGTTATGTACTTGAAAAAGTATAAATTGACCAAATTCGGCAAATTTGGGCAGACTTGATACAAAATAGTCCAGTATTGCAATGCTTCACTGGATCAATCTGAAACTTTGCACACACACAAAATCTAAATTGCGCCTAAACTGCAATATTGTATTGTTGCATTTCTCTTGCATTTCAAAGATGATGAAAAAATAAATAAATATAATGTTTTTTTGTTTGTATTTTCTTTTACCAGATCTAATGTGTTATATTCTCCTACATTAATTTCACATTTCCACAAACTTTCACATTTTCTTTCAAATGGTATCAAGAATATGCATATCCTTGCTTCAGGTCCTGAGCTACAGGCAGTTAGATTTGGGTATGTCATTTTAGGCGAAAATTGAAAAAAAGGGTCCGATCCTTAAGAGGTTAACCAGTGTCATCAGACACCCCTCCAAACATTTTTGACTCTGGAAGCTGTATTACAAAATAGCTTTTAGTTTTCCCATTAATCTAACCTGCACTATCCTGAGGAAAAGTTGAAGTTGAAACTACCTCAAAATATGTGAATTCCAAATACTCCTACTACTTCTTAGCTCTATAAGTGCTGACTGAATAATATATCCCCTTTGTGTAAACTTAAATTTGATTAAACTAGCAAAGATATTTAATGACATCTCTCTATCTGGCTTTGTCAGCTCAGTAGTGTTGTACCTCTACCAGCCCTGAGCTTAACCACTCAATATGACTGCAACAGTTACAACAGGATGGACAGAAAAGAGAATGTGACTGAAGCAGTGAAAAAGGCAATTACCCTTTTCCTAGTCTTGTCCTTGAGGAAAGCCTTGATGATGGTGTACATGGCGTGGATGTACCAGGGCTGGTTCACAAAATGGATCCCACCGAAGCGAGCAGGGAAGCTGTCCTGTAGGGAAGTAGGGAGGGGAATATAGGTTGCGATATACTCAAGTAAAGTATGTTTTTTTAGGTTGTTTCATGAACTCTGCTTGCTTTGAAATATATTGTTTTAGTTACAATAGAGAGACTCTTGAAATACCATAGCATAATTATTTTTTTAAAAGTTTACAAATCTTAATATAAAATAATATAATAAAATGGTAGGCTAAGCCAGTTCCTCTGTCCTTCTCTATCGTTATAGCTAAATGAAATGGCATTCATTATTTTATTGAAGAGATTTTATGACAGAACAGTACAGTAGCCTGCAGCAAAAGGGGCCGAGGTGAGCAGCAGAAGAGCATTACAGAGCTTCCAATAGATACATATTAGGAGAATTACCCTTGCTGTTTCAAACTCTGCTAGCCATCTACAGTGTGCAATACTGCTACAGTGCATTGTTTGGGCATGCCCCTTCCACCCTTGTAATCGACACCTTTAATGATTGTCGTGTAGCACCAACAATGCAATCCCCATGACAAAACCATGTAAATACAAGGCTTATGGGTCAGTTATTATGACAAAGGCTGAATCATTCAGCAGATTATGAGTCTTGCAAGTTTTAATTTTGTGAAAGCTGTTTTTTAAAATATATATATGCACTGAACAAAAATATAAACGCAAAATGTAATGTGTTGGTCCCATGTTTCATGAGCTGAAATAAAATATCCCATACATTTTCCATATGCACAAAAAGCTTATTTCTCTCACATTTTGTGCACAAATTTGTTTACATCGCTGTTAGGGAGTGTGCAATTAGCTTGCTGACTGCAGGAATGTCCACCAGAGCTGTTTCCAGAGAATTTAATGTTCATTTCTCTACCAAAGTTGTTTTAGAGAATTTGGCAGTACGTCCAACCGGCTTCACAACCGCAGACCACGTGTAACCACGCCAGCCCAGGACCTCCACATCCGGTTTCTTCACCTGCGTGATTGTCTGAGACCAGACATCCGGACAGCTGATGAAACTGTGGGATTTTACAACAGAAAAATGTCTGAACAAACTGTCAGAAACCGTCTCAGGGAAGCTCATCTGCGTGCTTTTCGTCCTCACCAGGGTCTTGACTTGACTGCAGTACGGAGTTGTTACCGACTTCAGTGGGCAAATGCTCACCTTCGATGGCCACTGGCATGCTGGAGAAGTGTGCTCTTCACAGATGAATCCCGGTTTCGACTGTCCCGGGCAGATGGCAGACAGCGTAGTGTGTATGGTGTCGTGTGGGCGAGTGGTTTGCTGATGTCATCATTGTTAACAGAGTGCCCCATGGTGGTTGTGGGGTTATGGTATTGGCAGGCATAAGCTACGGACAGCGAACACAATTGCATTTTATCGATGGCAATTTGAATACACAGAGATACCGTGATGAGATCCTGAGGCCCATTCATTCATCCACCACCATCACCTCATGTTTCAGCATGATAATGCGCGGCCCCATGTCACAAGGATCTGTGACCAACAGATGCATATCTGTATTCCCAGTCATGTGAAATACATTGATTAGGGCCTAATGAATGTATTTAAATTGACTGATTTCCTTATATGAACTGTAACTCAGTGTAATCTTAGAAATTTGTGTTTATATTTTTGTTCAGTATAGTTTTATGCAAAGAGGTAAACTACTATCCAATTGATTGTACAATCTCTGACTTATTGCCATTGCTAAATAATTCCCTCATAAACCATAAGCATTTGGTGTTTCCATAACATATAACACAATTGTAATGAAATTCAGTCAAAAAAGCATATTCCCTGATATCTCCACTGTCTGCTTGTTGATTGGCCCATATAATGTGTCCACTTCATTCAGTGCTTGACTAGCATAGCATTTGAAATCAGGCCATACACTAACCACTGTGCTTTGCCTTGTTACTTAGCAACAGGACATCCCATCTTTATGTAGGCCTACAATGAGGATCATCGTCATATTGTCGAGAAATCTTTATTTACTGGTAGTCATATACACTGCACTTCAAGGCAGAATACTGTCTATCTATCTCTGTCCTTAGAACTAATAAAGATGGATCCTGAAATGATGCAATAAAAAAGTTAACTGTAGAATCGGCCATGTTGGGTGTGATGGCTCCACATATTGCATGTGTGAAATTGCAATTGTCCAAAAATCTAGTGGAATAGACTTGGGTTGAATAATCAGACCAGAGCATAGAGACACATTAAACCATATAGACACATTAAACCATATAGACACATTAAACCATAAATTCCATCTTCATTTCAACATTCAGAACAGGTGATTATATGATCAGGACACTAGGTGCTGATGATACCCATCACTTTCCACCTTTTCTCTCTACAGCTAACCAATTAGCACAATATACCTCAAGAAAATGTCTACATTATAGCTGTAAGAGAGTACAATCCAACTGTACAATGCAACCATGATCTAATTCACCTTAATGCTGATTACTTAGCTACATTGATCTGCTTTGGGTTGATTCAACCCAGTCAGTGCTGGGTGGTGATCATTAGGGCACACCGTAGGAACATGAAATTTAGCGTTTCTTATTGGACATGTTCAGATACTGTAGTACCTCCCTGTTTCACTCTGTTTCAGACCGTTTTGTTCTGTTTAATGTATACTGAACACAACCCTGGTAAGGCCTACCTGCAGGCCTTCGATTGCCAGTTTGAGGATGTTAGGCGTGAGCTTGGACGCCTGCTTGAAGGAGAAGTTACTCCAGTCCATGATCAAGATGAAGCCGTTGATCTGGAGTTCCTGGTTCTCTATGAGAACCTCCAGGGAGAGGAGGATGGCCCGGAGGATGTCTGTGAAAGAGTTCCTTCACAGAGAAAGAAAGAGACATCAGATTGGGATACAATCCATGACAATCCAGCACTGTTCTGTATCAAGACTATTACAATAATTCAATCATTTCTGTTCCGGGTCTGGTGGGTCTGACCATTGACGTGGGCCAAAAAAAGGCCGGAGTAAAGTTTTTGGGCAAGTGAGTGGTTGTTGTTTTGCTGTTTAGTTCCCAATTTAAAAAAAGAAGTATTCTATCAAATCAGTATCGATCAGTAGATACAATACAAATGTTTACTTGGTTAATGAAACAATGACATCACAGAAACCATTTCAATGAGACAAATGTGCCTCCTAAAATATCTATGCACTCACCTGCCCTGGTCCCAATTGGAAGCAAATAGGATGAGTATCTTCCGGCCGTGCTGATCTGGAGTCTCCAGGACACCTGGGAAGCCATCCATCAGCGCCCTCTTGATCCCCGGGTCGTCAACCTTGAAGCTCTGGAACATGTCCAGGTTCTGCTGCCGGAATTGAAAATACTGGGCCAGGAGCCGGAAAGTCTCTGCCTGGTTGAACTTGCGCGCCCGCAGAAACCTCAGGATAAAGTCGTCATCCGTGCGCAGAAAGCCGATGTCGGGCCGTGTCACGATCATGTCGCGCACCTGCTGGATGTCCGCGTGGAGGGTGTCGGGGTTCTCGTTGAGCTCCTGGCGAGCTTTCTCTGTGGTCTCGGAGCTCAGGCCCACTTGCAAGTGAGTCATTTTTTTGGCTTTAGTCAAGTTCACACTCTCTCTCTATATCTGTGTTTTGGATAAATATTATTGTATAGGTCTACTTAGTAAACAGTCTTGATTTCTGTTCTGTACATTGTTGGTGGCGTCTCACCGGCACACAAGTCTCTCCAGTACACCACCTCCTGAACTGTGTCACCTGGGATGTCTAGCCTACGAAGAAAAGAGATGTAAGATTCAGAGTAACTGGTCCACCAGTAGACTAAAAACATGCATCCTTCCATCTTCTCTTCCTTAGAGTAGGCCTACTTGTTGTGTGTATGTACTGACATGTATGTGTAACTGATAGATGCACACACACACTACATGTTAATATTTTTTAATGTATGTAAATTGTAAAGTATTTTGTTTGTAATGTATTTTTCGTTATATGTCAGACCCCAGTGAGACTAGCTGTCGCCATTGGCGTCGGCTAATGTGGATCCTAATAAATCCAATAGGCTAAGCACTGATCCAACACAACTGGATAGGATAAATTTGTTCACCTTCATATCTATCACAGATCTAATCATGTCAGATCAGTAGATGTTCCAAGGAAGGGAGGAAGGAAGGATACATTTTTTAAGTAGGCGAAAAGGGCCCAGGTTTGGGAAATGCGTAAGGGCTGACCATTTCAACAACATACAGTGTTCCTGTGCTGACATCATGGAGAAACCCATCAGCTGCATTTTCTTGTGCATGGTCATCAGGTCAGAGTTAAAATATAACAGGCAGTGCATTTTCCATACCAACTATAAGCCTACCAGCTATGAATTTCACACTGTGGAAAACCCAAATATTATCAACATACAGTGCATTCTGAAAGTATTCATACCCCTTCACTTTTTCCACATTTTGTTACATTACAGCCTTATTCTAAAATAGATTAAATTGTTTGTTTTCCTCATCAATCTACACACAATACCCCATAATGACAAAGCAAAAACAGGTTTTTAGAAACATTTACATAAGTATCAGACCCTATACTTTGTTGAAGCACCTTTGGCAGCGATTACAGCCTTGAGTCTTCTTGGGTATGACGCTACAAGCTTGGCACACCTGTATTTGGGGAGTTTCTCCCATTGTTCTCTGCAGATCCTCTCAAGCTCTGTCAGGTTGGATGGGGAGCATTGCTGCACAGCTATTTTCAGGTCTCTCCAGAGATGTTCGATCTGGTTCAAGTCCAGGCTCTGGCTGGGCCACTCAAGGACATTCAGAGACTTGTCCCGAAGCCACTCCTGCGTTGTCTTGGTTGTGTGCTTAGGGTCGTTGTCCTATTGGAAGGTGAACCGTCACTCCAGTCTGAGGTCCTGAGCGCTCTGGAGCAGGTTTTCATCAAGGATCTCTCTGTACTTTGCTCTGTTCATCTTTCCCTCGATCCTGACTAGTCTCCCAGACCCTGCCGCTGAAAAAAATCCCCACAGCACGATGCTGCCACCACCATGCTTCACTGTAGGGATGGTATTGGCCAGGTGATGAGCAGTGCCTGGTTTCCTCCAGACGTGACGCTTGGCATTCAGGCCAAAGAGTTCAATCTTGGTTTCATCAGACCAGAGAATCTTGTTTCTCATGGTCTGAGAGTCCTTTAGGTGCCTTTTGGCAAACTCCAAGCGGGCTGTCATGTGCCTTTTACTGAGGAGTGGCTTCCGTCTGGCCACTCTACCACAAAGGCCTGATTGGTGGAGTGCTGCAGAGATGATTGTCCTTCTGGAAGGTTCTCCCATCTCCACAGAGGAACTCGGGTTCTTGGTCACCTCCCTGACCAAGGCCCTTCTCCCCCGATTGCTCAGTTTGGCCGGGCGGCCAGCACTAGTAAGTGTCTTGGTGGTTCCAAACTTCTTCCATTTTAGAATGATGGAGGCCACTGTGTTCTTACGGACCTCCAATGCTGCAGAAATGTTTTGATACTCTTCCCCAGATCTGTGCTTCGACACAATCCTGTCTCTGAAATCTACGTACAATTCCTTCGAGCTCATGGCTTTGTTTTTGCTCTGACATGCACTGTCTACTGTGGGACCTTATATAGACAGGTATGTGCCTTTCCAAATCATGTCCAATCAATTGAATTTACCACAGGTGGACTCCAATCAGGTTGTAGAAACATCTCAAGGATGATCAATGGAAACAGGATGCACCTGAGCTCACTTTCGAGTCTCATAGCAAAGGGTCTGAATACTTATGTAAATAAGGTTTCTGTTTTTAATTTTTAATAGATTTGCTAAAAATTATAAAAACCTGTTTTCGCTTTGTCATTATGGGGTATTGTGTGTAGATTGATTTTAGAATAAGGCTGTAACATAACAAAATGTGGAAAAAGTGAAGGGTCTGAATACTTTCCGAATGGACTGTATATACAGAGGTTATGAATATAATTATTATGTAATAGTAATAATAATCATAATCGGAAATAAAATCACAAAGGTGTTATTTGTTATTTATTTACATTTTACATTTGACATAGCCAATCGAATGCTTTTACATTAGATAGCCTGCTGGTCCAAGCAGGTTCTCGATGACTGTGACGCTCACCAATTATGGGTCAAACGCTGCGAGGGCCTCTCCCTGTTTATTTATTTATGAAACATTACCTCATCTCCCTTGCTATTCTGAGATATAATTGTGAATAGCATGCCAAATATTATGCCACTGCTCAATAACAAAAATACCTATTCCATCTGCCGTTCACGGATTAATTGCGTGACGACCTGCCATATACCCCGAAGAAAACCTGCCACATATTGATAAACACTTTTTATATAAAAATGTTATAAATCCACATTGAGATAAATGAAATACTTACATGAACACCACGCCCTGTAAAACCAGCCAGGTAGCCGTTGAAGCGCAGGACCGCACAGCAGAAGTATCATTCCATTGATATGTATAAATACTGGCCATGAAGGGGTTTCAATAAATAATATATAGCCTATTTTTATCCAGTTGGCAAAGAAAACGTAAATAAAGAAAAATAGAATATTTCCTTGAAGGGCTATCCAGTAAAAAAATTGTTGAAATCCTGTAGCCTGAAGGACTGCGTTGTCTGAATGTATTCTACGGTGTAGGCTGCCTAAAAGGATGCTGTGCCCCATAAACGGAACAGATTGGCGGCCATGCACGGCTGTGTCTGCTTCGATGAGGGTTGTACGCAATCTGCCTGGAGGAGGACGAAGAAGAGACAAACATATAGTGATGGAGACGCACAGAGGTGGGGAATCACCCCGTGGTGCTCAATTCCGTGTGCCGCAAAGTATCAAACCATTCTCACGACGTAAACCATAGGCTATTCTCATCCCCTTGGTATTTTCAAGCCTCCAATAAAAAATGTACGCAGTCTCCATGAATTCGGTTCGCGGCAATTGTGCCCAGTTGGTTAGAATATGGTTTCTGAAGGACGCGCGCATCGCATCCCATGTCCAGTTCAAGCACAGTGGATTCAAGCACAGTGGACTGTGATATAAACATATATAAACATGACATCACCTAATTGAAGTGTTATATTATGTTGATAGTGCAAGAAAAGGATAGTAGCCTCCTTAACAAATAAATGGCTATACATACAAATAACACACACACACACATACACACATGCACGTTATAAGAGTGTGAACAACAATGTGTGTTCTACAGGGTTGGTGTCTCCCAGCAGAAAGAGGTCTAGACGCACACAGGAAACACAGGAAACACTGAAGAGGTGAGAATAGAATAACCCACACACACACATTAGCAAACCTACCCTAACTAGGAGAAGTAAGAGTACCTTAACCCTAACTGGTTAGATACAGGAGACAGCAACTTAAAGTCATTTTAGGCAAACTGAGGACAGCAGTTCATCATGGAAAGTCTTCAAAGTGAGCTCCTTAGCCTCCTATCTGGTGAGTTCATCATTATATCTACAGAGCATACAGTAAAGCTTATTTGAAGAACACTGAATGGACACTATCAGTTGTAAAACACATTAGATTTACTGTTGCTTTTCGCTTATTGTTCTTTGTGCTGAACCAGCTAGTAACTAAAGGGCAGTTCTGTGTCTGATGTGAACTTGTGGTCTCTCTCCAGCTGTTGTGTGGAGTGTGTCTACTACGGATGGGATCTTCGTATCTCGATATGAGGGAGGAGAGGCAGAGATCAGGTGTCACTATGACCGTGGGTACGAGAACTACCAGAACTACTCTGATATTGTAGTTGAAACTCAATGATGTGTTCGCCACACTGAGAAAGGCAGGTTCTCTCTGTATGGTGACACAGAGAGAAGAGTCTTCACTTTAAATGTCACCAATCTGACCCTACAAGATGCTGGGGCATACTGGTGCACGACGAGGAGAAACTTGACAGACATCTATACAGAAATCAGACTGCAAGTAGTCAAAGGTAAGTTCCCTTTATCTTTGTGTATTCTTTTGTTAATATATCTTGTAAGGATTTAGGGGGGGGTGGGGGGGGGGGGGGGGGGGGGGGGTGTTAAATAAATAAACAACAAATATTACAGATTACAGATTGAGTTTAATACAGTCCAAAATGAGCAGCTGTGGTCCAGTTTGATAGAGTAGCAGTGGAAGTCTTATGCAGCCTGAGCCTTGCAGTTGACCTTTCTAATATAAGAATGCTTAAAAACAATTTTAATCGAGTGCCTGTTTCAAACCAACTTTTTTGTGGTGTATTTTGAACTGCATGTGAAACACTTTCAAGATGTGAAAAACAATTTAACCCCTTGTGTCAATGCATTACAGCTGTGAATCATTTTGAATAAGATTCTACCAACTTTGCACAACTCTTAGGGCAACATATATCAATTGTTTTAGTCAGCACGCCCCCATTCTCATCGACGGGGCTGTAGTGGAACAGGTTGAGAGCTTCAAGTTCCTTGGTGTCCACATCACCAACGAACTATCATGGTCCAAACACACCAAGACAGTCATGAAGAGGGCACGACAAAGCCTATTCCCCCTCAGGAGACTAAAAAGATTTGGCATGGGTCCTCAGATCCTCAAAAAATTCTACAGCTGCACCATCGAGAGCTTCCTGACTGGTTGCATCACCGCCTGGTATGGCAACTGCTTGGCCTCTGACCGCAAGGCACTACAGAGGGTAGTGCGTACGGCCCAGTACATCACTGGGGCAAAGCTTCCTGCCATCCAGGACCTCTATACCAGGCGGTGTCAGAGGAAGGCCCTCAAAATTGTCAAAGACTCCAGCCACCCTAGTCATAGACTGTTCTCTCTGCTACCGCACGGCAAGCGGTACCGGAGTGCCAAGTCTAGGTCCAAAAGACTTCTCAACAGCTTCTACCCCCAAGCCATAAGACTCCTGAACAGCTAATCATGGCTACCCGGACTATTTGCACTGCCCCCCCACCCCATCCTTTTTACGCTGCTGCTACTCTGTTAAGTATTTATGCATAGTCACTTTAACTCTACCCACATGTACATATTACCTCAACTACCTCAACTAGCCGGTGCCCCCGCACATTGACTCTGCAACGGTACCCCCCTGTATATATAGCCTCCCTACTGTCACTTTATTTTACTTCTGCTCTTTTTTTCTCAACACTTTTTTTGTTGTTGTTTTATTCTTACTTTTTTTGTTTAAAATAAATGCACTGTTGGTTAAGGGCTGTAAGTAAGCATTTCACTGTAATGTCTGCACCTGTTGTATTCGGCGCATGTGACCAATAAAATTTGATTTGATTTGATTTGGAATTGCTTTTGACAAATTGCTCAAACTCAGTGAATTTGGTTGGGTAGACCCAAACCTGTAGTTTTTAATTTAGGCCAAAAAGTTCATTTCTTTGCGCATTGTCTTGCAGTATAACTTAACGGCCTTGTTGCAAACAGAATGGGCGATTTTGAGTTGATTTTTTAACATAGGCTTCCTTCTTTTCAATTTGTTATACAGGCCAGTAATATCAAGTGAATGCAATGTTATTGATCCTATGTATTTTCAAGTATTGTGGTAGCAGCATCATGTTATGGGTATGCTTGTCACCGGCAGAGACAAATGATACCAAAACAAATTTACTGAGCTTGAGTAAATACTAGTGTTGTTAAAAGCAGCTAACTTCTTGGTAGCTAGCTATGAGGTTGGGAGATTGGGGACCTATCTGGGTTAGCTAAAGCCAACTTCATAGATTTGCTAGGTGGCTAGTAGTATTACAGAGAAACAACAACAATGACAACAACAACAAAAAATTTATATATATACAGTACCAGTCAAAGGTTTGGACACACCTACTCATTCAAGGGTTTTTCTTTATTTTTACAATTTTTTACATTGTAGAATAATAGTGAAGACATCAAAATTATGAAATAACACATATGGAATCATGTAGTTGTCACGCCCTGACCTCTAGAACTCTAGTTAGTTTGGTCAGGGTGTGCATGTTTAGTTCTATGTTGTTGTATATCTATGTTTAGAGTCTAGTTGTTAGACTTCTATGTTTGGCCGGGTATGATTCCCAATCAGAGGCAGCTGTCGCTCGTTGTCTCTGATTGGGGATAATACTTAAGTAGCCTGGTTGCAGTCCTTGTTTGTGGGATCTTGTTCCTTGTAGGCTGGTTTCGTGTATAGCCCATAGGACTTCACGGTTTCATTGAGTTTGTTATTTTGTCTAGTGTTTATCCAGTTTAATAAACATGTTCGCATACCACGCTGCACCTTGGTCTGACCCGTCTCTCAACGTTCATGACAGAAGATCCCACCAAACGAGGACCAAGCAGCGTGGCCAGGAGCGGACATCCTGGACATGGGAGGAGATCCTGGATAGTAAGGGATCTTGGACATGGGAGGAGATCCAGGCTGGGATGGATCGCCGTCCTTGAGAACAGACCGAGGAGGCCCGGGTTAGAGAGGAGCAACGGCAACACAGAAGGCGCCGGCCGAGGAGGAAGCCCGAGAGACAGCCCCAAGATTTTTTTTTCCCAGTACTGCCCGTCCCTGTTCCTCGCACCAAACCAGTGGTGCGTGTCGCCAGCCCGGTACGCCCCATACCTGCTTCCCGCACCAAGCCAGTGGTGCGTGTTCCCAGTCCAGTACGGCCCATCCCTGCTCCTCGCACCAAACCAGTGGTGCGTGTTGCCAGCCCGGTACGGCCCGTGCCTGCTCCTCGCACCAGACCTGTGGTGCGTGTTCCCAGTCCGGCACGGCCCGTGCCCGTTCCACCGGTGCCTGGTCCAGCACCGGTCAGTGGCTCCACTCCGGAGTCAGAGCAGTCCGCTCCACCGGTGCCCAGTCCAGCTCAGGTCAGCAATTCCACTCCGGAGTCAGAGCAGTCCGCTCCACCGGTGCCCAGTCCAGCTCAGGTCAGCGACTCCACTCTGGAGTCAGAGCAGTCCGCTCCACCGGTGCCCAATCCAGTTCCGGTCAGCGGCTCCACTCCGGAGCCAGAGTAGTCTGCTCCACCGGGATCCGGTTCAGCTCCGGTCAGCGGCTCCACTCCGGGTCCAGACGTCAGCCCCTCTCCAGGTTCGGGGTCTCCCACACCAGGGTCCAGACAGGGATCGGTGCATCGTGGGAGGACTGAGAGGGGAAGCTCCGCGTTGAGGTGCAGACCGGTCCAGGGGTGCAACGCGGAGGCAGTAAGGGAGAAGACGTCACGCCCGGAGCCGCCACCGAGGCTGGAAGCCCACCCGGACCCTCCCCTGTTAAGTCAGGTTTGTGCGGCCGGAGTCCACACCTTTGGGGGTGGGGGTGGGGGGGGGGGGGGGGGGGTACTGTCACGCCCTGACCTCTAGAACTCTAGTTAGTTTGGTCAGGGTGTGCATGTTTAGTTCTATGTTGTTGTATATCTATGTTTAGAGTCTAGTTGTTAGACTTCTATGTTTGGCCGGGTATGATTCCTAATCAGAGGCAGCTGTCGCTCGTTGTCTCTGATTGGGGATCATACTTAAGTAGCCTGGTTGCAGTCCTTGTTTGTGGGATCTTGTTCCTTGTAGGCTGGTTTCGTGTATATAGGACTTCACGGTTTCGTTGAGTTTGTTATTTTGTCTAGTGTTTATCCAGTTTAATAAACATGTTCGCATACCACGCTGCACCTTGGTCTGACCCGTTCTTCAACGATCATGACAGTAGTAACCAAAAACGTGTTAAATAAATCAAAATATATTTTCAAATAGCCACCCTTTGCCTTGATGACAGCTTTGCACACTCTTGGCATTCTCTCAACCAGCTTCATGTCCCTTCTTAAAAGGTTAATTTGTGGAATTTAATGCGTTTGAGCCAATCAGTTGTGTAGTGACAAGGTAGGGGGGTATACAGAAGATAGCCCTATTTGGTAAAAGACCAAGTCCATATTATGGCAAGAACAGCTGAAATAAGCAAAGAGAAACGACAGTCCATCATTTCTTTAAGACATGAAGGTCAGTCAATCCGGAAAATTTCAAGAACTTTGAAAGTTTCTTCAAGTGCAGTCGCAAAAACCATCAAGCACTATGATGAAACTGGCTCTCATGAGGACCGCCACAGGAATGGAAGACCCAGAGTTACCTCTGCTGCAGAGGATACGTTCATTAGACTTACCAGCCTCAGAAAGAAACCACTACTAAAGGAAACCAATAATAAGAAGAGACTTGCTTGGGCCAAGAAACACGAGCAATGGACATTAGACCGGTGGAAAATTGTCCTTTGGTCTGGAGTCCAAATTAGAGATTTTTGGTTCCAACCGCCGTGTCTTTGTGCGACGCGGTGTGGGTGATCGGATTTTCTCCACATGTGTATTTTCCTCCGTAAAACATGTAGGAGGAGGTGTTATGGTGCGGTCTGATGAGTCCAAATTTGAGATTTTTGGTTCCAACCGCTGTGAGACACAGAGTAGGTGAACAGATGATCTCCGTTCACTTAGAATTCAAGGCACACTTAACCAGCATGGCTACCACAGCATTCTGCAGCAATACGCCATCCCATCTTGTTTGGGCTTAGTGGGACTATCATTTGTTTTTCAGAAGGACAATGACCCAACACACCTCCAGGATGTGTAAGGGCTATTTTACCAAGAAGGAGCGTGATGGAGTGCTGCATCAGATGACCTGGTCTCCAAAATCCCCAGACCTCAACCAAATTGAGATGGTTTGGGATGAGTCGGACCACAGAGTGAAGGAAAAGCAGCCAACAAGTGCTCAGTATATGTGGGAACTCCTTCAAGACTGTTGGAAAAGCATTCCAGGTGAAGCTGGTTGAGAGAATGCCAAGAGTGTGCAAAGCACTGTAGTGTTTTATGCATTGCTGCGTACCGCTGTATTTGCTGAATAAACCATTTATTCTGTGATTTACCCTCCTGCGCCTGACTCCGTCCAAATCACCCGCTACAACCCCTGAGTCTTGGTTGCTCCATGACAACAACACAGCCTGAGTGTTCCCCATGACAATCTCTGGGCTGACCCAAGTGGATTCTGGGATGTGTATGTGTGGCATCTGGGTCGACCGAGGTCATGATGTCTACTCTGTGGTTGATCTGGAGGTCAAAGATGAGGTTGTGTTTTACTATACTACATGATAAATCATTAAACATGTGTATTATATACTTATATTACCTGGTGAATTCATATTTTAAAAATGTTACAGTGGGGAAAAAAAGTATTTAGTCAGCCACCAATTGTGCAAGTTCTCCTACTTAGAAAGATGAGAGAGGCCTGTAATTTTCATCATAGGTACACGTCAACTATGACAGACAAAATGAGAAAAAATTTTTCCAGAAAATCACATTGTATAATTTTTTATGAATTTATTTGCAAGTTGTGGTGGAAAATAAGTATTTGGTCAATAACAAAAGTTTCTCAATACTTTGTTATATACCTTTTGTTGGCAATGACACAGGTCAAACGTTTTCTGTAAGTCTTCACAAGGTTTTCACACACTGTTGCTGGTATTTTGGCCCATTCCTCCATGCAGATCTCCTCTAGAGCAGTGATGTTTTGGGGCTGTCGCTGGGAAACACAGACTTTCAACTCCCTCCAAAGATTTTCTATGGGGTTGAGATCTGGAGACTGGCTAGGCCACTCCAGGACCTTGAAATGCTTCTTACGAAGCAACTCCTTCGTTGCCCGGGCGGTGTGTTTGGGATCATTGTCATGCTGAAAGACCCAGCCACGTTTCATCTTCAATGCCCTTGCTGATGGAAGGAGGTTTTCACTCAAAATCTCACGATACATGGCCCCATTCATTCTTTCCTTTATACGGATCAGTCGTCCTGGTCCCTTGCAGAAAAACAGCCCCAAAGCATGATGTTTCCACCCCCATGCTTCACAGTAGGTATGGTGTTCTTTGGATGCAACTCAGCATTCTTTGTCCTCCAAACACGACAAGTTGAGTTTTTACCAAAAAGTTATATTTTGGTTTCATCTGACCATATGACATTCTCCCAATCCTCTTCTGGATAATCCAAATTCACTCTAGCAAACTTCAGACGGGCCTGGACATGTACTGGCTTAAGCAGGGGGACACGTCTGGCACTGCAGGATTTGAGTCCCTGGCGGCGTAGTGTGTTACTGATGGTAGGCTTTGTTACTTTGGTCCCAGCTCTCTGCAGGTCATTCACTAGGTCCCCCCGTGTGGTTCTGGGATTTTTGCTCACCGTTCTTGTGATCATTTTGACCCCACGGGGTGAGATCTTGAGTGGAGCCCCAGATCGAGGGAGATTATCAGTGGTCTTGTATGTCTTCCATTTCCTAATAATTGCTCCCACAGTTGATTTCTTCAAACCAAGCTGCTTACCTATTGCAGATTCAGTCTTCCCAGCCTGGTGCAGGTCTACAATTTTGTTTCTGGTGTCCTTTGACAGCTCTTTGGTCTTGGTCATAGTGGAGTTTGGAGTGTGACTGTTTGAGGTTGTGGACAGGTGTCTTTTATACTGATAACAAGTTCAAACAGGTGCCATTAATACAGGTAATGAGTCTCTTAAAGAAGAAGTTACAGGTCTGTGAGAGCCAGAAATCTTGCTTGTTTGTAGGTGACCAAATACTTATTTTCCACCATAATTTGAAAAAAAATCATTAAAAATCCTACAATGTGATTTTCTGGATTTTTTTTCTCAATTTGTCTGTCATAGTTGACGTGTACCTATGATGAAAATTACAGGCCTCTCTCATCTTTTTAAGTGGGAGAACTTGCACAATTGGTGGCTGACTAAATACTTTTTTTCCCCACTGTATATGACATTGTGCTTGTGATCATTGTGTTCACTTTGTCTGTGAGTCTGGCTGTTTTGGTGACTCATCGTAATATACCGATGTAGGAGCAAGAGGAACCAGGGTAAGTAACTCTCTCTCTCTCTCTCTCTCTCCCTGAGTGTGTATAACATGTTGTGTGTCACACAGGGTCTACAGAACCACACAGAGAAACAGGACAGTTTGAGTTGGTGCTTGAGGTGAGGGTCTTTTCTCTACACAACATGCTGCTCTGTCCACTGCTTTGATCTGATTACTATCTGATCAAAGGCTGCCCCTAGACTCACCTGGAAGTTCTTGTAACATGGGACAAGTTTGTTACTAAATTATTGTCTTTTGAGTAGATATGCCCATGTGACTTTGTTTCCCCTTTCCCTCTCTGTAGGATGTTGATGCATGTATGAATGTGGAACTGACTTCCTGGAAGCACTAACACTCCTCCCTTCTATTAGAACCCCATTATCACAACCACAGACACTGAATGTGTGTGTGGTTGCAATAATAATGGGGTTAGGATTAGACCTACAGAGGTCAAGTTGGTTGCAAGTGTTGGTTAAGACTTACATCTAGACAAGGTTATTCAGTAGGCCTAGTGTCTGGAGGTCACAGGAGGTTGGTGGCACCTTAATTGGGGAGGGTGGGCTCGTGGTAATGTGTGTGTCTGTCTGTCATGGTTGGGGTCAATTACATTTACATTCAGAAAGTAAACCAAATTCCAATTGAACATTTTCCTCAAAAGCATTGAAGATCATTTAAATTGGAATTTCAGTGTACTTTCTGAATTGACAAAAAAAATAAAAATACGTTTTGACCCCACCCCTTGTGTGTGTGTGTGTGTGTGTGTGTGCGTGTATGTGTGCTTTGTATTAGTAGGCAGTGCTAAATGAAAATGCAGTGGAAAAAGAAGAGGACAGGTTGCTCAACTGATTATAATTTAAGAAGACAGACTGATTGGACAGTGTATGTGTGTGATCAGTGAGAACTGACAAGTTATAATTGTTAACAGGGAGTTAGCGGTAGTTACTGGCAAGTACTGGGACACAGCTCATCACGATGAATAATTTTTGGATCCTCTCCCTCTGCCTCCTATCAGGTGAGTTCTGTCTGATCATCACGGTGACAGAAAGCCTAAATAATATCACATTATAGTTTTAAAAAAATAAGTTAAAGCAACATTATTCATAATTTGATACCAGGTAATTAATTACCAATTGTGTTCAATTATTTTGAGTATGTATCAGAAACTACCGATTGATACCAAATCATTCCTAGTGAATAACAAGTAAATACCAGTTGAAACAATAGGCTATGTAAAAATAAAGAGCTTCCCGTTTTTTCTGTGCAATGGCTTCTGACCCTTGCAAAAGAACAAACTCTGCTTCCTCAACTCTTGTTTCCAGGATCAGATTAAGAAATCAAAGTCCCTGGGGCTTTTTTTTTTTTTTACAGCCTCACACACACAAAAAACCAAGATGCAATTCAACGCGTGGTAAATTTACTGTTGAAGAAAAGCCCCTTTATAAGCCATAATAATGTTTGCGATGTGGCTCAGGATATAGATGAGGAGAGGCATTTTTAGGATTTCCACACATGGGGAACATTTGTTAGCAGGGTCTGACTTTTGATTTTTTTTAAAGACGCATTTCATGCAATTCTACGTCATTTACAAAGTAGAAGTCATTAGTGGTATCTTTTTTAATACGACACAAATGACCAAAATGAGTGGCTACTCTGACAAAATTAGATCAGTCTAGTCTTGAATTCAAACAAACAATAGCCCAGGCCAATGAAGCGCCACACAGATTGTAGTAGGAGGAAATATTTATAAGTTTGGACGCACCTACTCATTCAAGGGTTTTTATTTTACATTACAGTCATTTAGCAGACGCTCTTCTCCAGCGAATTACAGGAGCAATTAGGGTTAAGTGCCTTGCTCAAGGGCACATCGTCAGATTTTTCACCTAGTCGGCTTGGGGATTAGAACCAGAGACCTTTCGGTTACTGGCACAACGCTCTTAACCACTAAGCTACCTGCTGATGTAGATTGTAGAACAATAGTGAATAATAGTGAAGACATCAAAACTATGAAATAACACATGTGGAATCATGTAGTAACCTATTTTTTTTTTAACAAATCAACATATATTTTATATTTGAGATTCTTCAAAGTAGCCACCCTTTGCCTTAATGACATATTTGCACACTCTTGGCATTCTCTCAACCAGAATGCATTTCAATTAACAGGTGTGCCTTCTTAAAAGTTCATTTGTGGAATTTCTTTCCTTCTTAATGCGTTTGAGCCAATCAGTTGTGTTGTGATAAACTGGGGGCGGCAGGTAGCTTAGTGGGTAAGAGCGTTGTGCCAGTAACCGAAAGGTCGCTGGTTCTAATCCCCGAGCCGACTAGGCGAAAAATCTGTCGTTGTGATCTTGAGCAAGGCACTTAACCCTAATTGCTCCTGTAAGTCGCTCTGGATAAGAGCGTCTGCTAAATGACTAAAAAAAAAAAAAAAAAAAAAAAAAAGTGATAAGGTAGGTGGGTATACAGAAGATAGCCCTATTTGGTAAAAGACCAAGTCCATATTATGGCAAGAACAACTCAAATAAGCAAAGAGAAACGACAGTCCATCATTACTTTAAGACATGAAGGTCAGTTAATATGGACAATTTCAAGAACTTTGAAAGTTTCTTCAAGTGCAGTCGCAAAAACCATCAAGCGCTATGATGAAACTGGCTCTCATGAGGACCGCCACAGGAATGGAAGACCCAGAGTTACCTCTGCTGCAGAGGATAAGTTCATTAGAGTTACCAGCCTCAGAAATTGCATCCCAAATAAATGCTTCACAGAGTTCAAGTAACAGACACATCACAACATCAACTGTTCAGAGGAGACTGTGTGTATCAGGCCTTCATGGTCGAATTGCTGCAAAGAAACCACTGCTAAAGGACACCAATAAGAAGAAGAGACTTGCTTGGGCCAAGAAACACGACCAATGGACATTAGACTGGTGGAAATGTGTCCTTTGGTCTGGAGTCAAAATGTGAGATTTTTGGTTCCAACCGCTGTGTCTTTGTGAGACGTGGTGTGGGTGAACGGATGACCTCCGCATGTGTATTTCCCACTGTAAAGCATGGAGGAGGAGGTGTTATGGTGTGGGAGTGCTTTGCTGGTGACACTGTCTGCGATTCATTTAGAATTCAAGGCACACGTAACCAGCATGGCTACCACAGCATTCTGCAGCGATACGCCATCCCATCTGATTTGGGCTTAGTTTTTCAACAGGACAATGACCCAACACACCTCCAGGCTGTGTAAAGGCTATTTTACCAAGAAGGAGAGTGATGGAGTGCTGCATCAGATGACCTGGCCTCCACAATCCCCCGACCTCAACCAAATTGAGATGGTTTGGGATGAGTCGGACCGCAGAGTGAAGGAAAAGCAGCCAACAAGTGCTCAGCATATGTGGGAACTCCTTCAAGACTGTTGGAAAAGCTTTCCAGGTGAAGCTGGTTGAGAGAATGCCAAGAGTGTCCAAAGCTGTCATCAAGGCAAAGGGTGGCTATTTGAAGAATCTCAAATATAAAATATATTTTGATTTGTTTAACACTTTTTTGGTTACTACATGATTCCATATGTGTTATTTCATAGTTTTGATGTCTTCACTATTATTCTACAATGTAGAAAATAGTAAAAAATAAAAATAAATAATTGAATGAGCAGGTGTGACCAACCTTTGACCGGTAGTATATATATATTACATATTTAATATACACTGTATATATAATATATACTGTATATATTTCCTTTAAAAAATGAATCTGTCACTGCTTGTTTCAGTGTGACACCCTGAAGTACAGTAAATGTCTGTTATGGAAGTCCCTCTGTCATACCACCATGGTTTGGAGGATGTCCTTGGAGACAAAGTCACATTACTGATAATCTGAGTGTGACCTTGTGTGTTTCTGTGTGTTTCTTTTTAGCTGGGGTCTCAGTGGGGTCAGGGTTCATCACATGGAGAGGTATGGAGGGAGGAAACACTCACATCAACTGTACTTATGAACAGGGCTTTGAGGCATTCCCAAAGTACATCTTAAAAGGAGGCTACCTATTCGAAATTCTCATTAAAACCCTAAAGGTCCCTAACCAGAGTCCAGTATGGACTTATAAAGGGAGATATGTGCTATATGACGACACAGAGAGAAGAGTCTTCACTGTGACCATTGATAACCTGAACCTAGAGGATGCTGGAACATACTGGTGTGGAGTGGAATCATGGGGACTAGATAAGCTGATTCAAGTCAGGCTCACTGTGGATAGAGGTTTGTATGTGAGAGTATTTCAATGCTCAATATTTTCTGTGAATGGTAAAAGTGACTTAGAGACCAATCAAGGTTAATTCACATTTGTGCGTTATATTTGATTGTGCTAACTGGTTTGTGTTCTCGTGTTCAGTTTCAGGTAACTCAGTTTTAAGAATCTCACTGGGGACTGTGAGTCTGGCTGTGTTGCTGCTAGTGGTCAGCCTGCTAATAGTCTACAGATGGAAATGTTACAAGGAACAAGGTATTTACACACGGAAACACACATACATATGCGCATGCTTACGAGCACACACACACACACACACACACACACACACAGTCACACATGCAATAAACAATTATGTGTGTTCTACAGGGCCAGTCTCTCCCAGCAGACAGAAGTCTAGCAAACCAAACACAGGAAACACTAAAGAGGTGAGAATAGAATAGAGAAACCATTAAAATACTTCATACATTTATTTATTTTTTTGTAACCCTTTATTTTACAACCCCTTATTTACACTGATTTTTAGGCAACCTACAAAAATCTGAACCCCAGCATGGCAAACCAAGACACCATCTACCAAAGCCTGAATCCTGAAACTGCAAACCAAGACACCATCTACCAAAGCCTGAATCCTGAAATTGCAAACCAAGACACCATCTACCAAAGCCTGAATCCTGAAACTCAAACTGCAAACCAAGACACTATCTACCAAAGTTTGAACCCTGGACTTGCAAACCAAGATACCTTCTCCCTAAACCCTGGCCCCTGAATGAAACTAGAACTTATTGCATGCCAATATTGTGCTCCATATCTTGAATTATGGTGAAGGTAATGTATTGACCTGGATAGGTATGTCCCTAGTAAAATAAATCCTATAGGATTAGTGAGTTTTCCAATAGAATCCCACAGGATTCTCACAATCCTATAGGATTTTGTCACCTCTAACAGAATCCTATTGGAGTCCTATTGTACTACTTTTTGCCTATTGGACTTTTACTTAACCCATTAAATTATAGTTTGTTCCAGTACAATACAACATCATTCATTACAACATTTTCGTTAATTGGAAAAAACAGTTCTGTATTAATTTCTGCTTTATTGACCTTTAATAAAGCCTGTCCCTTTAAGAGTGACAGATGACTTCACAGCAAGCATGAGCTTGCAGCGTTAATAGGCTCTATGCACGCATCACTTCCGCATTGGCGTAAGGATGCTTGGGCATTTCCGGTTACCGGAAAAAAACATTAGACAGTGACAGTGACTGTTATGATGGCAGAGATGAAGTTTACAAGGTGTTTGCTGGAGTTGCCAAAAGTATCTGTTAATGATATACGGAGGGTCGTCCGGACATCCAGTACGACACCACGTAGCAAACTGGATAAAGGCTTCAAATTTTACATTTCTTATTTTCTTTGCAACTTTGAAGGTAATATGCTAATGCTAGCTAGCCTGAGCTAGAAGCCTTGCTTTGGTGTTTTAAGTCATGACTCCGTCCTGCTTCAGGTTAATCATGCTTTAAATAAAGTTTAATCATGTGTATATACCTCTCACTTCATGTGTTTGTACTTTTATGAAAGTATCAGGTAAAAACAGGGCTACAAATGAGATAATAATAATAATAATATGCCATTTAGCAGACGCTTTTATCCAAAGCGACTTACAGTCATGCGTGCATACATTATTTTTTTTTGTTTAGTTTTTTTGTGTGTATGGGTGGTCCCGGGGATCGAACCCACTACCTTGGCGTTACAAGCGCCGTGCTCTACCAGCTGAGCTACAGAGCCCACTGCTACTGCTCAATGAAGAAACTAAAGCCACCACACCAGCTGAGAGTAGGACTAGATTAAGTGATACTTTCAAAGTTCTGTTGAACTTGTTCAAGGTTCCGTTCAACACATGTTTTACTCGTTTAAAGTTACCACAGCTTTGATTGCCATTGCTAAGAGAACACTTTAGAACTTTAGTGGTTTTAACGATAGCTGAACAGTGGTAGCCTAATACAGACCAGGGTAGCTGAGTGGGAATTGCCATGCTTTGTTGTTGGGTCTGTTGTAAACAAATTGGAGTTTGGTTTGAAATGTAAACAATAATGAGATTAATACTTTTTCCTGACTTGATGACTGCAATGACATATTCCACTCAGCTATTCTTCAAACTGCTGATGTTCTACTCAAAACTGTCCTGTCATCTTTACTTATTTCTTTTTAAACATATGGCCCAACTTCCTTGCTTTTGTACTTGATGTTTATACTTTTCAAGAGGAATTAGGAGCAAAACCTTCACTCTACTGTTGTTATTGGTACTAGGCTACAATGTTGCACCACTCACCTACTGCTCTGCCAATACTGTTTGAAGGTAGGTGAATGGCACAAGACAATCGGTAAGTGGTGGGAGACAGTATAGCCAAGTGGTGCAAGACAGTAGGAAAGTGATGCAGAAAGCACAAAAGTGACACGAGACAGTAGATAAGTTGCTTACACCAGTAAAAAGTAGAAAGAACACGTTTTGCTCCTGCTGCTGTAGACCCTCGTCTATCAAAACCCATTAAATTATGCTTCTGTGTATTTCAGATGACATTGCGTGATTCACAGCCAGTTGTGCTTGTTAAAAGCTACTATTCCTGTGTGGCTGGGTGTGGGATATGCAATCATTTGGTTGCATTACTATATCAGACTGCCCATTACTCTGAATGTGGCATGTCTGTCGTCCCTCCTGTACTTTCGTGCACTGAAACAGAGCAGAAGTGGCATAAACCACGAACAATGGTTTGTATCATTTCAATACCAGACAGTTGTGTCACACGCATACTAGTATCTCTCCTAATACCATCTCAAAATAAATAGGGAGTGAAGCCAGGACCTGTGGATGCCATGGTTGTAGTGAAGCCCAAACCAGATGCTACTCCGGCAAGCGGAATTAGGTATGCAGAATCCAATTAAATAGGCAGACTACAATGTGTTGCGAAATAAATGTTATTAATCGCTGTTAGATTCTGGTGTATTTCCTAGTGAACCCTTTACTTTTCCTGATATTGTTATTCCAGATCTACACTTTACAAGGTCTACAGCGGTAAGCTACCAGACCCATCAACCCTCAACCCACTACCTGCCTATGCTGACATGGAACCAGACTCTCTTCCCCTTATCTGCAGAATGAACATCACATCTGACAAACCACTCGTGGACTCCATATTTGGCAAGGTACAAACTGGCAGTATCCTGTCATATCAACACCCACCACCTCCACCTGACAGTGTTGTCATCCATGAGGATGCACCACCGTTCCCAAAAGTGCCACTGGACGGTTACCATTTACAACCAACAGACTGTTCATACGAGATCATGACGGATCAAGAAAAGCAAAAAAACGAACAGAAGAATTGCATCTGGCAGACACTGTACATTGCGACACACAGCAGTGATGGCTGGAAGAGCTGTCATCCCGTTTTTGAAAGGACACTTTCGTACGTTTACATGTCATCGTGTTATAAGTCAAGACGAAGTATTACAAGTTAAAACATTAACATAAACATTAAGATAAACAACAACATCAATGCTAGCATACGGTAGCACAGCATTCTACGATAACCGGAGGTTTACATCCATCCTGAGATTTAACCGGAAATACGTCATGCTCGCCTGTGCATATCGCCTATTAGCCTAACTCCCAAGTTCAGCTCCTGAACTGTGGCTGTGCAGAGAATCTCCGGTTTTCTAACATTATTATTCTAACTGTTTTATCTTTCACTGTGCGTGAATGCAAGAACTGTTATCAAAGTATTTATTTCCTTATGTTTCCTGACGAAGTTATCAGTGTTTTAGTCATATTTTCGTAATTGTACAGCTTTTTATGCACTCATTTTATGCTAGTTAACCAACTACCGTTAGCCACATTTTGCCTGTCAGATAACTAGCTAGCTAGCTAAGTTGTAGCCATTTGAATGTCGTTTTTGAGTCACTTTATTGTTATAGCAGATGATACATGTTTTTTCTTGTTTGTTATTAATAAATATATGTTCCTTATTATCCTTATTCCTTATTATAGGCAATTCAACCCCGTTTTTATGATTTTTGGTAGATCATAAAAATAAATGACATCACGTTTTTGGACTCATTCAGCAGTTTTTACTGAAATAAGTAGAATACTATTGGAAATGAATGTTGAAAGTTCCATTTTTATACTTCCATTTATGCCCAATGTCAAAACACAGTGTTAGAAATAGCGTAATTCAAATCTGGTATTGGAATAAGAGAAAACATAATCAAGAGATATTCAATCCAAGCTAAATTTATTATATGCAAAATGTATGTATGATAAGTATGATGGTTCGTATACGGGCTCACTGAAATACCACGCAGGGCAGACAGAGAACTGATCCATTGTTACAGGCTCTTCTTCAAATACTCTGACAGAGATAGTTCCCGCTCCCTGCTGGCCAATCAGAGTAGAGACTGAGCGTGGTTTAGACTTACTCAGCCAATCATTGGCGCACAGGCTGGTCCCAGTCCCTTGGCGCTTTACCGTTGCACACTGTTGCCAGGCATAAATTGTTATCATCATACCCGTCTCGAGTCAGCACCTTTTTGCAGTACACGTCCTTGAGCGCAGTTTAACAAAGAGGCAGTGTTCGTGTATGTGTCTGTGAGAATCACAAGTTCTTATCTCATCCTACCCCCTAACGTTCCTCACATGAATCACAGCTTGTTATGTGAAACAATTTATATCAGTACAGTACAAACCCATTATGTTTAATCATTAATGCATTCTTTCTAAGCTAGGCATCACATCTAGATCCCCACAATCCCCCTTTTCACACCCACTGGGTGTGAACCCAAAATAAAAAATGTCAGGGAAATTTAGGGTGTCACTCATTAAAATACAATACAAACAAAAAGAATCACACTTTTATTAATAGGCAATAATGATAATAAAAAGGCCTTCAGTCCTTCCATCTACACCTAACTTGTACTAGGTTGGCTACCCAGCCACCCAGGAACTTCAAACCTTCACATAAGGAAAGACAAACATTTACAATGGTTAACTTGATTAATAAAGCATAAAACACAGGATTAATAGAACACAAAACACAAGATTACTAAAACATAAAACACAAACAGGGAAGTAAATTTTGGCCCCCTTTAGACACCCTCTAGGGTGTCACTCCACCAAGCCTGGTAGGTCATATCCTTCATTCCTTAGGTCGGAGTCCGGGATTGGGCCGTATCTCACCATCTGTTGGGAAACCACCTTCTCCATCGCCTTTCTCACCAACCCTCGGACACAGGGAATAAGACAACATCCACAAAGAACAAGTATACCCATAGAAGCTATAACTTCACCCAAAATAGTTACAACAATAGTTTTCCAATTACCAAATATGTTATCAAACCAACCGTTTAGGGAGCTATCAATACCAGAGTTCTCAGCC